ATTGTCTCCTCGGATGATAGGTCTCACATTGTCCAGCTGAAATATTTGCACATATCCACAGCACCGCTGGCTTCCCTCAACCGCTCAACGAGCAAGTCAGAGACAGCTTGAATAGTTGGGTATTGGTCCGCCAGTGACTTATCACTAAACGAATGTGCCCAAGCTCTTCTTCGACGGTGATGAGGCTCGTCATGCTCGAACAAGAGACTCTGGACACCCTCGACTGGTGGAGCGTACCAAGCGGGGTCTTTCTCCAATGTCGGATGGCCCTTGAGCTGTCCCGTGCGATGACCGTAGATGTCGGTCCAGGCTGTGTCGCCCGATATGAATGACACCTCTGATATAGAGTAACGGACGATGTCACCGTACTTCTCGTGAAGCTCACGCAGATAGAAGGGTGCGGTACCGTCTAGATGATGTTTCAAGTATGGGATACGGGATATGGCGTTGAGCTTCGGCCCGGGCACATGGCGCAACGGATGGAAGAAAGCATTGTATATCGCTTGGACCACGAGGTACAGTGTAATCTGAATAAAAAAGACGTACGGTCAGCACAAACTTCACAATGATAATCTCTGGTGCCATGATGGATCACTTACAGCGGCAAGAGCCAGTAGGGACGAAACTATAATCTGCATGATTGCAGTATTGATAGGAAGTTACAACAGTGGTTTATGATATGGCTTGAGCGATCCGTCTATCAAGAAACAAAAGAGAAATGGGGTACAGAGAAGAATAGCTGAAAGAACTGGCTACTTTGATAGACGACCACAAGAGACAAATTGATCTTCTCTGAGCACCCAGTGAAATGAGTCGGATCTGATGACCTGGATTACAGCATACCGCGCGTGTGCTACTCGATAAGACAATGTGCTCGGAAGTCGGCGGTAGGTGGCGCTTACGATGAAACAGGGGTCCTCATTTTCCTAGACCCCCTGGTGACAGAAGTAAGAGTGCGTATTCCATCTCACATCCCGACAGGGTTATGAGATACGAGCGGTAACCCGGACGGAGGATGGAATTGATGAATGAGGATCGAATGCATAACAACAAGGATCGGCAACTAAGCACCGAGTCTGAGTATCCCTCGGCAGACTGAGCTCCAATGCTCATCCACGTCGAATCAGTCATTTAGGACTCTATCTCCGTAGAATCTGAGTCATACCAAGAGGAGCGGTTACACTTGAGTGGTCGGCTATTTAGGGTGGGGGGTCCTCTTATAATCCCTGCATGGCATACGTATAGAAGGCTTGGATTGATCTGCAGGGTGCTTGTTGGTGCGACGAAGCTGACATGCATACGGAGCCTCCCAAAAGAACCCGGTAGCCAAAAGGATTGCGCCCTCACGACGGGACTTAATCCGGCAAGCCCAGAATGTGTGAGCGCATTGCGATGTTACATGCCGAGAGCAAATGAGGTATTTAGTTTCCATAAAGTATGTCTACCAACAGGATCTTCAAGGTTTGACTATTGCTGACAGGCGTTAGATAACGCTTGAGCCCTCAAAGTAACATTACGTCTGTGCTTACGCCGTTGACCAAATCTGCCCGACCTACATGAATGAGATGCCAGAGTTATGCATAGATGAAATTGGAGTAAACACTGCAACGCTCTATAAACCATCAAGCTAGGATGTAGATATGCTCAACCCAGGGTGTAGTGGCTATATGCACAGACACCTCACGTATTTCTTACCTGACCCATCTTTCCAACCAGCATTTGGAATAAGTGAAGTTCCGTTACCTGATACCTCGGGAGAAGCCTAAAGGAATGTGCTTCGCCCAGTAAGTTTACGAAGTTGGTGGTGCGGGACGTGCGGGAACAACACACCTAGGGTCCAGCCTAGGCCATACGGAATTCCGCCTCGGATCAGATCAGGGGGTGACTGCCTTGGATGTCAGAAGGTTTCTTATGTGGCGGAAAAATGCCGTCATGAAAGTGTCTTAGTGTTATTCCTGTGCCATGAATGCACGTTAGCACAGGTGCATGCACGGGATACATACATATTCTTACCACCTGAAAATCCTATGCTTAGTCTAGGTTCGTTGCCTTGGAGAGCTGGGATGTTTTCACCGAAGCGTAAGATGACCAAAGTCTTTACTATCTGAAGGATGATATGACTTTGTTGACACAGCCTTGTTGCATTTGAGTATCATGATGTACCATAGTGTTGACGTGGATGAAACCTGATCGTCCTTTTCATGTCCACGCCCCACGTATTATAGTCGGACGCCAGTCAAAGTAAACAACCATCGCCACATCCAACACTTTCTGTAAGTCAGATAAGGTGGACCGAAACACGAAGACCCTGGCGCCTAAGCCTCCTTGACGGGATAAGGACTACGGAAAGAAGCCCCGCTGCAGTGAGAATGAGCACCAACGTCGGGACAAGTGGATTCTCTTGAGGCCAATCTACACTCTAAATGGATCTAAGATAACCCCAGTTTCTAGTAGAACTAGACTCCGATTTGTGTATATAATATAGCCTGTCCACATTGTATTACTATTCCACCTTAGTCTCAGTACAGGCCCCTACACCAACATCACACCATCCACACTGAGAGGCCACCGGCAAAATGGAGCACAAACAGTCAGCTATGTCGGTCTTGCCAGAGGCGAGCATCGACCCAAACGCTATGCAACAGCCGATGCAGAATTTATCCATGCCAATCATCAGCGGCTTCATCAAGCAGAATCCTGCTGTCGACTACTTGTTGAAAGCTGACGGCCTTCAACTTTTGCAAGCTTTCTTGGCGGCGCTATTTGCTTATCTTTTGATTTCGTCTCTTACCGTCAAGTCTACTGTTCCTGATGGCGTCCCATTTCCATGGTACGTATGATCTGACTCTTGACGTCAAGAGTGTAAGCATTGACATATCGCAGGGTTGATACCAAGTCCAAGAGCTTCTTTGCCAATTGGCGTATAGGCAAGCTCTATGCACTCAATAGTGTCCGACAGTGGTTGGCACAGGGCTCTGAAAAGGTATATCTATCTTGACTTTCTATACAAACCTATCCAAGCCTGAGTGACTAACACAACGGCTTCAGTTCCTTGAGAAGGGGAAAAGCTACGCCCTTCCTGACTTCTATGGGAGAAGACCATACATCATTGTCCCCTACCACAGGACCAAGCTTTTCCTTGACCGTCCTGATGATGCCACCAGTCTGAGGGATGCGGCCAACGACATCGTCGTATCTGACTACAGCTTTCCCGACTCCAAGATCTTCCGTGACCACTATGGAGCCCAGATCATGTACCGCCACCTCCCCCGCGCTCTCCCACGTCTCGTTGGTGAGATTTGGGACGAGGTCACTTACATCTGCGACAAGGACTGGGGCACCACTCCCGGCGAAGTCAGGGAGATTAGCACGTACCACAAGTCATTCGAGATGATCGTGTCTCTCGCTAGTCGAATGCTACTCGGTACCGCGTGCAGTCGCAGCGAAGATTTTCTTACCAATGTCAGGGAATTCTCGCTCGATGTGTTCAGGTGCATGGCTCTCGACGCGTTGCTGCCTCGGGGACTGACTGGTATTCTCGGCCCGTACCTGGTATCGTTGCCTAACAGGTGGCACGTTAACAGGATTCACAAACACACCATGCCCTTAATCAAGAAGAGATTAGAAGATCTTGCTTTCAACGATGCAAACCCAGACAATAAGCGTGTGGTTCCTGATGATTACATCTCGTGGCACATCCGCTTCGCACAGACAGAGAGAAACCCTGCTGCCCTTGAACCCTACTACATTGCCTCTTCTATGTTGTCCATGCAGTTCGCCACAGCATCTAGCACTCGCTATGCTCTGACGAACCTCTTCCTGGACATCTTTTCCACCAAGCCAGAGGAGGGTGTCGTTGAGTCTCTTCGCGAAGAGATCGAGCGCGTCTACCGTGAGCATGACTATACCTGGTCCAAGCAAGCATTGGGCAAGCTGTATCGTGTGGACTCCACCATTAAAGAATCTCTACGCTACTCCGGTCTCATGGCTCATGGATCGTGGCGGAAGGTCGTCGCCAAGGAGGGCATATTCGACGACGAGACTGGTACTACTATCCCATGTGGTGCAATGGTCGGTCTTGATTTCTGGACTCGACATCATGACCCCAAGGCATACCCTGATCCAGACAAGTATGATGCGTTCCGGTTCTCTAGACCAAGGGAAGAGTACGTGGCGGAACATCCCGACGAGAAGGCTACCGAAGAGTACCTCCGCCTAAAACGCCTTGACTGTACCTACACAGGTAGTGATAACTTTTTGATTTTCGGTCTTGGAAAATATGCTTGGTAAGTTTCCGGCGAGTACTAAATTTCCAGACGGGGCTTTATGCTAACACTAGACTACCAGCCCCGGGCGTTTCTTCTTGACGATGGAGCTCAAGCTTATTTTGGCATATGTCATCATGAACTATGATGTGGAGCCTATGGCGAAAAGACCTTCGAACTACTGGGTTGGTGGTCTGATCTTGCCATTACGAGACACTAAGATTAAGGTCCGAAGACGGGAAGGTACTGTTTAGCATATCAGATAGAAGGCACATTGTAACGGTTGTGGCAAGCATTCCAGGGTAAGAGGTCGCCTTGTTGGTGGGGTTAGAAGGCTGTCTGTATTGACAGATATAAAGGGACAGAATTCCCTCTAGACCTTAGCTTCTTTACGCCTTTTGAGATTGAATCTTACTCTTTTTTTTCTTTATAGAGTTGGCAAGAAGACGTGAAGTCGATGAAATGCTAAGCTGGTCTTGGATGGCTCGAATCAGACCAGTTGGTCTCAACTACCTTTCTTGGTCCTATAACCGCCTCTGGATAGGCTTATCCACCCGTATTGACGCTATAGACATATGGGAACAGCCTGGGAAGAGGCTGGTACAAAAAAGGTCTGGTGTGATTAAGCCTCTTATTCTGGCGTATTTGTGTTTTTTATTTTAAAATTGAGTGACAATTTTATAACTCTTACTAAGTGGGTAGCACAAAATAAAACAACTACAAGATATTTGTTTCTTACTCGCCAACCTCTCTATCGATATCCCAGTGCGCGTACTTCATAATGCCCCAGCTAAGTGTGGCAACTCTAATCTTGTGACCCCAGAAGAAGAGAGGGATCCAGAGGACCAAGACACCACCGCAGATAGCAGCCATAGTCCCATAGGCAGTCTGATAACCGGCCTCATTCACCCAAGGGTTAGTGTAGAAACCAAGTAAGAAACCAAAAGCGGATTTAAAGGCGAGCTGAGTGACAACGATCTCACCCGCAATTGGTCGATAGCAATCAATAGTGTATACGAGGGAGATATTGGTTGCTTGGGTGATACAGAAGTTGACTAGATTATTGTCAGCAAAGCTTTTTAAAGAACGGCTGAGATTGGAGCAAATCTCACTTAAGCCAATGCCAATGGTTGGTACAATCCAGTGCATTTTGTGCTCGATACCAACGCCGTAAAGGACGAGTGCCAATGGCCCGCAGACTACGCTGAGCATAATAGCTGGTAGACGGAATTCAGGTTCACGAATACCACCGTTACGACGGGTGAAGATATCAGCAACCCAATCAGAGAACGAGCCGCCCAGGAACATGCCGATAAATGCACCAATAACAGCAGCAAAGAACGCCAGACCAGACTGCCAAGCGGCAAAGCCGTAAGCAGTAGCAAAGGCGGGAGCCACGTTCGACGTGATTGCTGTGATGAAGCCAATTGTGACAGACATAACAAGTGTAGCCCAGAGAACATTGGGCAAAGCGAGGAGCATCACGGGACGGAATATCATTTTCCAAAGTGACTCTTCCGTGAAGGTGCCGTTATAAAGTTTGAGTCCTCTCCAGAGGAACTCAGAGACCTTGGGAGTAGGTCTAACCAAACGGCGGACTTCCGCGTGCTCTGCGCCAGCCTTGATGCTGGACCGACTACCTTCGGCATCATTAGCATCTTCACGGGTAAGAGGCTCTGGTTTTCTGATGTATGCAGTTTCTGGGAAGGTCAGGTAGACCAGAATGGTAACGAAGCCGATGATAGCGATAGCAACGTAGTAGATGTACCTCCAAGGGTGGTATCGAACAATAAAGCCATCAATGATGGCCCCCGAAGCTACACCAAGATTGAGCGAGGCGGTGTAGGCGCTATCGGAATAGAGAATATTAGTGAAACCATACAGAACAATGTGTTCGAGAATATAGGGAATGTCTTACGCAGTCCATGTTCCACGTTCGTGAAGGAAGAACAAGTCAGCAATAGTGACAGGAGCAAGACATTCGCCTGCACCAGCTGCAAAACCCATCATGATTCGAGCAACAAGAAAGTTGGCATATTGCTTAGCTACGGCACACCATATAGCCGTAATGACATATAGAGTGAAAGCACATACATATGAGGGCCGACGTCCATACTTATTAATTAACGGCATCCAGAAAAGATTTCCGAGACCCTGGAATAAGGCAGTGCAGTTGAAAAAGTAGGCAGTCTTGGCGATGGGACCGTCGAGACCAGTCTTCTGCCAATCGGGGAAGAAGTCTTGAGCAGTCTCGACAATAGCAAGTGTCGGTCCGGCAGCAAGAAAGTTGCACATGAGGATGGCTAGACACACCGCAATTGCTGTGTATGTCTTGAACCACCTTGGCCTGTTTGTTTATTGTCAGAAGTCGTGTTCACCATCTTCATATAAAAGCCTTGTGACCAGGCTTCAAAACCAAACTGAGAATAGATTGCAGACGAACCAATTCAAGGGATCCTTGGGATCCAAAGACGGAGTTGGCACCAAAATGATTTCTTGAGTGTCGACATGGCGGAGACGTACATGGCCAAGAGTGGCAACGTTGGTATCAACCTCCCTGATGTCATCTGCCGTCACTGCGTGAGCCATGACGACTGTGTTTACCCGTGAGGACAAGATTAGCACGTGGGCGTTGTTATGGCGGATTGTCAGATGGATAACCCAGAGATGCAAATGAATCCAGGATACTCAAAGAGGTAAAGAAACTATAAGGTGCGATGGCTGGCCGACCCTAGCAAGCAGCAGTTGGAAATGGTGTTAGCTTTTATAGATCTCGCGCTGCCATGTGGTGTCGCAGACACAGTCTCTTGTCCTTACTGGAATAGATTTAATGGTTGCTTTAAGCAAGTCTCCTTGGGGTGTCGGAATGAGCTCGGCCCCTCATCCATTAGAATGTGGAGGAACTGTTCTCAAGTCCTTAATCTAGACTTAGGCTTACGATTTATTTTTTTAATCTCTTCTTTACTTTATATTATTGATTAAATGTTTTATACGCTTTTTAGTACCTCTTTAATAGTCTCTTTTTAAATACTTTTATAGTGCCTTTATCAGAGATCAATAGGCTTTAAGAGTTAGGTTTAAACAGTATAACTTACAATATGCTATTCACTGACCAAGTAAGGCAGATATGAAAATGCGCCATTAACTCGCCCTTCCGATGTGGAGTGTTGTAGACAGTGATACCTATGTAGTCTGCATCCACGATGTCACTCTGTTCTCATCCATCTGGTTAGATTTCCCCGCACTCTGATAGTTCCCCAGATTGTGCCCAGTCTGGGGTAACCGTTAGCGCTATGTAGATCCGCCCACAATTCCGAATAGCTTCACGAAACCTCGTTCGAGACCCGAGACCTCCCCCGACAACCCTGTCCGCTTCCAAGACTCGGCAATCCGGCTACAGGCTTGAACCTCCAGATCTAGTAGAGCCCTGCTAAACTGGACGATTGGTGGCATAGCGAGATGTGATGGGCCAATTGAGCTTGCAGCTTAATGAACCCTAGCCGCGTCATTGCACAATTAGAGGAGTCGGCATGTGGAGAAACTCCAATCTCCGCAACTTCGGCTTGTGAGAATGGAACATATTCATCTGAAGGAAGGGGATGGATTAACAAGTAGTATAAATCATAGCGAATTCACAATGAATCAGGAGTAATTATCATTACTGTTGCAACAAGACCTGCTCAACTACCTTTTCATCACCTGTTTGCACAACTGTTCAATCGATATGTTGTCTCCAATCACTCTCGTAGCCTTCTCTGCAGTGGCTCTGGCCACTGTCGAGATCCAGGACCCTTCCAATATCATTCCTGCGTCTGACTGGGCCGCCGATAACGCCCTCATTGCTGATTACAATGCTCCGTTTCCAGCAAACGGACAGCCAACAGACTGTGAGTCGCATTATTTGGTCTCAGACAATTTGCATAAACACAAGACTAATGTACCCGCGGGATGGATAGTGATCGGCGTTCATGACATCAAGCACAAGTCTGTTTCAGTCGACCATGTGACTTGGCATGCCAACAAGAACGATACCAATGTCGTCCTGGTATCTAAGAATGCTGACTTCGCTGCGTCTTATTCCACTTTCGTTAAGTCTGGGTACTACTCGAACTTGAACTGGGCCAGCTTCTATGGGTTCAATGCCGCCATCAACGTTGTAAGTTACTTCCTAGTTCTCGATCCCCCGAGGCATCATGGGTGCATAGCTGACGTTCTCTTCTGCCAAGGCAAATAATTCCGTCGCCGTCCTCGATCATGTTAACATCACCGTTCACAACGGCGCCGCCAATGTGTACTCATACGGGACAGGCACCGTTGTCAACGTGACCAACAGCTGGCTGTATTCCAGTGGACCCGTGAGCCATGGCCTTTATGCATCTGGAAACGGCACCATTCATGCCAAGAACCTGCAGCACTACTCCGGCGGCCATCGCTCTAGTGCTTTCTCGGGAGACAGCCCAGCCGGCTACATCTACGTCGAGGATTCTGTTTCGCACGTTCGTGGAATTGGCTCCGCAACCTACTATGCTCTTGGTGAGATCCATGCAACCAATGTCGCATCTGTCTCCGAACAGGGACCTGTTGTCTTCTCAGATGGAAAGCAGAAGATCTACATCAAGGATTGCTCTGCTCAGGCCGGTCTGCTCGGTGGTGCTGTCCTCTTCAGTAGCTCCGAGCGTCGTTCTGGTGCAGTGCTAGATATCGAGGATACCACTATCACTACCATCGGCAAGACCATGCCTGGCTTGTGGTTTGGCAACGTCGTTGCTAATGCCAGACTCAAGAGCGTGCAGCTGAACACTGCTTCTGGAATTCTTGCTGTTGCCAACTTTTCTCAAATCACCCAGGACTTCAATTACTATGGTGGTTATGTCGACAACCCGTCAATGAAGGCCGCGGAGGTCAGTCTGAAGGTTCTGGAGTCATCGTTGTCCGGTGATCTTATCGCATACAACAAGAGTTCTATTTCCCTGTCCCTCACAGAATACAGCAATTGGAAGGGAACAGCCCGAGTCGGGTACAAGTCGGCTTCTTTTGGTGTCTCCCTTGACGCCAGCAGCGAGTGGACACTAACTGCTGACACGACTCTCCAGAACTTCACCAACTTGGATACCTCTAACAGCAATATCCAAAGTCGTGGATACAATATCTACTATAACTCTTCTGCATCTGCAAACAAGTGGCTTAAGAGTCGAACTATTAAGCTCCCTGGTGGTGGAAAGCTTGAGCCAACTAAGAATAAAGCAGGCAATTGATTGATTAAAAGGAAGTAGCTTAGTGATATTATATCCCTCTTTAGTAAATCAGGTGTAATTTTAAATGAGTATGATGTTAGCACATGGCGGCTGGAATGCTGTTTGTCTTAGAGTTGTAAGCAGAGGGTGATAAGCTGTCGCCTTGAAAGCTGTCCAATGACTGTATTGTATCAAGAAGTTCCTCAAACCCTTCGCTCTTATTTGATGGATGGCAGGTAAAGGAAGCAGCATTGCCTCGACCATCTGTCTCAAGAAATCCAAGGCAGATTCAACATCAATCTTGCAGATAGTACAAAACCGTGGCGTGTCTTCTGTGGATCTGGTTATGGTCGAGAAAGTCATATTAGCTCCAGTGCGCGTATAGATCAGCCAATTACTTGACATAACTAGTTGCACTTTAGGTGGCTTGGCTGCATTTGCTAATATTAGTACCTTACCCACCACGGAAGAACAAGCCCCAGAGCCTTGCCACGGACGCTCATGCACTATGAAACACCAGCTGATGTGCTATGCTCGTTTCTACTTAGTAATTCCGAGTTAGGTTGGGCGAAGGACAAAGGCCGCTTGTACGAGCGTAAATATAGCCAATCGCCGACTGGAATAATGCTCGTCTCTATAAAAGGCCAATTCCTTTCCCTCTGTGTAATGACAACCTCGCCCTATAAAAAGTCTAGACAAGTTACACTGTTGCGTTGTTCGATCTGAAGCCATACCCTACATCATAACCTACGCCTTCTTTCATCATGGTATTCATCGAGCCCCATGGAGATGTTCCATGCCTTACAGCATATCTTGCAATCCCTCTTACTGAAGTCGAGCTGGCAAAGGTCAAGGCAGAATTTGAACTCGGAGCCTGTTCCCAGTTCAACCCACTCCTCGAGCTAAAGATTGTCCCCGCGCCGGATGCTTACATCGGAAAATCTCATCAGTATATGCGCGCTAAGGAAGATGAAGCGGGCCGCAATGACGCTTTTGTTGTCATTGATGAGGACTATATCGAGAGACACGCAATATGGTTCGTGGATGCCTTCGCTGATACCGACATGGTTGAGAATAAAGAGGCGGAAAGCACTGAAGTGGTCATCAAGCTTCTTATTCAAATGGATTGCCTGGCTTTGTCCTACATATGTTGGGAGAGCAACACGACCGTCCTCGAAGATTTGGACCATGTTGGAGTAGAGAAGCCCTTAAAAAATGATTTCTGGCAGCCTGAGGTCAGCAACTGCGGTGGATTAGATATGAAGGAGCAACAATGGGATCAGGTTGCGGAGGTGACGGCCGAATCGGGAGAATTTACGGAGACTCGGGATAAGGCACTCCTCGAGAACTTCTCCCCGCAGCCCGAAGTATTGGTGAAGCTCAAAGACAAAGTTGCCAAGGCTGCTGGCCTTATTGCATCGTGGACTTTCATCAATGAGGCGGAACCGATAGACATGCCCGATGGTTCGCAGAAAACTTTCCCAGTCGGGAGCGTTCTTCTGCAGCAGGCATACAATCCAGAAGCGCCATGGCCAAAGTATAAGTGGCCCAAAGGCTCGTTGTAATAGTTAAAGCAACAACAACATTAGCTGTTACATAATAATTCAGACACTCTAGAATGGCATTGGTTGCTGCGTATAATGCTGTTGCTGCTAGGCAGGGGTTATCGGAACATTAATAACCCGGGGAATAAGTAATCCTGCTTATTACTATTTCCATACCTAATCATCATGTTTCCTCAATTAATAACTTACATAAAATTCACAATGCAGTCCAGGATAACCTTTAAGAATGGACATTTGCAGTTCCGAGAACCCTCTCAAGACGAGGTAAATTCTGACTGTCAAGAATCCGCCGAACCCGAAGTACGCTTACCGCTTCACTTTGCACCACGATGTGAAGGCACAGCATGGGACATATTGTTGCAAAAATGCAAGCCTGCACCGAAAGTACTAAAAAGCCCTTGGCAACCACCTGCGGTCTCAATGTGCTACTTGATGTCTATTCCTGCAGAGATACGCCTTAAGATCTACCGAGGTCTGCTCATTTCTCGCCACCATGCACGTCTACGCAAATGCAAGGAGGGATTCCGCCTCATAGCCAGGGAGTCCTGGGACCCCCGCTCAGGTATTCACCCTCAGATCCTGCGAACATGCAGGCAGATCTACCAAGAAGCAACTCCTATTCTCTATTCACAGACCCTCTTTCAACGGGGTTATAAATGGCCATGTCAACATACAGACAGCGGAACCCGCATTCGCACGCCTCTTTCTGATACCTCACCTATTAGCCAAGCCAACTTGGCTAGCATCTCACGTATATACTTATGCCGAGGTTACAAAGAATGGCTCCGAAACGGAAAACTTGCAGTCCTTGATGAGTTTCCCCACTTGAAGGAATTGCAAATCGCTATTGATTTCAACGACATTCTTGAGATGGAGGCCAGATCTCTCGAGGACCTTGCAAAAGACACCATCAAAGCGATCCATCGCGAGCGCCCGGATATTCCATGCTTTAAAATGGAGATCCGCTTGTGCTTTCATGGTCGGGATTATGATAACTGGGGGAGAGAGTACACCCGTGGAAAAGAAAGCTTTAGTGTCCATCTGATCAAAAAGGCTGAGATTGAAGCATGGATGCGGCAAGAGGGGATGTTTTCCAGCAGGTTCTTGTCATGGTCTTTTAAAACACATCGCTCGGAATACTGCGGTCCAAGTTGTTACATATCTTTTTCTTGTGACCAGTCACGTGAAAAAGCAAGGTATATTGAATGCGAGGTACGTGACGATGACACAGAGGCATCCGGTTTGTTGGAGGTTGACTCGGATGAGAGGGAGATTTCGGTAAATATTGCCATATAAGTTATAGCAGGGCCTTATGTCATCATGGAGAGAAAACCCCATTTTTTAACTTTGTCGTTAAGGTACATAGGGGAAATTACAGCTATTCTTATCCCAGGAACGCTCTAGGTAGTAAACTTAAGTTTTAACTTTAGATAACTTATACGCTATAACAGCAGGTAGGGGAAAATCGTTAAATAAAGCAAAACCCCTGCTGCGTCTACATACATATAAGCAAATTTAGAAAACTTAAAGTTTTTATAGAATATTTTTCTTTCTTTATAATAAACTTAATATTAATTCTATAAAGATTATCCTAAATTTAGATTAATTCTTATTGTTACTTATAAGGAAGGTGCCAGATATATCGGAGAGACTACAGCTATAATTATCTCAGGAGCGCTTTGAGGTAGTAAAAGTAGATTTTATTTTTAGATAACCAAAACGCTATGACAGCAGGTAGGGGAAAATCGTCGAACGAAGCAAAACCCCTGCTGCGTCCAAGTACATACAAGCAAATTCAGAAACACCATTCGAGCAAAGACAACAAGTAGAGACTTCCAAACCCAAATCTAATTCCAGCTGGGTAATACCGTCAACCATCGCGATGTGTCGTCATTACTCAGAAGCCAATCGAAAGCGGGCCAAAGGAAATGCCAAATCCCTCAGCATCAGTCTGTACTTCGTTAGTCTTGTGCTTCAAAAGTCAGGTGGAGGCTGCTTCATCATGACTGGGCCATCATCGTTATCGTCCCAGCCTTTCTGCCACTCTTCAGATGGCACCCAGGCCATCTGGCGAGCGCGGATCATTGGAGTGATATCGATGGAAGCCGGGCCAGCTGCCGTATGATCAACATGGCTCACCTTGAGTGCGTTGCTGTTGCTATTGAGGGTATCCAGGAGAGAAGCCTTCTTGGACAGTCGATGGGTAACGGTGGAGGTCTCGGGCTGAAAGCCAAGCTTGGATGACACCTTCTGGCTGGCAGCATCGATGAGGCGGGGCAGATAGGCTTTCGCGGCTTGTTTGGCGGTATCGAGAGCCATAGGGCCCAGCTTCTGCACTGTATCCTTGATGAAGTCAAAAATGCCTTCGGTGTCACCTGTGTCGGCATTGATGGGCTTCAGTTGCTGTAACTTATGCGAAGGCATAGTCATCAAAGCCTGCAGAGCTGTATCGGCCATAACAGCACGCTGGAGGAGAATCTTGGTAGCTTTCTCGTGCTCGCTGGAGACTTCGGAGACGGTAGACTCGGCTCCGAGTGCGCCTTTGATCAGGCTTCCGATGGCCTGAGTAGCGATGGGCTTGGCCACATTGACTGCAGTCTTGAGGACAGGGCCAAGCCAGTCGAAGATACCCTCTTCCCCAGCCACTTGCCGTGTTGGACCCATAAGGCCCTGGATGAACGCGGCTTCTTCATCACCAAGCGAACTCTCGGAGAAGTCCACTCCTAGGCTTCGGCGCGGCTGGTTATGGGGAAGTCCCTGCCTCTGAGTGTGTCGGGGACCCTTGTGATGTTGGACTAGTCCCGAACCACACTGGGCAACCATTGGACTGACAACAGGAGCCAGAAGGTCAACCTTCGGGGCGTTGGATCGCCAAATGCTCTGCATCTTACCGAGAACCTCAGTTAGGCCTTCTGTCTGCTCTGATGCAAGAACTGCTTGCAGCGCAGCCTCAGCAAGAATGGCACGCTCTGCAGTACCGTTCTTTTCGACATCGGGGCTCTCAGACATACTACTCTCAGCAAGCGAACCCAACAGTCCTCCGACAGCTGGACCAAGGATCCCACCAACAGGACCCAGGAAGGGGGATGCAAGAGGAATAAGCTTGGAGCCGACATTGGCGACCTTCTTGAAGATGTCCAAGAAACCCTCCTCGCCAGCTTCTGTGGAACGGGCGTTGATGGCTGCGCTTCCGTTTGAGCGCCCATGTCCATTCATAGTGTCCTACACGCTTGTGTTAGTAATCTTATACGAGTTCTTAGTACTTCTATACGTACAGTTGGACGAGTAATAGTGCTGTTGTTGCTGATGCCAGGTGGATTGTTGAGGGACTGAGCCTGCGTATCGACAGTGCGGACAGTACCATAGGCCCCGAACGTAGATGGAATACTGAAGAGACGGATAAAATTCTCATAGTTGTTTCCATAAGCATTGCCGATGGAGTTACCAGAGTTACTATCAGTACCGCCGCCGCCGTAGCAATGGGTTCCAATGGAGACCAATTGCCCATTGGCCTTTCGTAGGATGGGCGCGCCGGATTGTCCTGATCAGTGGCCTATCAGTATTCGATTGAAACGATAATACAAGTCGAAGTTTCAGGTCAGTATCTTACCTCCAAAAGTCGAGATCGAATACTCAACCATATGGCGAGGGCTTGCTTCAATGTCGTAGTCATTCTTGGCATATTCTTCGTACATTTGAGCGCCGTTCTCCTCGTCTCCAGTCTCGATATCTCTGAGGCTCTTATCACCAGGATAACCAACAACACCCAATAGGGTCTTGTGGCCTGACATAGGGGTGTTGACGAAGTTGAAAGTCCTCAGGTTGCCTGTGAAGGCTCGATCAAGCTGAACAAAGGCGACGTCACGGGTACGGTTGTTGGCAGCCTCAATCCACTCGGACGTGGTCACGACATTGACGCCGTGACGAACCTGAACCTGGGCGGTCTTGACCGAAGCACGACCGTTATAACCGATATAGCATCGGATCTGGGTCGCGGCTCCATAGTGTCGACCCCAGTCGTAGACAACATGACCAGCGGTGACCAAAATGTCAGGGCGGATGAGCCAACCAGTGCCCATCATCCAGACTGGCTTACCTTTGCCTTCAAAACGAGCCTGGATCTTGACAATAGCTGGGAGCAGTTAGCCATTATACTCAGCTTCTAAACATCACATGACTCACAGCGGTATTTCCCTCCTTCTTGGAGGTCACTGAAGTCGACCAGGGCACGCTGGTCTTCTCCAATGATGGACTCCTGGCTGCCCTTGCTTCCATCATCAGGAATGATGGTAGATTCAGCAGGGTGGTTACTGGCCGGTGGAAGAAGCTTCCATACAGCAGCACGACCGGGCTTAGAAGCAGTGGAAGACATGATGATTTGCACAGAGTCTAATTCTCGAAAAAGATTGTTTGGGTAGTAAAGATAGAAGAAGAGAGTTGTTCGAGAGTGTTGTGATGAGTCGACTAACTTTTGGGAAGGAAAGGGCCCTTATATATCTCTACTGAAAGATAACACTTCTGAGCAAATGATAGCTTCAGAGTACGCCAGTTCGCATCCGGGTCAACTTTGCGAGCTGTTCAGATACTTGCTTGAATCGGAGCCTCTAGACGACATATCCCTTGGTGAGACCTTTCCAGTCAGCCATCCTCCCATGTATCGTCACATTGGTGGCAAGTCTTCTTTGACTCTAGACTTCCAAATCACACGTCCCACATCGCGATCTTTTGTTCCAGCCAGCCCCCTGAATCCTGAAAATCGTCACATCTGTGATGCTGGACCTCCATATCACATAACCCTTGTTGCGGGCTTTCCGTTCAGCTAGCCTTTCGAGGATCGTCGCATTTGTGGCAACACTTCTTCGCCTACAGACTTCCCAGTTCCACATCCCTTACTGCGAGCCTTTGGTTCAGCCAGCCTCTTGAACATCGTCAACTTTGTGACTCGGAACTTCCACATCACATATCCCTTGTTGCAGGCTTTTCGCTCAGCCAGCCTTCTCAGCATCGTCACATTCATGATGATGATGGCTATGCCAACTTTGAGTTCTGGGCGCCTAGTTTTGCATTATTGGAATCCAGACCGAGTGATGTATGCACCTCCACAAAATCAAGTCACAATGTCTCAGAAATTGTCACCCACTTTACATGCAGCATCTGCACTGCTACGTTGTGGCGAAGCAATTGCCCACTGAACTGAGACATGCATAGTATCTGTAAAGAGAAGTCGCTAAGCCAGTTCTGTCAGCCCCTCACGGAGAGGGAAGACACTAACTCGGTTTAGTATGCAAGTCACATCAATAGTCTCCTGTATATCATTCAGCTCTGCCAGGCACGCCCGCGCTAGTCCTCTTACAACAAATGCAGCCAGCGTTGATGATATGGAGCCGCTGCCCGAAACTTAAATCCTTTTCAGTTTGTAACGCCAGGCTACCAGGCCGGTACCCCGCAGCCATACGTATATACCAGCATAATACGATACAAGCTCGTTTTATCGCCATCATGGCATTTCATCACCCTGCAGAGTTAATTAAACTATCGATTAAGAACTTGGCACTGGTATGTCTTGCTAGCCCTACTGATTTAACTGCTCGAGCATATCAGCCAGCCACTGACTGCATTGTTTAAAAACTATTTGAGACATACGACTCAGGTGTAAAACCTATTAGAGTGAGCAAAGTGCTGAGAAGTCTTGACAAATTTTAGAAGGAAACTCAAATCAGGCTTTAGGTGTCAGCCCAGAGAGAGTAAACTGATTCTCCTAGACCTCCTGAGACAATCTGGTAAGCTAAGCAAGTAATGACGACAGCCAAGTCATCATTTTCCAGGACAGACTTCTAACTATAGCAATAGAATGCCAGAAGTAATTATTCAGAGCTTCCAGGTTTGGATTGTGATATTGATAATTACACACTGTCAGTGCGGCACTGGCATGTGACCAATATCTACACTGAGGATCAGAAGCTCAGCCAGCCATCTTGCTTTTGTATGACTCTCACCAAGCAAAAGAACCACAATTTAAGGAAAGATCGATGAGGTATTTTCTGATCACTGGTAGTTTATCACATCCCTTAAGCTTCAGGTTGCATCCCATGTTAGCTACGTATTATGTTCCACCCCAGCTCGAGATATTTTACTACCAAGGAGGGTGGCGCTCAAGACTGTGACAATACGTGCATACTCGTGTTTGTTAAAGGGGCAATGATAACCCTGCGGAGGTAACTGCCTAGATAGGACTTAGTCAGGCCTCTGGTGATATCATGTTCTAACCCGTAGGAGGATATTGGCCATCTTGCCAGTTGGAGATCTTACAAAAGTCCCTCTCTGTCTTCTCATAGATTGGCGCGAGAGGTTCCAGACTCGGCAAACAAAAGGTAATAGGGGAATTTTGGTTTCGTGTGATCGTTGATGGTCTTCAAGATGACAGCTGGAAGCTGGCCATCCTTGATCCTTGCAAGAAAGGGGTGTCGGACTTGATGATATATGGCGTCACACCATTTCGGCCCCAGAGCGCACACTCTTTCAGCATATTTTCGGTTCCGCTTGCAGAAGCCAGACTGGCGACACCCCTTGAAGGGGTTCACTCTAACGTGAGTGATGAAAGGAGCTAATTGGGACAATCTTTGGGTCCCCTGAGGAAGTCCCTGATGGCAAAAAACCTTTTCTTATGACTAAGGACACTCCTACTAACGAAGTGTGAGAGGGCCTCTTGTCAAATTGGATCGTTCCACGTTGCTCCCCGATGAAGGCCATACTAGAGAGGACATTCGTAATAGCAAGTAGATTCACCCCCCGCCACATCAAATCCAACCAATCCAGCTTTGACCAGTAAGACATGTAGATCTATTCTGTGTTAGGGGTCGTTGTCATTGAAGTGAACCTTCTGTATGGCATGTTCATCTCGCGCTCGGTTCCTGAATTGGTGCTATCTTGGTCTTGCGACTCGCCGCCCAGGGGATGTATGTACTGTAACTCAACTATGAGACACTGAGATGGTGTGAGCTAAAGACATCATGAACTTATCCTACACCCATCACGTTCGCGACCCTCGCAAGCTTGTCCATCTAGAAATTAGTCCATGTCGTGACATTTTCTGCTGGTGATATCGAATCGGGCCATGTAGTTCTGCTTAGGAACCTATATTTTAGATAATAACTTTTTTAATACTTTCCTTTTATTTAATATTAATAATATTTCCTTAAGAGTTATTAAGTATTAATAAAATATCTTAATAGTATTTATATATTATTATTTTTTAAATAGTTCTGTTATTTAATAAAGTATTTTATATTTATTAAAAATATAAAGTATAGTAATAAGCTTATTTTATTATTATAACTTTTAGTAATTAAATACTATATATTAAGCTTATTATATAAAGAAGTCTTATTAGTAATTAATAAGTTAAGTTTTATAAAAGTGTTAATAAGTATAATTTATATAGTTAAGAAATTATAACTTAAATATAGCTATTAAGTTTATAATAGTTCTTTAAAATCTTTTTAATAATTTTATAAAATTTAATATATTAATAATAATATTTATAATTTAATTACTTTATAATAATACTTCTTAATAAATTAATATATTATATTTCACTTTAAAGTCAGATATAGCCACTCTATATTAGTTAGTTATATGTTATTAGAAAGCCTTGCTATAGTACGTGTCCCCCAAGCCTTGAACTTGGTCTAACACTTTGTACAACGACGAGGTGATAAAGTTGTCCGACATCGGATGACGCAGACAAAGTACCCCAATAAGCCTTCATCACAACAAGAGGTAATGCATAAGTTCAAAAGGATACGTCGACCCCCAAAAGTGTGTATAGATAAAACTTGTAACATTACAATTTACTCTGACCCGAAGTCTTTCCCGAAGTGATCCATCCACCATCAATATTGTATACAGCTCCTGTCACAAAGCTAGCTTCCGGACTTAGTAGAAACGCAATCACCGTAGCCACTTCGTGGGCGGTGCCCATTTTCCTCTGAGCATTGGCCATCAGGCCATTCTCTACACGCTTAGGGTCGTGGTCCGCAGACATTGGGGTATAAACGACACCTAACATAGGACACCAGAAGTTAACCGCGAGGTCCACAGCCACCCTCTACCGAGGCTTGAGCGTATAAAGCTTACCTGGAGCAACACAGTTGATGCGTAGATGACCATTCTCTTTAGCCGCGGCAGTGGAGAGGGAGATGACTGCCGCCTTGCTGGCACAGTAGATGGAGCTATTTGGGAGGCCTACCTGGCCAGAGATACTAGCTGCAGAGACCTAAGATGGAAGGGTTTAGTAAATTGATTCAATTAGACAAAGAACGCAAAGTATAGTAGAAAACTCACGATGGCACCGCCCTGTTTGAGGGCTTTGATCTGCGACTTGAGACAATTGAAAACGCCATTGACGTTGACAGACATGACAAAGTCGAGGTCCTTGTCGGTTGTGTCCAGAATAGAAGTATGGGAGGGGCCAAGAACACCAGCCATATTGACGGCGCCATCAAGCTTACCGAACTTCTCGACTGTCTTGTCAATCCAGTCCTGAACAGAGTCTGCTTTACGGACATCGACAGCTACACCGAGATGCCTTGAAGGACCGCCCGGCAAGGTTCTTATGACCTTCTGCAATGCAGCATCATTCAGATCGGCCAAGGATAGTAAGGCACCACGGGATGCAAGCAACTTGGCCGTGGCGAGGCCCATACCACTGGCTGCGCCTGTGATGGCAATCTGTTTAAGAGGAAGGCAATTAGATTATTATTAAGAAAGTCGGAGCAAAAGACTTACTGCTTTGTTTTCGAAAGAAGTCATGATACCTTGTTTAAGATTGTGATATGATTATGGGCAAGTAGTGGCTCTAAGACTCTACTGAATAGTGTCAATTATCACGATTTCGTTGGGCTCGTCGAAGCTTTAAAAAGCTTTAGGTAGTAGAGTACCAATCTCACTTTCGAAGAAGTTCATGGGGTAGCTCGTCCGCTTCTCCGGGGAAACATACTGGAATCGCGGGTCTCGGTACAGCCTGGGGCTCTGTAGAAGCGAGACCCCCGGAAGTGGGCCCCGTGCTCGGCTCGTTGTGGGTTCCGCGACGGTCATATCGGATTCGGCTAGGTTAGCCCTGCTAGCCTCGGTTTCGGTACCGACCCCGATACTTATCCCATTACGGTCTTGATAAGAGCCTCAATATTGGCACCAAGCGCGGCGACGTTTGGTGGTGCCATCGGTTGCATCCCCGTTATCGGCCCCTGTAGCGATCACCAAGTTGCTATGAGACATAATACATTCAAATTGGTTTTTAAGGCAGAGGTGCCGCCATGGTATACATATGGTTCACGACTGTTGCAATCAAAGCACATGCCTATTCATTCAACTCATCTCTTCTTCTTTCCAAGACATTCACAAACAATAAAACATGTCTTACGACACAATAGACGAGGCATACGATGTCCTCATTGTAGGAGCTGGCATGTCTGGGATCTGCGCCCTCCATAGCATCAGGTCCAGATTCCCAAGTTGGCGCGTCCGCGTGCTAGATTCAGCACCATCGGTAGGCGGCACCTGGTATTGGAATCGCTACCCAGGCGCTCGCTTCGATTCCGAGACTCTCTCATATACCTTCTCCTTTGACCAGGAACTGCTCCAAGAGTGGCAATGGAAGGAACGTTTCTCGGCCCAGCCAGACACGCTCGCATACATCAACTTTGTCGCCGACCGTCTTGATTTGCGTCGCGACATCCAGCTCAACACCCGTGTCGTCTCTGCTCGCTGGTCTGATGATGAGAGCCGCCGGTGGATCCTTGTAGACGAGACTGGTCGCTCATATTCAGCCAAATTCTTCGTCTCGTGCCTCGGTTTCCTGTCAAATCCCACTCTACCTGCCATTCCTGGCATCCAGGACTTTAAGGGCCAGGCCTTTCACACGTCGCGGTGGCCAACCGATATCAGCCACCGTGACATAGTCGCCGGCAAGCGAGTGGGAATCATCGGCACTGGCGCAACTGGCATCCAGACCATTACCGCCCTCGCCAAGATTCCCGAGCTTAAGTCTCTAACCGTCTTCCAGAAGCAGGCTATGTGGGCTGCCCCTCTACGAAACAGCTCTATAGAAGACATGGCCCAGGAGCGGAAGAAGTACGCCGAAATATTCAAGTTGCGGAATGAGTCTCCAACCGGCTTTATTCACTTGCCTGACAAGCGCAAATCCAGCGAAGCTACTCCTGAAGAACGCCTTGAGCTTTGGGAGAGCCTATATAACAAGCCTGGCATGGGCAAGTGGCTGAGTGCTTTCTCTGATACCTATATAGACCGCGAGGCCAATAACTTATACTCGGCCTTTATGGCTGATAAGATCCGCGCCCGGGTTAATGACCCAGAGATTGCTGAGAAGCTTGTTCCTAAAGATCATGGTTTTGGCCTTGCCCGAGTACCTCTTGAAAGCGGCTACTATGAGTCTTATAATCAGCCTAATGTCCACCTTGCCGATATCAGCGTCAATGGCATTGAGAAGATTACTCCAGCTGGTATTACCTTGGAAGATGGCACCAAGTATGAGCTTGATGTGCTTATCTATGCGACTGGATTTAATGCCATTACAGGCGCTTTTGTTAATGTTGACTTCCGTGGTAAGGACGGCATCCCTCTTATGGCTCGAAGCGGCGAAGCCGAGGCTGATCGCGCTGCTTGGCTTGATTTCATGCCCCAAACATACCTCGGCATGACCGTACCCAAGTTCCCCAATATGTTTATGGTCCTTGGACCTCACCAGCCTTTTGGCAATGCCACCCCAAACATCGAGCATGCCGTCAAAGTCGTTACTAGTATACTTGAAACGTGTTATGAGAAGGGCATTACCTATGTCGAAGCCACCGAAGAAGCTGCGGATTACTGGAACGATCACGTCGTCAAGGGCAGTGAAGGTGCTCTGCTCAACGAGGTTGATAGCTGGATGACCGGTATCAACAAAAACGCCGGGAGAGTCAAGCGCGGAGTTGTCCGTTACGCAGGAAGTGCTTTAGAATACCGGAGGCAATGCGCAATGGCTAAGGAGAACGGATGGAATGGCCTTGTCATGCTCAAGGACCAGAACGCAGCCAAAACAGCTAGTCCAAGCATTCTGTCCAAGCTATAAACTTGCACCATAGTTTTGACAGACAAATGTAATTATCATGATTCTGTTTACAACTTAATAAAACTGAAACTACTATTCAACGTGTCAAGGCCTGTCTCTGCCTCTGCCATGTTCATCACGAATGGCTATACCTGGGCCTGGTACTTCTGTGGCGCAGGAGAATTTACAAAGCTTTCACGAACCTATCTTAGGAGGAAAAATTAAGATCCTTGAGGCTCCATAAAATGAAACAAGGCGTCTTATTGAGCGCTGGTGAAGCTCAACCAACCTTATTCATATAAAGGAGGATGCTAGAAAATGTCTTCTTTTTCGTTAAGGACTTGTCGACTTTCTACACCGTCAAAGCACCAAGTTCAGCAATCCTTATGGACCATCTTATGCGCATTGAAAAGCCTGTGGCTATGGAACTCAGAAAGCAGTTACATGTATCAAACCGTATCTGAAGAGAGTAGCCACGGGATAGGGTCATCGTTCTGAAATTCGCGGGTCAGTGAAAGTATATCTTCCAATTCAACCTGAGAAGCAGCAAAATCCCATAGACCAGTCCCCAAACCCGTATCATCTGGATAGTTACCCACATGAGCCGGCTCTTCCTGGCTCTGACCACCGCTTGCGCGTCCTCCCCAAGATCTATGCGGTGTTGATGCATCTAAAACGGACGGATCTTTTGGTAGATAGCAGCGCTCACTGGCCGACTCGTCACTCCGATGAGGGGCCAATAGAGTTTCGAGATGCTCCAATTCGGCTATGCGAAGCCCAACTGCTACGCTTCCCTTGCACAGCAAAGCTTCGAAAATGACGGCCACTGACTGACGCCATCCAGACTGTTGCATGTGTGATGGCAGGAGTACCGAGAGTATGGAGAGCAATGTGGCGGCAGAGAAGGCATATTCAAGATGGAAAGGTAAGAAGGCTTCTGCAATTAATTATTAGCAAATTTCGGCTCAATAGCGAATCAGAGTCAATCATACCTATTATGTCAATTTGAGCTAGGTCGTCTAGTGCCGAAAGTATTGTTGCTGCTGATTGCCCGGACTTCTCAATAAGAGTAGCGCCAGGTCCCGTCAGCCACTGGGGTTCACTTCCAGGGGAGAATTTTCGCGTGAGCAGCCATATTACAAGTGGCCGGGTTGCCAGAACTATGCACTGAATTTTTCATCATTTGGTCAATCGGTAATCCTCGTAAACGGTGTTGCTCTTTTCTTTCAACTTACATGGTGATATGATAGATTTATGTTGATGAACATTTGTGGCGGTTCACCACCGCTGGTCCTATAGAAGGAGATAATTTGATCAATGTCCCGAGATAGTTCTGCAAGCTTATGCAGATTTGATGTTGTATCTCGCACAAAATCCGAGACTGACTGTTGATCAAAGCTGTAACTACCTAAACTTGTATTAATACCAGATACATATTAATAACGAGGGCATTGGTAGTATTTTCATACAGCTTGTTATGGTCAGGACGAGTCGCGATAGGCGCACTCGTAGACTGAGTGCTTTTTCTAAATGATCTGAAGACAGTAAATCTGGTGTCGGGGTGGTGATATAGTCTTGCGACAACGTGGATGGGCACCCTAGCCCTGCTGAGATCTCCTGGTCCAGCACGTAAATACCCCACCAGGTATTGCTGAGTTCAGCTATCAGCTTAGGGCCAACATCTTTTGGCATCCGACGATGAAGACCATCATGTAGCGCCATGCGAAATGCTTGGCCGATCTATATATAAATGGCGTGGGTCAAAAAACCAGTCTTCTGGAAATCAAAAAGCGAGTAAAAGTAACATCGGCACTGACATATTGATATGCTGATGAACGCATGTCAACAGCGTGAAGATACAGCGCTGATAAAGCCAAAACTCTCATAGCCAAAAGCGCCGGGCGTTTGTTTTGGAGAACTGCCATATCCGGCAACAGTGAGAAGGCCCGTGCAGCCATATAAGAGCCGTTGAGAGTCTTGTGTGCGCGAGAGGGACTACCATACCCAGATGTAAGTGCCTTACCCAAGGCAAGGATCAGAAGGTACTCGATAAACCACAAACGGTGTTCGCGAGCAGTCTCTAACGGATTCTTGTGAAAGTCATAAAAGGTTTCAAGGAAGCTGGGCTCATCAATAATGCATGATAGCTCCCCGAGGCGAAATTTAACTGTGTTATATAGAAAGAGGGCATGATCCATTGGTGGCAAACGTGATAAGTCATCAACATCCACTTCAAGCTTGGATTGCCATTGTAGGATAAATGCCGTTCCATCCAAGTTCAATGGTGCTAGAGGTGTATCGGGACTGTTGACAGCATTTTCAAGAATGGTAAACACCCGGCGGCAGAAAGTCCATGTTGAAGTTGGCCCAAGAAATACTATCAAGCAGGGAGGGTATGTTGTCAGCAGCTGGGAATGCACAAAGATTTCCTGGTAAAGCAATACCCAAGAGAGGTTAAATAGACGTTTGAACATACAGAAAAGAGATGATTGAGAATCATGGATAAAACCGAATTCACTACCGAGGATGCTATTCCTGGGACGTTGAAGTTGATCTCTGTCCCGAGATTCGCCCTCACCAGAACGGCTGTTGGCTATGGGCGCAATTGATGAAGTGATGGGAGTAATCGAAGAAGTGACGGTTCGTCCTGCATTCCTCGAACTACTGGGCTGGTGTTCTGTTGGCTCGAGTCAGCCAAAGGTATTGTGTTTTATGACATAGGCTGTCGATGTCTGAGCTTTTGGCCGGAACATACCCAATTGAGGCCTACTGTATGCCACACTACTTTGTGCAGATGGCAACAAAGGTGACAAGCATATTCTCGCTGTTCGTTCCGGCAAAGTTCTCGTACTGTCGTCTGTCTGCGAGAGGATGGGAGAGGCTGGATTCGCGACCGAGATTGACGCCTGCACACACGAGGACGGCGGAATCTCTACCCGAGGCTGAGACGAACTCTCGGCCGAGACGCCGTGTTCTTTCTCGAATAATCGTTGCTGCAAGTCTCGCAGATAGCGCTCTGACACAGAGACAAAGTCTTTGTCGGTAGCGAATATACATTCGGAACCCCGCCGCGTACATCGTTGGCACGGCTCACCCCCCGAGCATCGAACTTTCGCACTCCGACAACCCTTGCATCTGCGCATGGAGTTTAGTGGATAGAATAGGCTTTCACTTTATCACATATGGGACTTACGCGCGGGATCGGCGTGGGGGACGTGATGTTGAAACCGGGGCTCTTTCTGAGTCCATGGCTGAGGCGGGAAGCAGTCTCAAGTCCGTGAGGAATTCAGGGTATTCGATAAGTTGTAGCTCTTAAGTGCGTAGGTAAACGATGATAGAATACGGATCCGATGTCGAGGGCGGGCGTGCCGCCGAATGGCTTATCTCCAGATCTTCGTGCGGGGTAAAGATAGCGTCGGGGTTGACACCGATGGCGCTAAATTCGATCTAGGTCACATCCACCAGCCGCTCAGCAGTGCAATCTTGTTCCTTTACTTTTCTAGCGGAAGGAATGCTAATGCTCTCCATAATGAGGGTCAAACTCAACACCCTCACAGGCGAATATCGCGATGTTTTGAAGCTCTCTAGGTAAGTCCTCAAGCTTAAATAGAGATAGTAGTCTCAACCTACTTCGAGGTATTTTCGGCATCGAACTTTGTGATATAGTCAGAAACTTCCTTCTGGAGCTCATGTCGGACAATGTTTCCGTATGCCGAAACGTTAATCCGACAACAGTCTTTTCCAGCAGCGTAAACAGGCTTGTATTTATTCTTATCACAAAACACATGATTGAGCATATAGCCAGGCTTTTAGGCTTGCTGGGTTACAAGCGTAAGGAAGGCTACCTATACATATTCGCGCAATTTCTGGCACCTTGATCATGTTCGCGCACTCTCACTTGCTAGTGCGAGATGAGGCCTCGCTGTATCTCATATGGAATAACCCTCAAGCTTGCTAACGCGAGTCGACTCGTCAGGGACTTGAGGCTTGTAAGATTTGTGGCCTTGTGGATTGAGACTGGGGATTCTGGACAGTAAAATATGCTCTTAAAGATACTCACTCTTTAGTCTGGTACATGGCAAGAGCCGTAAAGACTTTTCTTTGTACAATATTTCACAATTAGAATCCAGTGAAGCGGGATGACTGTTTTGTTCCAGCCTCTACTGATCAAGATCTCAACTGCCCGAAAAGATTTTGTACTTGGGAAATTATTGTTAAACAGGTTGAATTTAGCGAAACAGGCGAAGCATAGTAGCTCTCAGGTCTTGTTGAATGTCGCCTTATTCCAAGACACCAATTTTGCAGTTATAAAGCCTCTCGGGTAGCTAGATTTGATGGTTCAGCTTATGTAATATATATCTTATCTAATCTCTACCACCTCCCCATGTCTAAATAGGTCACGCCTAGCGTCCAACTGAGACCGGAGCTGGATGCCTGATATGGCATTTCTGCTGATACAGGCAATCGAGCTATTGTTCTCGAGTCGTAAGATACTGGAATTCGAGTCGTTCTCAAAATGCCACCACTCACCTTCTGGAACATCTCCCAGTGCCTCTAAGTGGTGGATGCATAAGTTACTAGACTACAAATGGCTCCGAATGGGATGAACCCGACAATTAGTTAAAGCTTAGTCTTCCGCCATGCACTACTGCATTTAGGAAGACGGCTTCACACGTTCCGCAATCGTCAAATTTGGGCTGTTCATAAATGTAACATGGTCTACAAGAGGCTTAGTGTTCTTTTTTGTAGACCGCCGTATTGACTCTGCTCTATAGGAGATTGTTAGAATAATAAGCATCTTCTTGGAAAGGCGACACGTTCGCAAAATTACCACTCTATGGATGTGAAAGACGAATCGCAGGGTGCGATAGAGGATAGAATTTGATCGCTAACCCTTACTAGCACTTATCTCTCCCATGGTCCCATAAACGAATATCAGTGCTTCGTCCCTAAGCCTAGCATCCTGAAACTTTCTAGTTACAGGCAGAGGTTCGTAAATTTGGGAACAAACTAGCAATTAGGACAACATCCACCAATCAGGCCAGGCCCTTTTTGCTGCAAAGCGGGGTGCAGTCACTTAATTTCCCTGCACTACCCCTGGTGGAAAAAATGAAACAACCATTGATTATATAGATGCTTGCGCGGACGACAAATTTCCACGGTCCGTCGGCTCGCAAGATCAAGGTTTGTAGGCGGAATTCTATTCGCTTCTGGTCTGGAAGGCCGGGCTATGAGTAAAAAAGATAGAACATTTCACTATATAAGACCAGCCTTTCCCGTCCAGTCAAGAATATTACATTCAACAGCTTTAACGCAAAATTGCGAAGGCTAATCTACAATCGACGACTTGATTTTTGCTACCAAACCTCGAGCACAATGCGTTACCTCGCCACCCTTACTACTCTGGCTGCTGTTCTTTTCAGCACTTCTACTGCCAATCCTCTTATGCCCCGAGCCGACACTTGGGGTGGCTCTGTCTCTCTCGGCCCTACCAAGTCGACCATCGTCAAGGCCGTCACTACCCTTATTCCTGGCGTCGCGCCATCCACCCAAAACGGCATGCTTTTTGTATGGCCAGGAATGTCTAATGGCACTGGACACCTTGTTCAGACGACCCTCGAGTCCTGGCCTGACAACTCCTGGTGTGGAGCCAAGAAAGGCGAATGGTGCGTCCGCGCCTCACTTTTTGGATCATTTGGCCAGCTTGACGGCCCAGCCAGCCCAGTACGTGGCGACCAGAAAGTCAAGATCGCGTACACCCTCCTTTCGGATAACGATACCTGGCGCCAGGATGTCACCGATGCCGACACTGGCAAGCAACTGAGCACCTTCGAATACAAGTCCGGTCCCTATATGCGTGGTTATGGAACTGGTACTGAGTGCAACAACAACTGCAGTCCTACCGTGGCCGAGCAGAGGTACATCAATACTGAGATCACGCTCGCCGGTGCTGATACTAGCTTCGGTAAGACTATTGCCACTGCTCAGGGTGCTACCTACTCTGGTCTTACTAGCACCGACGGGGGCAAAGTTTGGAAGATTAGCGAAATCCGAGTTCCTAAAATGGCTTAATTGTACATGGCATGCTGAGTGGTTTCCTTTACGTTTGGGACGTGGATTATTTCTTTGTGTGTATATATATCTATTATATCATCAGTATATACAGTACTATGTTTAACATGATGTAGCCTTGTTAACCCTAAGTGAGTGGCATATCTAACGTTAACAGCATTGTTGAGAAGAAAAGGGCTTAGTAATAGAGCGATCATCTGACTTAAGTAGTGCTTACTCTCTTGGTGCAGAACTCAACTCCGCACTATTGTCACCGACTTTTCGTTATCTAAACATTGAACTAGGCGTCAACTTTATTGTGTTTTACCTAAGCTCTCTATATCAACCTAAAGATTCTCCTTTACACTTTCTCATTACTTACCGCAACTGATACATCACCACTATATTCAACCCATACTATAACCATGTTACCTTGGGATACTTCTTTATTCGTTATTTACACTGAGCTCGCCGTCCAATTTCCCACGGCGCTGTATCTCGTTGGTCCTCTGCTTTGAACCCATAATGATAACCAATTCAGACAGCGAGCTAATAGAATGGCGCACTTTGTCTTGTAGGCACAGAAAACCTATTTGGGTTCTTTGGTTCTTTTGATTAAGTATCAGTTTAAAAGGGAGCACTTTCATAAAGCTTGAGACATACTGCAACCAATTTACTGGATATTATTCACATCGAACTTCAAATATTGCAACAACAAGTATCTGAATTTCTCACTACTACCTCCTGATCCACCAGTAAAAGCTGACTTGGGCCGATGTCAACATGCGGGTCTCTATTTCACCAATGAAGCAGATATAGCGGTAAGCTTTGAGCCACTACCACCAACACTTGTCGACGTTGAACCAACTGCAAGAGCCTCGCGTCTCTTATCACACCTGTTGTACAATGTGCTCAGCCCATTGGCAACCAGGATGGCCTTTCTATTCTGACGTGAGTTTACGAAGACTTTCTGTGCGTGGTATATACACCGTCGGCCGTGGCGAGCTTGGTATTCTGACCATCGTACCAGGAGACCTGCCTAACAGCATGGAGCCTTCTAACATATGCCTCTGTGCCAACAATCCCATAGGCCACAACTGAACTTTGGATCCTCTTGAAGGAGCATCTCTTAAAAATACCATGGAAGAGGTGGACTTAAATCCTGACATCGCAGCTACGCCTTCTGCCAGCCTGTTCGAGGGAAGAGCTTGTTACTGCAACTCTCCTTATAGTTCCTTTCGGGGCTATTGCTGGAAGCAACGCCAGTGGTGCTAGACTGTCTCTGGTATGGGAGGTGGTCCACGTACCAAATGTGAAAAGTACAAAGATTCCAGAACAAACAGGCTCACAGATGCCTGCTGTACTAACTTTTGGGTCTCTCACTTATATGAGTGCAGCTGCCAGATATTTTGTCTAATGATAGAGAGTCCTAGAATTTTAATAGTTATAAATATAAGTAATTTTCTCTTTAAAAGCAAGACTATCTGTAGTTATCCCTTCAAAAGAATAAATTATCCATGTTAAGCAATTTACTATTAAAAAATATTATTATTCCTTATTAAATTACTATCTTTAAACTCTTTATTATATTTACTACCCTAAGTATCTTAAACTTAATAGAAGTATTTTATTTTAACAATATATTTAATAATCTTATATACAACTTTATAGTTAGTTGCTTATTATACTCTGGCTCTATTTTGAAGGCAGCTTTGTTAATGCCTACTTAAGAGGGTCAAGCAGCTTTATACCTTTACCATGGGCCAATATAAATGGTGACAAGGCGTCTTATATGAGAGCTGAACTTCCCATCCCTGATCCCCAGCAAACTGGGTCCTACCTCTACAATTTTTGCTGAATCTTGGGTCTTCCTTAACTGGCGCAATCTAATAAAATAGATCAAATAACTCATTCCCGAAAGCCCAAGTTGGAGAGAGCCCCAAGACACTCGAGGAGAATTAGTTTCTTATATACTTAGTCGATATCTTCACGTGACAATATGTAGTGATTGCATGAACACGGCTGGCTGAGAACCTAATAGTCTCGACGCCAACACCAGGATCAAGCCACGGGCTGAAACCCAAGATTGAAATGTCACTTGACTGCGTGATAAGGTTTGTGCTAGTTTCTGAATCCCCAAACTTAGAACAATTCTAGACCATCGACATAAAGGCGGGCGAGATTAGTAACTACTTTTCAAGACCAGTAAATGGTTATATTAATACTCTAAGAACGCAGCAGTTGAGATTTAATTTTTTTTTCATACGTTGTGGTCTCGGGTTGTTTTCCGAGACATGGCGCTCTAGTTAATAGCTGAAACTCCAGGTTCAGAAGCGGGACAAGCCGTCCGAGGGAACTAGTCAAACTATAGGTTTATAGAGGATTATAATTGGACGACAAACGAGCTATTTGATACGCAGCTGGAGCTTTAGTCCCAACTGCTACAAGTAGTCAATTCTCTGTCTAAAGGTACTTATTTCAAGATCCATACATAAACACTCATCACACACTCGAGCGACTTAGGACCGATACAGTTTTAGCCTCACAAAAGGGCTACTGCTTCTGGTCGGATGCATGAGCTCAGGCAGCCTCATTCCTATAAGAGGCTATCTTCTACTTGTAGCCCTTATCTTTTTCACCGCTGTATCAGCCATGTTCGATAGATCGATTGCCTCTTCACGCAGGTCTCACTTCGATGTGATAAGAGCGATCCAGAACTTTACCCCGCTCACCGAAATGGTTAGATCTTCTTTTTACGGAATGGAAGCGTAAGTCGGTGTGGTTACTTTTTATTACCTGTTATCAACCATCTTCGATAGAATGATTGCATGTTTGTGCCCATCTCACTTCAGTGTAATAGAGCAATCCAGAACTTCTTACCCCACCTGGAAAAATCGTAAGATATGCTTGTGATGGAACGCAAGGGTCAATCGACGTGGTGATCATTACATACACCGGATCAAAGGACTTGGGAATGGTATATAATGCTGCTCTTTGCCCTACCTAGATAGCCGTTCCCATTGCACTTTCAACAATCGATTTATTTGATTTCTAAAGAAACGCCTATTTTACAATGTCCGGATTCTCTTCCTTCCCCATCACCGGCATCAAAGCCGACTGCCAAGTCCATCCACGCCCCGAAGTTAACTCCTGGGCAAAAAGTAACCCCATCCAACTCTCTCTCTACATCCGGGCCTTGCAGATCTTCCAAGCCATTTCCTTCGAAGATGTCAAATCTTACTTCCAGATCGCGGGTATTCACGGTCTTCCTGCTATTCCCTGGGACAATGATCCTGCCCCGATGGAGGCGAGCAAATCCTACCCCACTAACTACGCTTCATCAGACATCACTCCTGATTTCTACTGTCCGCATAACTCTATCCTTTTCCCCACTTGGCATCGCGTGTATGTGCTTTTGTTTGAGCAACGACTTTGGGAGATCATGAACTCTGAGATCGTGCCTCAGGTCACTGGCGATCAACAGGCTGCGTGGCAGGAAGCGGCTAATAGCTGGAGATTGCCATACTGGGATTGGGCTGCCGATCCCTGTGTGCCATCCGTTGTGCGAGGCGATACTGTCTCAATCGTTGAATTTGATGGCAAGACACTTGTATCTACGTCCAATCCGTTATATCAGTTCAGCACAGGTGCCATCTCAACCTTCCAGAAGGCAGGCTCAGTCCCTCTGTTCAATGACCGGTCTAGTCTCGGACAATGGACCATCTTCAACGACCCCCCGGTAAGTCGTCTGCCAACCATGCCCCCGGGCATTGCTAACCTCAATCCCTCCAGATGGCTTATACTTCTGGGACCAGCAGATGGGGTCTTAGTAATGGTAAAGGTGGCATAGATGTCTTGACACCGCAACAGGCTGCCGGTATTCAAAACAATGACTTTGTCGACAGGGCACTACAAGACCCCAATTGGGCAGTCATAAAAGTGGCAGTCAAGGATAAAAAGGGGAAAACGCATCACATTCCCACTGGCCTCTGTGGTTCGATTCTGGATCAGGTCAGTCGCCTCTTCGTCCCGTCTAACTTTGATAACTATGCCGAGTTCGCCACTACTGCGCATAGCGGGTTGAAAGAGCCAAATGGGTACCTGTCTCTCGAGATGATCCACAACTATATCCACGTCATGGTTGGAGGTCTTGGATGGAAGTTGGATCCATCTCAACAAACTAAGAAGGGCCAAGCCGAAAACTCCTATGGCCATATGTCAGATCTTGGCACCGCTGCCTATGACCCCATCTTCTGGCTCCATCACTGCAATGTGGATCGTCAATTTGCCATCTACCAGAACAACAATGGAAAGGATCAGTGGTTCACTGGGCGTACAAACGATACTGACCCTAAAGCCCAGGATAACCTTTATCCGTTCCATACCGATACCAAATTTAACCACTGGAACTCTGATGGTGTTCGAGATTGGACTACGCTTGGATACACGTATCCCGACCTGGCGCCTGAGACAGACTCCTCTGGCACCGCTCCACTTGAGCTTGTACAGAAGCGCCTCACTGAGAAATATGGAGTCCTACGAAGGGTTCTCCACGAGGTTGGTTCCACACAAAATATTGAAGGTCTTGACAACGACTATGTCATCAACATCATCTACAATCGATTCGCCTTGAACGGAGGCAGCTACAGTATTCACTTCTTTATCGGTAAGGAAAGTGACATTCCTGCATCTCCTGAGGATTACAAGCTCAGCGTCGATTACATCGGTGGCATCCACACATTTTCCTCTAGCTACTGGACTCGCGGCAACGAGAACGGTGTTAACTGCGAGAACTGCCAGAAGCAGCAGAAGAGTCATCAACTGTCCAAGGGTCAGCTACCAGTTACTCTTGCGCTCCTCCAGCGAGCGTTGCACGAAGATGACAGATGGGCGGAAATTAGCCATCTTGGAAAAGACCATGTTGTTGAGTACATGACCAAACATCTCCATTGGAGAGCTGTCGCCGTGAGTATCCTTCTTTCCTTTAGGTCAAGTCCAACTAACAAAAGGGTGGTCTAGGTACCCAATCAATTGCTCAAGACAGATGATCTGCCCGATCTTAAGGTTTCCTTCAAGGCTGGAAAGGCAGAACATCCTGAGGACCCGGCTAAGCCATCCAAATACTTTGGCTATGAGCATCAATGGGAAGTCACCAAGGGTAAGCTTGGAGGAGCGAAGCCTGAGTAGATATGTATAAGGGTATCTTCGGGAGCTATCATATAACAGTCTGGACATCTATTCTAGTTCATTGAAGTCCAATATCTCTTTAATTTCAAGCCATCTATAAGATCATAATAAGACAGTATTCAGTATATGAAAGGAGACTCTTGAATATAATTTCCTTTATAACCGCCAGATACAGCAGAAGTTAAAGATAGAATTATAGTAAATTATAGACCTGCTTTTACAGACTAAGTATATAACCTATACGTATAGCTATAGTGGCTACTTGCCTTACTTTTTTATTAGACAGCAATATATATATACAGTCTCTAGTCACCAGACAGTTGCTAAACATGTTATCCAAGGATAGAGTATTTTGAGGTTGTACGGCCAGTAAAAGCTATTCTCCCTCTCTAAAAGTGAGACCTATCAGTAAATCTCCCTCCTTCGAAAAGATTGGATCTTTCATATCGAAAGTTCCACCACCAGGAAAGATAAACCGACCCTGCTGGTTCAGCGCCTCCTCCAAATTATGTGCAAGGTTCCCTGACCAATTCTGAAACATCTCAATGTGAGTTTCAATGCTCTTTTTCAAAGGCCTCTTCTTCCTATGTGCTGCCGCCTCTTGAATCCATTTCTCCCACTGCTCAGCTGCTTCTCCAGTGCCGTCAACATTGGCAGTATCTCTAACAATGTCGACATTGACGATGGGTTTCTTTGATTCAACGCCGACTAACAATTTCGCGTCCGTCTCAATCGCTCTTAGGTCGATGGTGGTGCTCCATTGGATCTTGCACACAAGTTGAAAATCTGATGATCCAACCTTGGATTTGACTGTCCGTTGAGTATCTGTTTTGAGATCCGCTGTGATAACGATCTTACCAGTGCCAACCTGTGGCTCGATGACACATGAGAGCTCGGCCTTGTTATACCAGTAATGTTCCATTGCAGCTAATGGCTTGACACTTTCCTCTTTGTCATCCCCCCATCGCGCAGAGTTTTCGTCCACGTCATGGTACGTCAATTGAACCCCGGCACCTCTCCTCACATTCAAGCTCGTGTCTCGCGACCTCTTCAAGATCCACTCCCTGTCACCGCCGAAGTCGAGCTTGAGGACTTCGTCACTGAATTGGGTGCAGGTGTTTCCAATGTGGTTGGCCATTTTCCAAGGACCAGCGATAGCGGGCTGGAGCTTTTCAGCTAGGTATTGGTCAAGGAAGATCTGTCGCGACATCGCCAAGGTACCACCGATCCCGCCGTAGAACCAATCGCCCGACCACTGAAGGTCTTGGTTGGGCATCTTTCGGAACTGCGTCATTTCTGTAAAGAGAAATGCGTTATGGTGGCTCTTTTCACCTCCAGCTTGGACCTCTCTACCATCAGGCCGATAATTGATAGTCTGCAGCCTGACTGAGGTGGGAGGAAAATGGGGAGCTTTCTCGAACACTCCCTTGAGGCGTTTCTCTACTGTCTCTCCATCTGGTGGGGCATCTATCTTGACAGTATATCCGAGGATGTTGTGATCGTTTTCTTTCAGAAGAACTGATTCTAAGTACGTACCGAGAAACATGCGTATTTCCGCCCGGCACGTAGCCTTTTGGGCTTCTGGTACACCCGGGGTACTGCAGTGATCCCATGCAATGTTGAGAATCTCAGGAGTTCCAAAATCGATCAGCAGCTGATTCACACTATAAGACCCAGGAAGCTCAATTGCGTTTCTGATCTTATCAGGAACGGTAGCCATTCTCTTGAAGGAAAAGTCCACAAAGAAAGCCAGGGACCAGTCAGATACATCAATCTTGACACGTGTTGGTTGGCCAACTGGTAGAGGGAAGCCATCTTCATCATATTGGGGCGTATCGCTGGGCTGCTCGAAATAGTAATACGTCCCGCTTTCGAAATTAAGGTAGAAGATGGCCTGATCAGCGTTCTCCTTGTCAATCAAGTGCACTGAAGGAGAGGACAATGTTCCCTTGAGTCCGTAAGTTGGGAACATGGCTTTGAACTCATGAAGTTTCTCGTTGCGCATGAAGTGAAGCTCCAAGGTCTCGTTGATGTTGCCCTGAGATAGAGCGATGACCTGGTCATAATCTTGGAGCTTTAGCCCCAGGCGGGAAGGGGACTGCAGCGTGCTAGACATGAAGGGTGATGGAGCAGTGAACAAGTGTTATTGGTGAGGGAAAAGGTTGGACACGGAGAGTTGCCCAGACTATTGTGCTCTTATCTGAATAGCCAAGACCTGACATTGATTGCAGCGGCGAGCCCGGAGGATCGAATCAATCAATTGGTTCCGCTGAGGGGCTCAGTAGGCCAAATTAACGGCTTGAGACCAAAGTCGCCCGGGGATTGGTTGCGCTTACGAAGTGACTAAGTGTCTGGAACGGTCCGAACTGTCAGCTATTCCCAATGCACTATAGTGGGAGCACGCCAAAACCAATATCACGGTCACCTACATCAATAGTCCTGTTGACTAAGGCCTAAATAATGCACGCAAGACTGATTTGGGAGCGGAATGCCCCGTTGCCGACGACAACGGACCATTCTAAGCAAGATGGAGGCAATTACGTGTCAACTCTCCATAATGTGCTCTAATGGGACAACCCTTTCATACTCTCATCTTGTCCCATACTTCAATTCGCATTGATGCACTTTTCCAGCTTTGTGCTATCCATTTTACTCCCCACCACGATATCAAAATGCCCAAAGTCACTTCCAGCTGCGAGCTGATGGACAATGCGTTCCCCGCAGGTGAAGTCCAGCTCAAAGGCGACTTTTTCGTCGCCCAGGATGAAGTAGGCGAGAACATGATATTCTCAGTTGACGATGACGGTGCGCTTCAGTTGATTCTGAGGAACGAATTGGGAGATAACGTAATTATTCATCTAAGCTCCAAATTTGGAGTGGCTGCCGCTGAAATTGTCACTGCCTTGGCCGTGAATCAAGACATGGACGGTACTATCCATCTTGTCTTCGCCGCCCGACAGACCGACGGCTCTAGCAAGCTATATGTTGTTGAACCCATGGCACCGAAAAGGCAGGACTGGAACACGACAGAGAGTTTGACCGGTCGATTGTACTCGGGCGAACAGTGGCCTATAAACATTCGAGAGTTCCTCATTGTAAGAGCCATCATTGCTATACACTAATACCATGCTGATAAAAGCTAGGGATCTAGCAATGACAAGACGAATACATACCCATGCTTTTACATGACGTTTAATCACATCGGCAAGACAACTGAAGACGTCTGGGCCGTTTGCGTAGACCCCGTAAGTCGTCAGTGGTCTCGACAAAAGACATTCGAGCTACCAACCAACGCGATTAAAGTCCTTGACAAATGCCCCGCCAATATACCACTTCATCGCGGCCTCTTCGTTCTATACGAGGAAAGCGACTCACTGCAGCTCAAGTTCGTTGGGTTCAACCCAACCAAGGAGAATCCTACATTGCGAAGCTTTCCCCAGCCAGTGCCCAAGGGCGCTACGACGCTGGCTTCTTTTGAGAGTCAATTCGGGTTCACGGATCTTCTTGTCTCTGGTGCGGATGGTCTCAGCTACAGAACTGCCCACCAAGTATTCCAAGTTGACAAGACTCCCTTCGCGATTCTCAGCTCTGACCCCGCCTTTGGTAATGCTACACAAATGCAGGTTGCTCAGACAAAGGATAATTTGTCAATCTGGAGTCTGAGCCCCGAGAAAGCTTTATCGTATCAAGAGTTCTCCGTACCGGGAAAAGGACAGTTAACCGCTGAGCTTTCGCCTCTCATACCACTCTTAGATCAGGTTGGCAAAGATGGTAGATTTGCTTGTTTACGGAACCCGAAGCTGGGACAAAGACTGTTCTTTGTTGATGACACTGGTACCATCAGGATGTTTGAGCAGAGTGTTGAGAGTGGAATTTGGCAACAACCCGCCGAGATTTCGATTCCTCATTCTGACAAGATGATTGAATTCTCGTCGCATACTATCCTTGTGACTGTCGAAGAGAATGATGGCACGCCAATGGCTCTTGAGCCTTTACTTCTGTCCAGCTCAATTTCGGTGGAATGTCTGGTCAATGGCGTCTGGACTCGTACTTCGCCCACTGACCAAAAAGAAGTATCTACCGATGCGTCAGGTCAACTGACCATCATCATCCGAAGCGAAGGTCTTAGTACACCTGTTATAGCCCTCACTAGTGGAACACCAGGCAAGAAAATCTTCTCAGGTGGTAGACTGGAGATAGATCCCATGCAGAAGCTTTGGTCTACCATTGGCAAGGTCTCATCGGCTCAGGATCTCAAGAACATGAAGCTCCCTGATGGATCGAGCTTTGTGAGAGAAGGTCTTTCTGAAAAAGAGCTTGAAGAAGCTGCTAAGACGCTCTCACATTTGCACAAGGTGAAAATCGAGATGGCTGATGATGAGGCGAATGGCATCTTTACTTTGATGAAGCAAGGTTTCCAGACAATTGCCCATCGTGCTTGGGGCGCTATCAAGAGCATTAGTGACAAGATCAAAGAAGTCGTTGAAAGCGGTGTCAACAAGGTGATGGAGGTTGTCGACATCGCTGTCAAGAAAGTCAAAGAAGCTTGGAACTTTGTTGTCGAAGTCAAGGATAAAGTGTGGAACTTTGTCCTCGAGACCGCATCTCAAGTCGCAGCTGCTATGCAAACGGTCTTGGACACCGTCGTCAAAGGCTGGGAGTACATTAAAGAGAAGATTGGATTCATCTTTAACTGGGGTGATATCGTCAAGACCAAGAACATGATCGCCAACATGACGACCCAGGGTATACTGCTTCTCACAGATGGTACACCCTACATTGAGATTAAGACTCACGCGTTCTTCGACAAGGTGCGGGGCAAGATCAAAGAGCTCAAGGAGAGCAAGTTACCGCCAGGCCTGAACGATCTTAAAACTGGCAAGAATGAGGAGATGCGGAGGAAAGCTAGGGAAAAGACTGGTGCGAAGGATGAGATCAACAAGACGGACGAGGACACCAGAACACCGCAGGCGCAGTACGGATCTTATCATTTAAAACACAGCAGAGGTGGAGAAAGTAAACAAAGCACGCCATTCGATCGTATCCTTGATAGGCTCAGCGATGTCATAGAAGAAGCAGGACAGCTCGCTTCTCGCCTATGGGACAACATCAAGGATCTCATCGACCTCCAGGGCGAAGTATCCATTGGCACTCTTTTGACGAAGCTGGGATTTGAGCTTCTTGAGTATATCCTTGATGTGGTGGAGAGCATGCTGATTGCATTTCTCGCCAACATCAACGATTTGCTCGTGTTGATTGCCGACAAGATTAACGAGACCATCAAGATCCCTGTTCTGAGCGCTTTGTACAGGAAAGTCAGTGGAGGAGCTGATCTTACGCTCCTCGATGCGATTAGTCTGGTCATCGCGATTCCAGCGACGATCGTGTTTAAGCTTGTAAAGGGAGAGAGTACCTCCAAGATGGAAGGTGCAGAGTGGCTCACCAAGCCTAATACTCTTCGTGGAAAGCTTGCTGCACGGATGGCTGGTCTCAGGAGTGATTCTATGACGACTTCATATGCCCCTAGCATCAAAAAGAGGACTGTGGCCATTCCCATCAACCAAGATGATGAGACAAGCCCCGCTGAGAGGCTCGTAGATAGCAGCTCCGATATGGGCCCGGTTGTCGGACAACTTCAAGCCCAGACTTTTTCGTCGGAATCATCTAGCAACAAAAGCCCGGAAGACGAGCCTCTACTGAAGAGGCTGGAGAAGGCATGGACGGAATATCGTGAGACCGGACACCCGGTCGAACAGCTGCTGCTCTTTGGATCGCCTGCCACTTCGATTCTTGAGTATACGTTCATCATATGGCCCACCATTTATAGCCCAGATTCACTGCCTAACTACAAGGCGCCAACGGCATCACTAATCACCTGGATCTTTTCTATACACCGCTTCCTGAAATTCCAAACTATAAACCCCCTATCAGCTGATACGGATATACCAGGCTTCATTCCCAAGTTCGCTCTTTGGATAGCTAGTGGCATTCCTATCCTCGGTTCATTCATCGCAAGGAAGATCGGCTATATTCTTGGTGTCATTTCAGGGGCATTCCAAGTATTCCTACTTGCGTGGGAGCAGATCGAAGTACACGCACACTACAACGAGTACTCGGTTTATCTGGCTCTGGAGGAGTGGCTCATCACTGTGGCAAAGCTGGTTCATTATAGTGCTGGGTTGAGCAGGAACCCACCTACTGCCAAAGTGGCATTGGTGCTGTGCAATGCGGGGATGGCAATGGCTACGGCGAGATCAATCGCGGAGGGAATGGGTAAGATCAAGCGTCTGGATACTGGTGTTAGCCCTTGCCCTTGAGAAATGTAGGCAACCTTTTCTATTAAATGTCATTTACCGCCATGTACGACTGCCAAATATGGTATGATCAGCCGCCACAGTGTCGCGAACTGGGCTGAAGTTGTTACGATAGCCACTAAGAGGCCTGAATGCAGGCACCGAGGGTGTGAAATGCTTTCAAGGTTCCACCCATCATTCGCTTTGCTTTTGTCAGGCAGCAATATATGTGCATTCCCTCTCAGGGGAAATAAAAAACAACAGCTCGATGGGCGTAACGCCAGCGAATTTCGGTGATTGATTGATAGTTAAAGCTTATGATATCTCAACGAGACATATCAAGCCAACACACTGAAAAATACCAATTAACTTCAGTTGGCGAATTTCGGCGAACTTCGGATCGTTCAACTTTTCTCTCCGAGGTCTCTCTAGTCACTGCCTGAAGGGTTCTCCAAATGTACTTGTTTAGCTGGGTCTGTTAGCCCTGATGTCTAACCACGAAGTAAGCACTAACATACCGAAATGCCAATCATGATGAGTAAAGTAGCACCATTAATGCAAGCCCCGTCACAAATGTTTGGCTCGGTGTGGTGTCCCCCGTGCGGCTGATCGTCGGAGTCCTGGAAATCTGCCTTGCATGGATTACCGAACAACTATTTCTAATCTCTGGCAACTCGTCTCAGACCTTCATTTAATCTTGCACCTCTATTAATGGACTTAGCGTATCGAATCATCGTGTTATCTGGTTTTTTTTTCACCTTCTCCATCTCCACTCCATTCCCGATAGTAGGTATTATACGAACATATCGATTGAACCATACAGCCAGACCCTCTTCTCTTGCTCCTTACGTCTATCATATCCGGCAAAACGGCGAGGTATCCCCTGCATCGAACTTGACTGGCCTTTGCGATACCTCTTCTTGGTCATGGCGAACCCAAAAGACTATACCGTAGGCTGGATTTGTGCCCTAAGCACCGAACATGTCGCAGCCAGGGCGTTTTTGGACGAAGAACATGATATACCTGAGCGGGTCGCTCACAGGGATAATAACGTCTATACATTGGGAAGAATAGGAAGCCATAATGTGGTAATTGCGACGCTGCCAGATGGCGAGTATGGCATATCCGTAGCTGCAGCCGTGGCTCGAGATATGGTCAGCAGTTTTCCGAAAATTAGAATCGGTCTCTTGGTAGGCATCGGGGGCGCTGCACCAAGCGCTGAGCGCGATATACGACTTGGAGACGTGGTTGTCAGTGTAACAGGTGAAGGACGCGGGGGCGTGTTCCAGTACGACTTTGGCAAAGTCATGCAGACCAAGGAATTTGAGGCAACGGGATTCCTCGACCAACCTCCCGCGCTTTTACGAAGCGCTGTTTCCAATATCAGGATGCGTCATGAGAGCGACGGACATCAGTTACGAAAAGCTCTGGATACTGTACTCGAGAAACGACCGAGACTTCGGAAGAAATACCAGCGGCCAGATCCGAGTACTGACCGGCTGTACCGCAGTGATATTGTTCATCCTTCAGAATCGGATTTGCCGTGCGAAGGTTACTGTGGCGACAACGAGCCCGAGCTGCTATCGAGACCATCTCGGTCTGAAGGCGAGGATGACCCGATGATACACTATGGTCTAATCGCATCTGGAAACAAACTTATGAGAGACGCTGAGATCCGAGATCTCATTGCATCAAAGTCGAAGGCCATATGCTTCGAGATGGAAGCAGCAGGGCTGATGAATCATTTTCCATGTCTGGTGATCCGAGGGATATGTGACTATTCCGATTCCCACAAGAATAATGCTTGGCAAGGCTATGCGGCAATGATGGCGGCAGCTTATGCCAAGGAACTTCTTGCCCGAATTGCTCCCACATCAGTCGAAGCCGAGGTGACAATAGCTGTCGTTTTATCTCGTAGGTTACACCTTTAGCCAGGCTACCCCAGAACTGATCATTCCATGCTAGATGCTGAATCAACCGGACAATCTACGTCCGAACCCAGCGCCTCGAATCTCATTAGTGCCGGGCAACCGATTACCATGAACTCCCTAAGGCCCAAGCCGTCAACCCAGAGCTCCACAAGTTCGAGATCTACAAGTTCACAGCAGGCCGCCGCGCAATCATCTCAGCCTGCTACTGCTCCGCCGCCACCTCTTGAACCACGAATAGTGTATGTACAGGGCGAACGTGAGGGATTCTGGGAGTGGTTTGGAGGGCTATTTGTTAATAACAGTAGTCTTTCGGATGGCTCATCTCGCAGATCACCTGAATATACCCGGTCCACTAGACCACCACAAGGCACCCGGTCTAGTAGACCACCAGGAGGCGGTGGAGGTTCTAATGCTGCTATTCGTAGAATGAGGGCCCGGGGCCGACGGTAGGAAAATGATAGTATAGTCTTATCACGAGATACTGCAAGAGTACCACGAGAGCTCAAGTGCGACATAAGCTTAAAGTATCCCGCGCTTAATTCATTCATATCAACACTATATATACTGAACCTCTAAAGAGTTACTTGAATATGACTTTCTTCAACATCCACTTAACGACCATTCTTCATCAATAGTATCAGGGCAAAGGTACTGCCTGCTTGGTCTATCTACCAGGCTTAATAAACGATTGCAACGCCATTACTTCAAACCAGAGACCTCTCCGACTGAGAACGGAGCGGACGGAAGATCACCATCCAAGAAGCTTCCAACTAGTCCTGCATAATACTTTGTGAACTGAAACAAGTGCCCATGACCACTACTCGGAAACATGATAAAGTTGGCTCTTGGGAGCTGCCTTGCGAGAACAAAAGAGTTTTGTGTCGGGACAATGAGATCATTATCGCCACAAGTAACAAGCGCATCCTTCTGAATGGTTTGTAAAAGAGCATATGGAAGGGGATCTGCATCCCATGTAAGATATGCCTGAGTCAGATTGAGGAGAGGCTTTCCCGTGGTGAACAGTGCGATCTCAGGTTCGCCATTCTTTCCAGCGACCCCAGCTCGCGAAGAAGTACTCCTGTTGAGCCATGCAGCACCTTCGTCGCCCGTAGTGGGAGGAAAGAAAGCACCGATGGTGGCTGGGCCAGGCGTAGGGCTGAAGACGATAGATTGGATCTCGTTCATGGGACGCACCAAGCCAGCACCAAGACTAGGACCAGTGCCTGCGAGAATCAATTTCCGAACGATATTGGGAGAATCAAGAGCAAGTTGCTGCGCGATATATCCTCCCATTGAGAAGCCCAAGACGTCAACCTCTTTGACATTAAGCTTCAAGAGCAAGACGTTGAGAAACGCGAGAAGATTAATCGCAAAACCCTTGATACCTGTCGCGACTGGACCTTTGCTGTGTCCAAGGCCAGCGTAGTCATAGGTTATAAGCTGGCGACCTGACGCAGTGAGATTGTTGATTAGCTCAGGATCCCAGGTATCGATTGTAGATCGGACATGATTGAGCATGAGAAGTGGAGGCTGAGAACTGCTCGACTTGCCGATGAGACGATAGGCGAATTCAATCCCATCATCAGTAAGGAATAAAGTCTTTGCAGTTTCTTGGGTCGACATTTTGTAATGGTTCTCTCTTGATTGACGGGACAGTACAAAGAACTAAAACCACCATTGAAGAGGGCACTCTGGGTGTTTATATACACACATTGTCGAATTTCTACCACAGAACTAATCTTTTTCATCCTTCTAGTTGGGATATTATTGGTTATTTCCATTTCCACCTATGTATACGTGTGTATTAGCCCCGTCAGCTTGCGGTGAGACAAGTAAGCGGCCGCGTTGCTGACATGCCGCAATATGCGATTCGAAACGGGTCTCTCACTAAGCAGATCAGTAATCCGACCGATGCTCGGCATACTTATTCAATGGAAATATGGAGTTTTTATCCAAGACCCCGATACCTATATTTTTTCATCTTGGAATTTCCTTGCTTTATTCGGGAGTGAATGTGACCAAACAGATTGTTAGACTGATGACTCATACAAGGTTTGAGTGATAGGCCAAGAGTGACTACTCTACTGGTTGTATTTGAGTTAATTGTTTTTCAGAAACATTATGCTCCGTAGGCTGAACCTTGGAATAGCCTGGAAAGTAACTTGCGTGTCGCGTAAATCTTGACATCATACGAAAACTGTCAAATACTGAGAATATAGTAAGTTTTCTCTGCTGATCTAAACTCTCAGCCATAATTCTTGAGTGCAGATGACAGATCAAGCTCACGAATTAGAGATTATGCCTGAATGCGTTACCAGTTGCTTCGTGTGTGACCACGGGGATGCGACGCCTATGAGGTTAAGCTTTAGGCTGTGAACATAGTTAATGAACGAGAACACGGTATCCTTCCCCCCCGCTCCCCCCAATATAAGCTTTTACCCAGAGGCTTTCACGATGGCTACCTGTGTGAATGTCGTTATTGGTAGCTGCCTTCGTGGAATCTAGCCAGACCCCGCGCTGGTTGACGTAACTCAATTCGTCTGTTCCGAATATACTTCAGGCAGCCAGCCTAAGTAATTGATAAATCGCGAAAATAATGTCATTCTAGCCCACAAACTTTCATGAAAGTAAACCTTGAGCGATTTAAACTCCAGCCTTCAGTATAAATACACTAGGTCTGCACCATCAATTACGGTACAGTTCTCCCTTCTGAACCCCGTCAAACTCCAAATAGCATCATGACCTCCAGCAGCCCTTTCGATCAACTTCCAGCAGAGCTGATGATTACTATCCTAAGTACTTTTGACTGTGAGGAGGATCCTCAATCCATAATTCGGGCCGATCCCCGCGCTTTCGGCGTTTTCCTTCAAAACAAGCAGAGAATCCTCCCGTCCCTTCGGTCGAATCTTGACCATGAGCTTTGCAGGCAAAGCCTTATACAGGCAGTCATGATCCATCGCTTACGGCAGAGTGAGGCCGATTCACACTGTCTTACACGGCTTCAAGCTGAGCAGACCATGAAACCGGTCTTAACATCACCACCAGAACCATGCCGGTTAATGAAGTTAAACCTGGGAGCCCTCAGAGAGATAAATGAAATGTTCCGAGAATCCCGCGATTTTAGGCATTATTACAAAATGAGAACAAGGGAAGTGTGCTGGGTAAATTATCCAACAGGATCCAAGAAGTATCGCTTGCGGTACCTAAGAAGTACAGAATTGCAAAGGGCACATTTACTATTCGAAGCATACCGACACACTCTGTGGTTCAGCACCAACTTGTTTCAAGATTATGGTACCGGCGACAATGAATACAGGTTTCACATCCCCTGGAACTTCATCTATCACGATAAACTTCTTTCCATCAGGACCTTTCAGACAATTTTTGTATTCCTGTTCCGAGAATACAACAGTCTCTTGAGACAAGTCCAGAGCCGTATCAATGGCACAGATGACAATTACCGGTTTGATCTAACTGACACCACTTGGCGAATCCGGAGTCGACAGTTCTTACAGAGGGGCATGCGTGACCGACTCCAATTCACGGCCTATCTTACATCGCAAGGCTTTCGCCGCTTCCTTATTATTCAAGATATGGATAATAATGCACAAGAGAAACACATTCTGTCCTTATATGTGCGATATCTCGAGCTCAAAGCAGACCGCCAAACTTGCCCAATGGTGGTGGGTGCTGATCTGGAGCACTCACTTATCACACTTTGTTACAGGGAGAGGAACATAGCATTAGGAGGTCTTCGCTAAACGGTGCTCATGTCAGCTCAGTATTGAATTTGTATTTGTTGTCATTTTGATCGGCTTTGGCTTGATCATTTAGCCATGGAGAGGTTGTCTGCATATAAACGAGAATTAGTTTGACCTCAGCCGATCCTAGAGAGGACTTCTAGCGAAATCCCTCTCAGTGGACATAACAGATTTGGCATGGGCCTCGCAATATTTCTACCAATTATAACAGCAATTCTTCAGAACAGAACTCTATAGAATAGGCACTTCACTTATTTAATTACCCTTGTAGCGATGTCTAGTCACGACTTTGCTCGAAAGTCTTCTGCTGCTTTGAACTGCACCCTGAGCTACGTTGATTTTGGCATCTCCATCTTTACGTAAATTATCTCTCATGCGTTTGATCAAATCCACTACTCTCCGAGACCTATCGGTTTGACTCGTCGTTTGATTGTCTGGTGGAAAAAATACTCAGGACCTTAGTCCTAAAATGACAAAGACTTAGGTAAACTGGCATAAGTTTAGGATAACATTGCCAAATTTACTTTGACACCACATATCAGGTTTCGATGCGCAGGTAGCTAATAACAACTATTCATTCGATGTTTTCTTGCTCTCCGAGCCTCGTGAGAACGGGCATCTCAGTTGTAGTGGAGCTTTTGTAGGCAGCACCGAGTCATTCCCACCAAAAGCCCAATTAGCGTTACTATAGGGAGGGGCCGATTTGCGTGTTCAAATATTGTTAACGGTTGTGTTGGTTATGCCGACGTCGACTGGCACTTTGTCTTCAGTGCGACACCCAAGTATTCCAACAGGTCATAGGGTTGTTCTTGACAAGCTCCACATGGCGGGAAATGTTTCATACAACGGGGTTATCTGTAGGGATGCTAGCATTGCTACCAAAGGACATGGGCGCGATATGAGTCTTGAAGATTGGCGGGATGGGAACTATGGTATAGAAGATCACTTCTACGGCGAGATGTCTCTTGGAGAAAACAAGGCTCCTTTATATCGTATGGGCCAATCGGAGCCTAGAGATGAGGAGCTTGAGAGCGATTCTTGAAACCGCGATAGCAGAAGACTTTGTTACATTATATCCCTAGTTAAACGAAAGCCGCTAACCCAGCGCCATTACCCTGAATGTGCCCGATCGTCTCGTCGATCCAAGTCATTTCTCTGGAGAAGTCGTCTCCTGATCTCGAGAGGCATGCTTTGACCACCAATAACGGTGATAGAACAACGCCAGCGCCTATGCTACGAAACTCCTTTTGGAAGAAATATTCCACTGACTGACAGACGTAGCGAGCTGACATTTCTGGCCATGACATGACGTCTGATGCATCGAGTACACGTTGTATTTCGGCAAGGGAAATGCCGTTATTGTCCTTAGGTGACAGATCATCAACCTCAAATATTGTGACGTCCTTCTCACTAGAACTTAATCTAGTGTACAGGGAGGAGGTGCTAGCATGTATCAAGACCTGTATCGTCCAGTAGAGTATCATAGTCTCCGCTATATGGTAGGACGGAAACTGGAATGATACTGGGTAGAGTCTTCCCAGCTCCTCACTGTCTGTCGAGCTACTGGCTGTTGACAGCTCTGGCCAGTGAGTCGTCGGGTAGGTGTATTGGTATAAATCAAGCCACTGATTGAGTTCCCCATGGACACCTAAGAATGCCGTTAAAGCTTTTACGCCGCCGTTAGGTGTAGCTTGAGATGGTTGTGAAGCTGTAACAGCTCTGGCTCTGAATAGGAGCCCTGGGACGCGAAGAAACATATCGAGAAGTAGGTCATGCAGAGTCTTCGATTTTGAGATCCATGGTCCGTCCATCCATGTCGGCTTGGCTAGTTCATTCTGATACCCCTGGGCCAGACCTTGAAACGCCTACTTGAAGTCAGAAACTGTATGACGATGATATGAGTTGACTTACAGTGTGCATTCTGAGTACTTGAAATACATCATGGGCCAGACCACCAATATGCTGCTCAGGTCCACGAAGCTGAAGTAGCGCCATCGCTCCCTGGTAATGTCGCATGTATGCACTAACAGTTCGCCCTGGACACTCTAAGAACTCAAACATGCCTAGCAAGACGCAAGCTGCAAGAGTTTGGTCATCCAATCTCGTTTTGGGATTATCAATCGCCTTTTGGAGCTCATATAGTCCTCTAGTGTAAAGCTTTAGGCTTTGACCTTCAAACGCCCCATCTCTCTCAAAGGCTGCGGTACTGAGCGCTAAGATAGCGTATTCCATGGCCGGTGTCAATACTGCTATGTCTGGTAGGCGGAGAAGCCATTTTCGATGGTCGTTCAGATGACCGCACGTCAGCATACAGGATGGGAGTTGACGGTCGATAAATGTGGCCAAGAACTGATCTCTATTCGTGTTGCGTGCAGACATCGGTTGCGGCAGCGATGTCATTGTATGCTGTCGTTCGATATACTCATGCTTGCGCCGCTGCAAAGACAAAGGTGCCTGCAACGTTACCGCTTCGCCACTAGCAGACTTTGTGTAATGCGATGGTATAAAGACCTGTGTTTTTTGATAGCCTGCGCAGGGTCGACCAGATTTGAGGCAGTTACTACAACTCGGCTTCTCAGCGCCACACTTTGAGAAGATCATCAGTCAGCTCTAGGTCTGTCAATCGTAGGGCGTATGATTCAATTTCGCATGGACGGTGGGCCGACTTACCCTGATCCTCCTCTGTCTGCACGTATGACATGCTTTAGACCGCCCAGCCACTCCAACCATATCGACCGATTTTCTTCGTAGCTGAGTTGAGTAGAAAACCCTCAGCTTTTGGCATTGCCGAGATTTATCGAGATTTGCATCATCTGAGTTCAATTGCCCTGGAATGATTGTCATAATGGAGTCCTCAATAGTGGATCAAGCTAGAAGCTAAAGGTGGCCAATGATCGTGGGTTCACAATGAAGTTCACGCCCAAGGCTAAGCCATCTTGGGGATCATTGCGCGAGAAATGGGGCCCACGATGCGGCTGAGTTTTGTCGAGATGCCGATTCCCGGCAGATACGGCGCTATCACCTTTTGGGTATCATACCGCGAATCTTGATGGCTATGCGAAAATGCCGTATGCCTTGGAGCCCGTGCGAAAACGACTATAAAGAAAGACTACTTTTCTCTTGTGATGGAACAATGTGTTTTCTACTACACTACATCTTCAGCTGACAACGTCTTGCAAATATGATCAAACCACATACTTCTGTTGGCATCGCCCAAGTCGTGTTCTACGCACTTGTCTTGCCCGTCGCTGTTTTTATTCTTGTCAGGAACTGGAAGCATGGACTTCGTCTTGCCTCATACCCGCTTGTCACGTTCTCTCTGGGTAAGTGACTCGTCTCGCTGTCTAGAGGGAATATCATACTGACACTAGGTCCTTTTAGCTCGCCTCGCTGGCGGTATTTTGACTATCCTCCGTCAATCCAACCCTACTAGTATCGGACTCATCATCGCGACCACCGTGCTGCTCGATGTCGGCCTCATTCCATTGATGATCTCCATGGTTGGGTTCATCCGCTTGATGTGAGAAATCCTTGCTTATCGTTAAGCCGTTTGCTAATCTTGTAGCATGAAGTCAAGTCTTGACGAGAACAAGCGAGCTTTCGTCCTATTGAAGATCATTCGTTTTGCATTCATCGCCGCCATTGTGCTTCTCTGTGTGGCTGGCGCTTTTAGTGGTACTAACATACACCTGTCAAGACACTTGACACAAGCTGGCTATGTGACTCTTGCTGCCGTCATTGGTTTGATGACAATCGAGTTACTTCATCTCTACACCCAAAAACATCGTATCGCTCCCGAGAGACACATTGTACGATCACTTCCTACTCAATGTCTATCGATGGATATACTAACAGGCGGTAGTTCATAGAGCTCACTCTGGCAAGCATTCCGACACTTGTCCTCCGAACTGTGTATGGACTGCTTTGCGCTTTCACCGTCGACAACGTGACGACCATCTGGAATTCCCTAGTTGGATCTGCAGTCGCGTTCGCTTTGATGTGTCTGCTTGCGGAGTATATTACCCTTGTGATCTTTCTTTATCTCGGAATTCGCCATTGGCGAAGTGTGCGCGCTGACAGCCTGGGGAGTGTTGAGATCGAGTCTCTAAGCAAGTAGAGAGCCGGTAACAAAAGAGTCAGTATGAAGGGCAAAGCGGTTGGAATCTCCTAGGGAGTCCTTGCTTTTTGGGAGACAGCCATTTGATGATTTTTGTATGTATAAGTAGATCAATTTTAATTCTAGAGCCATCAAGAGATTTCTAGACGATACAGGGTGTCAAGATCTAATTTAATATTTGCGCAAATGTGTACAACCACAAATTGAGCTAACGTGCTTGCCCAAAGTTTCTGTGGCCACCATCTACTCCTCCGGCTTCTGTGATTCAATCTCTGTCTTCTTTGAAAGGTGTCTCATATAAAAGGAAAGCATGGTCATCAAAACCGCTCCAGCGCACATGGTAACACCAGAGAAGACTTTCAGGTAAGTGTACTCGCCATCTTCAGCCTCAACAAGTGCACCAGCAATGGGACTACCAGCAAGAACTCCTATGGAGATACAGAAATAGAGTATCCCAGTGCGGTGTCCAATATCTGAAGGCGGCGAAACCTCGACCACGAGAGCTGGAGTCAACGAGATGTAACAGCCAGAAAAGAAGCCAAAGAACGCCGAGTAACAGAGTAGTGCTGGGCTGGACTTGCCAGGAAGCCAAACTGCCAGAGTAAGGATAGCTGACATGGTTGTACAGACCACCATCATGTTGAAACGCCCGAACTTGTCGGCGAGAAAGCCTGGCAGGATACGGCCAAAAACGCTAACTGCGTTGAGGGTGACGATTGAGTAGATGGATAGGCCCCATGACATTCCGATTGACAGTCCTTCCAGAGGAATAAAATTAAACGGGAGAAATAATCCAAAGCCGAAAATGGTCAAGGCCAAACAGAGAAGAACGAATCTCGCGTCCTTCAATGGAGTGATATAGGTTCGGATATTGAAAGGTGTCGGGATGTGGACTCTATTCGATCGAATTGTCGCCATTGAGAGGATAGCGCCGAGAAGAATGATGAAGGCGATAACACGCATGGTCCAGCCGAATCCGACAAGAGGCAACAGGCGACTTACCATGATGGGAAAGATAACGCCACCAATAGATGAGCCTGAAATTGCGATGCCGTATGCTGTAGCTCTGCGCGTTTTCCACCAAGTAGCCAGCGCTCCGACAGTGCCGTACATAACAGCACTAGCACCAAGGGCACTGCAAATAGCCTGTGAGAGAAAGACTTGGTAGTACTCCGTCGATATAGACGTCATCATCAAGCCAAACACCTGGGCAAGCCCTCCAAAGACAAGAAGCCATCGTGGACCGTAATTGTCAAACACTTTGCCAAGAACGATACCCATGCTGTATGTAAGGCATTGTTGGACTGATGCAATCCATGCGATTGACGAGGTGGAATAGTCTGGGAGGAGGTTTTGTTCGTAGTATGATTGAAAGACGCCAAGGGAGTTGACCAGCCGAAGGTGATAAACATAGCCCACCATGCTCCAAAGGTTGAAAGCCAAGCGCGATGACCGCCATCAATCGGCCAGTTCGGTGCTTCTTTTGACATGGTTGTGAAGGAAACTGGCGTGAGAACAAGTAGGGATGAGCTGAGGTCAAGCGCGTTTGTATTGCATCGCAGCGTTTAATTCGAAATCACTATATACGTATATAACCGGCTCCAAGAAAAGCCAGCTACTCTTCACAGCTGGCGATTACAAATTTAGAGGACGAATGGTTCCACTGCACAAATGGAGCTTTGTGATTCTCTTGGTCTGATTGGCTGCGAAACCGTAAGCCAGAGGCATTGACAAAGCTGATTGGATGCTCAACACATAAGCCAAATTGGTTCCGTGGATATATTCCCATGGAAACCTCCGTGGAGCAATGGGACTCCTGGTCGAATTATGCGGATTTCGGCCCTGCACTGATGATGTCCCCTGTATCTACCAAAGAGCCGATGATCACTTACACCCGGTAGCACTTCATATAATTGCTGTTGCACTTGACCTCTAACAGCTTTGAAACAAACTCAACTGATACATCGTCAACGCATAGTCACGTCAACAGGCTCAATACCATCAGATTGGACTATCATCTTCCTGTACTTAGCACAGACGCCTTTTTTCTCCCGGAAGATCACGTAGGTATAGGGATTGACCAATATACTCCACCATGATACCGTGAGCGAAAGTGCACTTCATTATATAAGCCAAGTTGAAGTAGTGGCTTGAACATGAGTTTGAAGGACGAAGCCTCCAAGCCATCAGTGACGGACAAGCTCGGCCTCTTCACGAACAAGCTTCATCGCTGGAGCAAGTTGTGCCCTCTTAGTTTTCGTGTTGCTAAAAAGGTTAACGCCAATTTGTAATGATTTAGGATACCGCCTAGAGGCATTGAATTATACTTTTGCGGTAAAGCTTAAGATGCTGAACGGACGGAATGTGACAGTCTTAAGGATATAAATCCCCCGCTCCGTCCCTCAATTCATCTTCATCACTAACATCCTTCTCATCTGCTAGCTGTGGACATCTCTGAGATCTCCTCCTTTCATTTATTTCCTCCACTGCAACTACTATACATTCAAGCTCAATACCCTATTAGATCAACTCCTCACGTCCAAGATCAGAGACATATGTATGCAAGATCCTCAATGCCTTTTCACCGCATACCTGAAGCTTACATCTTCTCCTACAGTCAAAACGCTATCTCGATAAGCGACCGAAACAAAGCTAGCAACCGAGAGCTATCCACCGTACAACCATCCAATATTATCCCTCATCTCCAGAGTCAGCCATGTTCGATCGCATCAGGCGCGCGATAATATGTCTAACGACCTCTGATGACATCGAAATAAGAAACAAGCTTGACAGAGTTGCGGTACGGCGAGCAATCAAAGAAGGAATGAAAGTCGAGAGACGTTACGAAATCCAAGAAGAGAAGGCAAAACGGATACGTGAGAAAGAACGTCGCCGGCAACATAAAGCGGCAAGTAAGTTGCTAAAGGAGCGGTGGCTGGGAAAGTATTATCAAGAAAGCCAGGATTTGAGGGACCTACCTATTGAATTATGGATGGTGCCAGCTTTCACGCGGAATGACGCGCAAGTCCCCAGCACAAGTCCCCTGTATAGAGTATGACTGAACCGTTCGTGGTTATCTTGCCGAATATTCTTCTTCTCGATGCGGTTAATTATTTGAACTCGGGATTTTATTTATGACTTGGACGGAGGATATTCTGGGTATGCGGTTCGGCAGTCTTGGTTTATGAGGGGAACAGGTCTTTGACGCAATTGGTGGCTTGACTACGAGACTGAACCTTAAAGGGTTTCGAGTTGTCATCGTACAGTGGGGATCAGCCTCTCTGCAACCAAGGTTTACGATAAGATATGTCGTGGCGTTAGGTTATGCATAATTTCGAGGTCAAACTCTATGGGGTCTACAGAAGAAACGTGGCTAGTTGGAACTCAGGAGCAAGTGAACACTCGCTTCTTGGGTTCGTCCTTTTCTCACTTTACATTCGGTGATGCAAGCTCTCTAACATGTCTCACCTGCGAGTACGACAGCAAGCTCCCCACTTAGACATCATACTGCAATCTAAACGATTAACATACATCAAATCCTTCGCCAGACCCTATTCATTTGTTTATGCGGGCTCTTCGGGGTAACTCCATGTTTCTGTCTACTCCGAATGCATCTTCAATCGCCGTTACAAGATACTTTAAGTGGCATGAATACGCAGCAAGCGGGATCTAATTGATATTATCCCAAAACGCCCAGTCTATATCCGCAAACTCGAATCCAAATGGCTGCAGTTCAGCCTCTACAGGCCCATTTTTCCAGACCTCCTGTACATCACCGAATTGGCCTTCATTATCTGCAGTTGCCTTTCTTTCCAGCTCAGCCAAGTCCTTCTCAAGCTTGGAAACAAACCCTGGCTTCTGCATGTCAGTCAGACCTGGTTTCTGGCTGCACTCATACCACGTCGCAATTACTGATTTTGCAGCATGAGATTTTCTCCTGTCGTCTTCAAAATCTGATATATGATCTGCTACGGCGTAGAGCTGCGAGAGTAGCGTCCAGGCTGATCTGATAAGCGTGATATCTTTCAGGTTCGACATGTCGACCAAGATTCCAATAACTGCTCATGTTAGCCGTTAAACGTTAGCCGGTAGTTGCACTGTCACTTACAAGCGTACCACAGAAATGAACTCTCTACAAGCCAAAAAAATGGCTTCAGCTGAAGATTTGAATGAGAAACGACGATATACTGCATTCCCTGCATGCAAGCATTGAAATGCTCAACATGGCACGCATCATCACTATTCTGAGATCGCATACGAGCGTCATGCAGTTTTCTCAGCCGTAAGACGTTAACAATAGCCCGCGCACTAATTTGCAATATCGTGTGCATCGGGTTGATGGGATCACAATACTGCAGAAAGTTCTCGTTGAGCCCAGCCTCGAGGTCATCGATCACAGAGTCGGCCAAACAGCCTAAGAGAGACGTATCACCCGGTGTAGCCTGGCTCGCCTGCGTCATTCGAAAACGGCGCTGCCTATCCATTTTCCAGTACACAAATAGCGTGTACGAGAAACTCGTGAGACCAATTCGCTCTTTGGGCGGTACTGTCGAACTTGGATCGAGATCCTCGTCTTCGATGTTTAGAGGAAGTCTGACATCCGAACCTGCCCCATAGGATAATGGAGTCACATTATTCTTCAGCGAAAGAATCAGATCGAGGTGTTGGAGTTGCCACCAGAGTCGACGACGTTCTTCTGTCTCGATGGGCGAAAGACCTAGTACTGCGCCGTCGCGGTGCATGCCGAGTTGTTCTGCGCTTCGGGAGATGAGACCCATCAAAGTCCACATGCTGCGGGACGTGAGCACGTCGACATTTGCTTTCTGGTGGTTTCTTAGTCTCTGGAAAACGGGCTCTGGTAACGTTACTCACGATATATAAGCACATGGCTTTCAATGTTGAGATGCTATCAATGGCCAGTAGACTTATTCTTGAGAATGCCATGTCACATTGAACGCGACATTCATTCGTCAAAGACGCTTTCGTGCGACCGAATAGATCTAAGCATTCTTGATTCGTCAAACTCGTAGCGCCAAATAAACAAGTTGACAATATCAGCACATGGTCGCCGTTGTCAAGGCTCCTCCACTTCTCAGCATCAGACAACGCGGCTCTGAGATGAGTGAGAGTCCAGCTGAAGCTGATCTTGATAATAGGTTCGACTCGCTCCATGAAGAAATCCCATAGTTTGAGGGATTCTGTTTGCGGTATCGGGCAAAAGTCGAGCTTGTCTGAGAGGATGGTGTTGTCCCGCCATGGTGAGCCGTGAAAGGCGTGGGGGAGGTGTTTTGCGGGTGATAAGGCTGAACCTCGAGGATCAGAGGCGCTGAACTTTGTTTTAGAGCCTTTGTAAAGACGTGAAACATCGATCCAGGTATGCCATCCTTCTCTGGGAGTCTCGAGGTCAGTCACGGAATATATACACCTTGTGCCTCTGGTTCGACTCACGACTCATGATAAACGGACTTTCCTTCCTCCTGCACGATAATCGGTGTCTCAGCATTACTCACTGCCGCAGGACTGGCATTCACACTATGTCCCCTATACTTTCCAGGCGTATCAGATAACGGATCACCACCCAGCGCTCTCACCGCCTCCTCCAGTTTTCTAATCCGCTCAAAAGGAGAGACTTCAGGGTAGGTGCAAATATCATGCTTGCGACGCTTACAATTAGAACACGGCGGTTCTGCCCTGTCGCATTTGACTTTTCGTTTTGCACATGGTTCACATGCTTGAGACCTCATTTTGGGAGATGTGCAGTGTGATCTTTATGGTGGTATTGACGGTTGGTGATCGGTCGCGTTGAGATCTATGACGTTGTGCAATTAAAAGCTCGGGCGACCCCACGAAGTTTTTGGTGGTGAGATTTGTTAGCTCGGACTCGGTACCGAGACCGAGATTTTGATGGTGATGTTTGATTGGTTGATTGACATGATGCTTGACGATGCAGGAGGAAGATATGTGATTGACTGGAAATGTCACAAAAGAATTCTTCCTCTATTTAAGACTTCGCAGAAACTCCTTTGTTCTATTTCTCGATTCAATCATCTCAAACTCGACTCAATCAATCTTTTTTGACAATTACTCTTGCAAGCATAGCAAATTCTCCTCATAACTAGCCAAACAAAGATCTAAGGATTATTGGTCTCTCTACATCCACAATGGACGAAAAGGAAGCCGAAGATAATATGCCACCAAATAGGCCGAGTGTTGACATGGAAAATATGTCCTCCGACACAGCCAACGAAAAGACATATCCACCAAAGAAAGTCGTCCTACCAACAATGCTAGCTCTGTTCCTCGTATTCTTCCTCGTCGCACTGGTAAGCAAACCCTCATACATCCCTTCCATCTTACTGACCATCCAGGACCGTACAATCATCGGCACAGCAATCCCATCCATCTCCGCCGAGTTCGACAGCTTCGGCGACATCGCCTGGTACGAATCAGCCTTCCTCCTCCCTCTCTGCGTCTTCCAGCTGTCCTTCGGCCTCGTCTTCAAATACTACTCCACCAAATGGGTTCTGTTCACCTTAACCGCCATATTCGAGATCGGGTCTATTGTTTGTGCTGCTGCACCAAACTCCAACGCTTTGATCGTTGGACGAGCTATCACTGGCATTGGAGGCGCGGGGATTGGCTCCGGCGCGTTCATCTACATCACGCTGCTGTTTCCTTTGGAGGAGAGACCGAAGTATCTTGGCTCTCTTGGATCTGCTTTTGGAATCTCGTCGATCTTGGGACCGATTCTTGGGGGCTATCTTACCTCTGTTACATGGCGGTGGTGCTTTTGGATCAATGTCCCCATCGGTGGACTTTCACTTATTCTCTTGTGCATTCTGGCGCCGAATAGACCACCACCCAGCGAGCCACCCAAGTCATGGCGTCAAAGATTCTTTGATCTTGATCCATTGGGTTTCCTCATGATTGCTGGATCGGTCGTTAGTCTTCTCTTCGCACTCGAGTTTGGCAAAGAGAACCAACAGTGGACCAGCGGACGCGTCATCGCTCTCTTTGTCGTCTTTGGCGTCATGTTCCTCATCTTCGCAGGCTACCAAGCTTGGAGGAGAGAGAAAGCAACAGTGCCCCCACGAATTCTCTTCCAGCGTACAACCTTCTTTGCCTACCTAAATACCCTGGCTATTGGTTCTATACTAGTCATTTACGCGTTTTACCTTCCTGTCTGGTTCCAGGTGGTCAAAGGCAAGTCGCCTCAAGATTCAGGTATAGCTCTGATACCGCTCCTACTGAGCAATGTGTTCTGTGTAATTCTCGGTGGTGTTTTGGTTAGCAAGATTGGATACTATACACCGTTTGCTATTGCTGGAGCTGCTGTGTTTATTGTTGGAGCGGCATTAATAAGTACCTGGACGGCAGATGTATCCAAGGCCAAATGGATCGGCTATCAGGTATGTTCAGTCCATATGATGTCAAGCGTTGCTTACTGACCATTGCAGATCATCACAGGAGCAGGCATGGGCTTGACGCTACAACAACCCGCCATTGCCGTTCAAACCGTTCTCTCAGAAAGCGACAGCCCGATTGGCCTTTCAATCTTGAACTTCTTGACCTTCCTTGGTGGAACAGTCTTTGTCACCGTCTCGCAAACATTACTTGAAGGACAGCTTGAGAGCAAAATTGCAAAGTACGTTCCTGGAGTTGACATCAATACGCTTGCAAACAGTGGCGCAACGAATCTTTGGAAGCTCGTGCCTTCTGACAAGGTCGACTTGGTGTTGAATGCGTACAACGATTCGATGCGGTCTATCTGGTATCTTGGCTTGGGCATGGGATGTTTTGCTCTGATTACCTCATTTGGATTTGAGTGGAAGAACGTCAAGGCGAAGAAGATGGCTGGGGCAGCTTCAACTGCATAGCTTGTCAAGACCGTACATGGATGTTATTCACAATAGACAATAGACAATCTCATCTCATAGCCTTAATAATATTAGCTTAGTGTTAAGCTATTTCTGGCTTACACAGTCTCATAAATGGCCTAATTATGGTGATTAAGAAAAGCAAAAAAAGAAAGATACGTTTATGCTACCCTTTTATCGGCTAAATTTAGTAGGTAAAATCGCAAAAAGAGAATCTGATGAGACTGGGACTCGAACCCAGGAGGATTGCTCCACCAGGAAATTGGTGTTAAGGCTAACCTTAACCTGGCGCCATAACCAACTCGGCCATCTCACCGATGATTGGATGATGTTTTAAAGCAAAAATTAGGACTATATCAATAGACTGCGAGGTGGCCATTTTATTTCGGCGCCCTGGATTCCTCATGGGCTGGGCCCGTTATTTACGGAGTAGCGCCTATTACCTACTATTAAAGTCATTGCAAAGTATAATCTACACTTAATTCACTTCCTTCCCATGCTCTAAAAGTTACTCTATTGCTAAAACCGCTATTTCCGCAAGATTTAAATTGGTGGCTTACCTGCCCCTGTCTGTGACCAAGGGGTTCCAGCAAATAACAGCTCTAGAACATCTTGGCATTGTCGATAGCTTCGAAACTATCGATTTTTGATGTGGGCTAACTGCCAGGGTCTCCTTTGAACCCGTACTTTTTGACAGCCGCCACCCGGACATTTCTAATACTCTCTTTTTCCTTCCCTTTTTTTTTTTTTTTTTTTCAACGCTGTCAAGCCAAAACCCTTTTGGCAAGTCTCTCGTTATGCGTCTCACCTCAATTCTTCAACTGGCCTTTGGGCTCCCGGCGGCCATAGCAGGCCCTTGCAAACCCAGTTTTTGTGAGTTATTTAAGCGCATGGGTCAACGTAACCATCTAATAAGCCTCTGTAGCTTCTCAATCCACTGATGCGCTCGTGGTAACGTCAACTCAGGCGACTGTGCCTGGAGTCACTTCTACAGAGACAGCCAGTACAACTGTACCAGAGACCATCGAGACTTCTACCACTGATGCTTCGCTCGCATTGACATCAACTGGATCTGACACTACGACCATCATTACATCACTCGACACGACTGAGACTACAACGCTTGTACCTACAACCACGACCTCGGAAGAGCCCGCAGTCACAACTTTCAACATCATTGCCGAAGGCGGCCCAGCAGATGGTATAGTGATGGGTCAGAAGGAAAACTTTTACTATCTCCAATTCTCCTCCAATCCAGCCTGGGAACCCGCCGCCCTCATCCTCGAACAAGACACAGGCTATCTCCGTCGCGCCGACCCATTCAACCCCAATTTCCCACTCATCTGCATTCGCTGGGGTTCAGGCACAGTACCTAACCCAGGCTGGTTCATCGATTGTTCGGCGTCAGATACATACTACGGCGCGCCTATTAAATGCGACCTCAAAACTGGCGGCGAGCTCTCTTGCTCAATTCCTGCTGGCCACTGTAGACACTATACCATTCCTCCGAGGGACAATGATGCTTGGGATTGTCAAGCGGATACTGGCGTTTTCCAGAACTTCTACACGGAGGAGAGTACGGATGAGGATGGTGTTACTTTCTATCGGCCTTGGATGGGCTTTGAAGGATATGAAGGGCAAGGCGATTTCAATCCCTTGGAATCAGTGACGTTCAGATGGAGAAGCGCGTATTAGACAACACGTTGCACATATATGCCGTCGTTAGTACATAGTTCACCTGCCTTCTTGAATAGGCACTACACGCGAATACGCGTAGAGCAAAGATATCCTCGGGTTTGAAGAACATCCTATGGGGGCTCAGTGCTGAGAGGAAAAGCCACGATGATATCATATGTGAGTGATATTAGCTTCTTTGGCCACGACTATATAACATTCGGTATCACGGAGGTAGAAAAACCTCTAGAATAGGGTTAATGCATTGTCCTTGCTCGTGCAGGTTCAGCATGCAGTATGGTTGCATCGCTCCAACTGGTGGACTATATTGGGGGTATATGTGAATCTCTTCTGATCATGCAAGATCGGTGTCTAGAGTTTGTCACCCAGCGGCACAGACCAAATGGCCACTGCCAATCATGGCGTGACAAAGCCTTCCAGGAATTAAAAAGCCAACTATCTGTCTTTCCAAAAGTATAACGGCTCAATTATGGCGGCTTTCCGACCCGTATCTGGGCGATCGTCGACTCCCGTTCCGAATCCGGATATCACGGGGTGTTGAGCTCCGGTATGCTGCATTTATCGCCCCATGGGGATGAGGGGAATGGCACGTGTAATTTGCATGCCGAATGTGACAACTATAAAACATGTTGTTAATCGCTGTTATCAAGATCAGCAGAATTGATCAAGTTCAATCATTCTCCAGATCTCAAGATGAAGTTTGCTTCAATTGTCGCGGCCGCTTTTGCCAGCGTTCCGGCGCTGGCTGTACCAGCTGGATTTGTTACCACTGATGGGACAAAGTTCCAACTTGACGGAAAGGACTTTTTCTTCGCTTGTAGCAATGCCTACTATCTCCCTTTCAACGTCGTAAGTTATCTGGCAATTGATGTGGATCAAGCATACTGACCATGTTAGTGGGGAACCGATCACTACTCCGATGTCAAGCTGGGCCTTCAGCTTGCAAAAGACGCCGGTCTCAAAGTCATGCGCACATGGGCCTTCCACGACAACAACAGGACCTATGTCTCTGGTGGTTTGCCTCAGTACGGCACTGGCGCTGAAAACACCGTCATGCAGTTCTTTGAGAAGGACGGAAGCGTCAAGATTGATCTGAGCAAGCTTGATGTTGTCATTAAGGCTGCTGAGGACACCAACATGAAGCTAATCTTGGCTTTGACTAACAACTGGGCTGACTACGGTGGCATGGACGTGTATACCGTCAACCTGGGTGGCCGTTACCACGATGATGTGAGTTTCCCAGCGCGTTGGACTGAGAAAGTGTCTTACTAATTATGCAGTTCTATCGTCTCCCTGCTATGAAGAAGGCTTTCAAGAACTATATCTCCGCCGTTGTAACCAGATACAAGGACTCTCCCGCTGTCTTTGCATGGGAAATTGCCAATGAACCCCGCTGCGGCGCTGATGGAACTCGAAATCTCCCCCGTGGACCAGACTGCACCCCCGCTACCATCACTTCCTGGGTCAGCGAGATGAGCACATACATCAAGTCTCTCGACGCAAACCATCTCGTCACCACCGGAAGTGAAGGTGGCTTCAACAGACAGTCAGACGACTGGACTTACAACGGCGCCGACGGTACAGACTTTGACGCTGAAATTAAGCTTCCCAACATCGACTTCAACACCTTCCACTCATACCCTCAGTACTGGAGCAAGACAACCGACTGGGTCGTCCAATGGATCAAGGACCACGCCGCTGCTGGTGCAACAGCCAAGAAGCCCGTTCTTCACGAGGAATACGGCTGGACCGACAAGTCCACTCGCATCGAAACCCTGAGCAAATGGCAAAAGGCTTCTCTGGATCTCCAGGTCAGCGACATGTACTGGCAATTCGGCACCAGCAAATTCTCCTACGGAAAGAATCACGATGACGGAAACACTATTTATCTTGAGGACGATGAGGCTCAGCCATTGGTATACCAGCATGCTGCTGCTGTTAATGCCGCTAATGGGGAAGCTGTGACCACGAAGCCTACGGCCACCGCTACAGCCACGTCTAAGCCGAGTACTACTCTTTCGACGACTTCCAAGCCGACTGTTACTGGCGGAGCTACTGTGCCGAGATATGGGCAGTGTGGTGGCGCTTCGTGGACTGGACCTACCGTTTGTGCTTCGCCGTATACTTGCAAGGAGCAGAACCAGTGGTATTCTCAGTGCTTGTAGTGACTTCGCTCGGATAGGAATGAGATCGGATACTAGATTTAACTCCAAGATATATTCATTACACGCAAATTAAACCGCAACAAGCAATGTTCTCTCAGATAACCTACCAGTGATGGTATCGGATATATGCCAAGCATAAACAAGTCCAGATAATAATGATGCTGACGGAGCCCATCTGGATAAGAATTCAAGAAACTTGCCAGCATCCGAGCCAGTGTGGATATCTTTCGTTCCTTGGAGAAACGGCACCCAAAAGAAAGCAAGTGCAGTGATGACCATCGCCCGTAGTGGTATACAAGTCATCCTGGGAAGTTCGAACGACCTGCTAGAAGGTTTATCCTCCCTCTGTCGCAACTGGTATCCTGATTCGACTGGGCATGACAAAAAACCTGCCATATTGGCATTAACAGCATTTCAGAATCATCAGCTAAATTGTCGTGCCTATGTTAGAGTGGCAGAGTTCCTACGGCGACTGGCTGAGAAGAACAGACAGCTTCTTGCAAACAGTTTATCATTCCTGGAGCAGTTATACACCAAAGCTCAAAATGACAGCATGTTTCGTTTAAATAATTTGCTGTGTTTATTACAACCTCAACTTTATCATATTTGCCTGCATCCTTTGTAGCAGTAAGTCTAAATTCAGGCCATTCAATGTATAGTATACTAACATGCCATAACTACAATATTAATCGAAATTGAATAAAGCTTAACTCAGAATGCGAATTTAAGCCTTGGAAAGGGGATTGTAGTTTAATGTAGCCGAAAAATGTGTTGGTGGCTTTGAACCCCGAGTCGAATTTGCCGACTGAATTTTCTGACTAGCTAATATAAACCTTAAACCTTGATCATTAGACCTAATTGGATAAAAGGCCTGGGTACCCATGGGAATTTTAAGCCCTCATATCCCTCCAAGTAGACAGTCAACTGCCGATTAGCTACGGCTAGTTTCGTGTGCAGGACTAGCATCAGCATCCAAAGTTTGCTGTATCCGCTGACTCGGTAGCCACTTATCTGCCGGAGTAAACCACCATGTTAATAAGGCCAGGATTGTGGTGCCCGCCATTATAATAGGGGCATAGTTCAGAGACTCAGCTGTGACAGGGAAGATGTACGGCGAGTACAAGACAGCAACTACCCAACCATTCCAAAAGACGGCAATAAACTGAAACGGCTTGCTGAGCCGTCCCAAACTCCATGCTGGCTTGGGGAAGTTCTTTGGAGTCAGAAAGAGGCGACCAAGGCAGATGAGACCGTATGCAGCTGCAGAAGGTACGCCGGCGGCAGATACCAGAGAGGTGAAAGCCACAGCTGATGGGAGGATGGTGCAGGTGATGATTGAGGCGACTCCCCAGACGACGTAGACAGCGTTGCGAGGCTGGCCAGCTACTACCTTGGAAACCCAGCCAGACCAGGGCAGAACTCCGTCTCTTGCAACGGCAAAGACCAGACGAGAAGCTGCAAGCACAGCGATTGCGGTGTTCTTTTCAACAGTAAGCTTCACCGTACTGAAATGGCTGCCATCGAGAAACTTACAAACCAGAGCGCCAGTATACACACAACGTTCATCACGACATGGCCTCCTTGACCGAGGATCGCGGCATACACTGATACAAAAGGTTGAGGACCACCATAAGAGAAGAGAGTTTGAGCATCGGGCTGCCATGGTGTTATTGAATGGTTCATGCAGTTTTGACGACACGAAACTTACCACGCAGAACAAGAAGAGAATGACGACTGCAAAGCCGCCGAGACCACTGACAACCGTGCTCCAGAAAATACCTCTAGCTGCTGCAACCGAGGCATTCTTGGTCTCTTCAGCTACATGGCCAGAGGCATCAAAGCCAATCAAGATACCAGCAGTAGCGAGATAGGAAAGACACCAATTCCAACCCGGCGGGGCCCCAGTACCGTTATAAGTCGTCATGAAAGCATCGTGTGTTGATCGAAAGCCAAGAGTTTTGCTGGTGGCGATAGGGAGCCAAATCAGATTCAGGACAAAATCAAGAATGACAACACTGCTAGATGCGGAAAAGATCCACTTGAAGTATCGAGCTGCTGATATTAGACAAGAGGTATAGATACATGTTGGTGTTGGGAGTCTTACGAGGGAGCAAATTCCAGATGCAGGCTAGGGCGAGCAATATTTCTGTCAGGATCCATTGCACAGCTCGGAACTTGACGCTTGATGAGTCGGAGGGAAAGTCTGTGCCGAACACGACGATTTCCTAAGGATATCACATCAATTGAACCGTTTTTCTTTTACGGGAAAATACATACCGAAAGCAGGTAGTTTACAGCAGCTTGCGTGTTGCCTTCATACCGCAGAGATTAGAACTTATCGATCCATACGGAGGTTGTACTCACTGGCGCAAAAGGTTGTCCAAGCAGTGGTAGACCACCAAGCAACGACAAAACCAAACAATCGACCCCAACGGGGACCGCCGGCTTCAGCAGCCCAGAGATAGATGGAACCAGCTAGAGGTAGGGAAGAGCAGATCTCGGCGATTACCGCGGCGGTTATGAATGTGAAGACACACGTAATGATGTAACTCGTCCTTTGAAGCGATCAGCGAAGTAAGTAGGTAAGCAGACGCTCAGGATTCACCAGTATGCCAGATTTCCACCAGCTGCGATACCAGTCGAAAATGTAACGCGCACGCCACCGATGAAGTAAAGAGCGGCTACATAGCGTTAGGGGTTTTGTCTCAATCTGTTCGTTCGTAAAATGACTGACCGAAGGTAGTAGCAAAATTGTGGAATTGATTGAAGCTACGTTCTAGGACCTGTCGTCTGTCAGCTCTTGATTATTCAACGGAAGCCATGCTCTGTCTCGTACAGGTTTGTATCCCAATTTTTCCTACATCTTCTGCGTCAGCTCTGCTTGCCGGTCTATTTGAGGTATATTCTATACTACTAACCAAAACCACATTGTCGGCTGTATTGTCGCTAGAATCGCCTGTTACGTCGCCGCCTATTTTAACAGGATCGTCCTTGTTATTTTCCGATAATGTTGACATTGCGCGGTTTTTTATGCTCGCCAATTAAAAATTAAAATGTCGCCGCGGGAATAATTATGATTGAGAAAGACGGAGCCCACGGATCAGAACATGAAATTCCGTGGAACTTTATAATCTATACCCTGGCTTACTAAGGCACGGATTGGTACTATCTTCAGCGACGACAGCGGATGCCAAGCACGTCATCGCACTTATAATTGTGTCAGATACATCTAGACTGCCTTCCCAGCAGAACGGTACCCATATCGCCAGGAATTATTTCCGCCAACGGTTTAACTTCCTCTTTGGGGTGATGTGACATACCTAGATCAGATGGCGTGACTTTTATAAGTATTGCTTAATCCCGACCTCACTCAGATATAAGTAGAGAGACTAATCATAGCCCTGGTCTAGACTTGGCATTGCGAAATACGGAATACCTAGCCATGGCTTTACCAATATTAGAGATTACCGGCACGGTTTTTGTCGCAATTTTTATTTATGTATGAACTATTCTCAATTGCGGCTAGTTTTATCGGCTGACATACGTTGTAGAATATTATCTCAACATATACATCGCCCCTATCCAAGATCCCCAGCGCAGGTTTCGGTGCAGCATTTTCAAGACTGTTATGGACATTTCCGCAGGAGTATAAAGGCGCCATCACCCTCACACTACCCGAGCTACATAAGAAACTTGGTAGGCAGGTTGCTCTGATAAAGCATTGGAATAAATCCTGATATTGCTAGGCCCTCTGATTCGTATCGGTCCAAACGAAGTCTCGTTTTACTCGCGCGAGACATATGAAACGGTTCACAAGGTCGGAAGTAAATTCAAGAAAGACCCCAGGGTCTATGGACAATTCGTACAAGGCGGCCATGCGGCTCTATTTTCTATAACGCAAGTTAATACTTATGCGAACAATTGCGAGCGCTTGACTGATATTCCAATAGAGACCCGGTAGAGCATTCCAAGCGAAGGAGGATCATGGCACAGCTCTTCTCCCGAAGCAAGGTCCCGCAGCTGGAGAAAATAATTTCCCATCATGTCATGAGATTTATCGACAAGATCAGAAATAACGATTCGATTGTTGATTTGAGTGTCGCTTCTCGGTCTCTCGAAGCAGATATTATGTGTAAGATAAAATCCTTCTGGCTTTTCTATTTTCTTGTTAATATTAAAATAGCCGACTTTTCCTTCGGCACAACAATCAATGCCCTGAATTCTTGGGCTAGCGGAGAACAGCTGGCGATGGTGGAGAAGAATGACGAAAAGGCAACTTGGATGCCTGTCGTGAGTTTACCTCAGATCAATAACATTCATGATTGAGATTAATAATGTCTGCTTCTGTTTAGCTTACTAATTTCCCTATGTTGTGTGGATTTTGGGAACACGCTGAGCAGAGCCTGCATACTTTGACCGGTTTTAGAACAAAGTATTCTCAAGGCCTGTTTGACTTTCACAATGTATGTCCGACCTTCCAATCCCCCATCATCTACCTAAGCTCCCATGTTGATGGTTCTAGTGGACTCGAAAATCATGGCAGGCAGCACTCTCCACAGAGTCAGACTATGGCACATCCATTAGCTCTCCAAACCTCATACAAACGCTATGCAACGCCGGGCTACCGGCTGAAACTGCCTTATCAGAGGCGGGAGAGAACCTCGGCCCAGGAACAGACACGACTTCTGCAACACTAGCTCATATTCTTTGGGCTCTTGCGCATAATCCCACCTTCCAAGACGCTCTGTATCAGGATCTAGCCAGTGTTGACTTTTCAACGGACATGAATACGCTCGAGAATATCCCTCGTCTTCAAGCCTGTGTCAAGGAAGGTATTCGATGGGCTGGCGCTGCAGCGGCCATGCTTCCCAGGATCGTACCTCCCGGAGGTATTGAGCTCCATGATACGTTTATCCCAGAAGGAGTCAGTATTCTCGTGCTTTACTTTTCCAATGTTGACATGCTAATAAAAAGCTTTGCAGACTGTTCTCACCTCTTCACCCATCTGGTACCTACATGACGAGAACGCATTTCCAAACCCCAAGCTGTACGATCCATATCGGTGGTTATCAAAAGATGGAAATGACCTGACTGCTGATCCCCTCCGCGATCGCTATTACATACCGTTTTCACGAGGAGCGAATTTATGCTTGGGAGCTCAGTAAGTTTCTACAAAGCCCTAGTCAGATAAGCTGTCTGGTATTCATAACTTATAGTTTCTCATACCTTGAGCTGTATATTTCTATTTCTCAAATTATCCGGCAATTTCGATTAGAACGGCACAGCTCATCCAAACTTAATTCTTCAGAAGGCTCCTGGAATTTAACTCTTTTACCAGAACGCAGGGAGTGGGTTGCAGCAGTCCCAGTAGAGAATCTTAAAGTAGTATTACACTTAAGAGTTTAAAATTAAATATTAAACATATTTATATAAAAAATAAACTTAGGCTATATAAATAGTTTAAAAAGAATAATATTATAGCCTTTAAATAGAGAAAGTTTATTACTCTCTTATATATATAAAAGCCTTCTCTAGAAGAGAGAGACAGGAATAAAATTTGCATAAGGAAATTATATACAGTTCATAAAACAGAATCTGGAGTTTGGAATTTCCCTTTAAAGATTAGCGCTGCATCCAGGAATACTTCTCTCGGCGTCATCATTTGAATTTCCCCTTTTTAGTATAGCAGCTTTTTCAGCTTTGCGCCCAACCAATCGGAATGAAAGAATTTGATCCGTCGTCCGTAGAAAAACGTAACTTCAACGGCGAGTAATCCAGCATAAAGCGAGCTGAAGTGAACTGGGCTCTGGTTTCTTTTCCTTATCTCTCCCTCATCGCGACTATACCGACATGCAATTTGTTCATTCCTGGCCTTGGATCTCACATTGAAGTTCTGTTCCCTTGAAAATATGGATTCTTCGAACTTGAAATGGGTCTACGGTTCAACAGATCGGGCTAAAGGCATGTCAAATGAGACTGTCGACGAATACAAAACCATCATTCAACAGCTTTACCTAGACCGGAACATGACGCGCGAAGGAGTTCTAGACCGTCTGAAAAGTTTCCATGGGTTTTCATTGTCGTCAGTTAAGCTTAATATGGTGCCGGTAAAAAATTACCTCACTGACCAGACGTACTGTAGGGCGAACCAATTCTCTAAAGCCACGAAACGCTGGGGTTTCTACAAGCAATCTCGACAAGTCCGAGCGAGGATACAGCCTTCTGGGTCAATAATTGAGGATGAGGAGCTGTCCAGCACGCTCAACCTACTGAAAGAACTGTTTGATCACGAGTCGGATGTTCTCGACTCGATTGACGAGACGGAAGCTTGCTTTCATACTGGTAGCGAGTATGTTAAGGATCCTCAGACTCTTGAAGATGTTCAGAAGCAACTTTCATACTCCGAAGTGCCTCCCTCCATCAACCATTCGGTTGACTTTCAACGCGACGCTCTGCCTTGCAATACAGACAAAAGCCTTCCCGAGAGATCTAAAGGACAGCTCCAGCAACTGGGGACCGCTCGAAAGCTTGAAATAGGGCCAGATGCTATCAGCTCAAAGTTGTTTGCCAGAACCTCTTCTGAAAGCTATATCGACAACAAGTCGCGTGTTGATTATTTGACGTGCTGTTACCTTCTTCAAGAAGCCGTTGATTGTTTAGAAACATCAGGCAAGACCGGCGGTAAACGAGAAGATCAAATTCCAAGGAGCAACACTGACAAGCCTTTGACAAAATTTCGCAGAGATAAGGACAAGCTATCAAAAAGCGAGGCTAGTTCTCTTGATATGTGGTCAGTTCTTTGCCTCGAAGAACCAAACCAGCTCGGCATTTTGGACGATCTTCTCAACAGGCCAGACATGAATGATCTACAGTTGACGAACGCAGTGAAAGCATGCTTGAGGATGTGTGAGGGGTGGATCGAGCTGGTGGTAAAAGGGCTGCCAAGAGGTGCTCTCCAGTTTGACAGCCTCCTTTTACACCAGAATGCCAGAAAGGCCGTCCAGAACATGTATCGGCCCGTTCATGAACAGGGCCCTTTTGATTTATGGCAAGAGGCCGGGTATCTCTTTGCCTTTGTTTGGAGTAATGAGCAAATAGAGGCCGCAAACTCTTCGTCTTGGTTGAAAGGAGCCGAGATATCCGGCCTATCTCGGACGTATTTCCTGGCTATCGTTTGTCGGATGATTGTCTATAGGACTGTCTGCAGATTCCCAGACTTTCGGACAATTCAAAGCAAAGGAAACAATACTGGTAGGCCTATCTGCCGGCTGTATCTGCACGCAATCGGGAAGATGAAGAAAACGAGTCAATTACGAGACGAGAAAAGATTATTCATCATCTGCCTTTACAATCATCACGCGGGGTCTGAAATGGATCCAAAACAGAGCAACATTCTAGAGAGTGTCCAATCTTATCAGAGGAAAGCTGATGATTTTGTGTTCAATGAGGAACGAGATACATTAGCTCAAGAGATCTTGCAGGCCACTACATTACACGAAGATGTTGGGATAACCAACTTCAGCAATATGGCGTCTAGCAGATCGAGCCGCACAGCCTCACACTCTTCAAGTTACTCATATACTCGCCAGCAACATTTCACCCTACTGAGTAGCAACCCTACGATGACTCGTTCGCTGGCCTCAGGATCTTCTCGAGGGTCATCATTGAATTCATTTAAAGGATTCCAAGCAGCAAGCAGAGCCATAGAAAAATGCTTGAAGGAGGATCATAGTAGATATATATAAACTTCGTACGGAAGAACGAGGGGGATATCTAATTATTTAATTATTAATTAATCTTATTTTCTTTACTTCAGGTTTCTCTCTCACTTTATAACCTACTTCTAGCCTTTGAATAAGCATAGCTTCGGTCCTCGAAAAGCCGTTGTTTAATTCGCTATTACACTCTGCTTGGAGTCTACGTCGTCATTTTTAGTGGCCATGGTAAACAAATCAAGCACCTATATCATCTAAGGGTGCGAATGGAACGATCTAGAGTTAGTAACCCAATTGATGTCGATTGATACAATGAGAACCCAGTCTCCAGTTTATTGACAGTATTATCGAAACATCTTGGCCTACAGATGCATTCCGACTCATTGACTTTACTGCCCAGAGATACCTCTATAGTAGCCTTGATGCCGTTCTCTTTACTGAACTCACAAAACCTACAGTACCTCCAGTCTATGAGCCAGTATTCGGCACTATGAGCCGAAAACTACCTTACTGCCAAGATTCCCACAGTTTATATCAGGGCATGATCGTCTTGTCCATTCGCACTAAACCGAACATGGGCAAAGCGGCGGCCGCAGGTCTCCACTCCCATATGATCTCGTGTCGGCCATCACGACTTTATTTCACCAACTTAATTTTTAATCCTCTTGAAGGTTGTCTGTCGAGTACCTATTACCGTTATAGTGGCAGCCGAAGAGAAAATTCTGACATCGCTGAGGCTTTGTACCCCATGTCCATCATGACTTCACCACAACGAGCACCCCGAGTTTGCCGGATATGCAGAATCAAGAAGAAGGCATGCGGCAAAGAACTCCCTACCTGTTCTTACTGCTTCAAGCGCGGTTTCGATTGCATATACGAGAGCGAGAGCGATACGCCGCCAATCAACGACGTTGCAACAGAGGTGTTCAAACCATGGTCTCTTACGTTATTCCCCATGTCCATTTCCACTGCCACTTTAGACAGAACGATGGCTAATCACATGCACTACCTATACAAAGTAGTCGGCCAATCTCCCCTCCAAGCCGGGCAACGATTCCTCGACAACTTTCAGCGATGGTTACCTATCATAGCTCCGCGGCGCCTGCATGAGCTTATTGAGCTAAGCGAGCAAGGGCTTCCTGGGGCTGACGTTTCTGTTCTTTTGCTCTCGATATGCCTTGTTACTCTGAGGTCCGGTGGAGACTTGGATGATCCTTTCCTTCATAGCTCCGCAGTACATGTGACTGTCAAGACACTGTACGCTCAAGTTCAGGCTATCACACATGCTAACATAGCTCTGGTTCAGGCTGGTGTTGTCTTATCGGCTTATGAGTATGCTAGTGGTCAGATTGACTCAGCTTACATATCCATTGCTGCATGCATCAGAATGGCACAGGTTGTTGGTGTTGACACTGCATATGAGCGATTGGGTGCTGTCCAAGAAGAAACAAGGCAACAAGCGACGTCAGAGTGGAATTTGTGGTGGTCCATCATCGTCCTGGAAAGGTATAGCATCTCCTTATAATTTAGATGGTGGTCCACCGGCGACGGACACGCGCTCACACATTTCAGGTTTATCTTGCTAGAGTACAGCAATACCGGACGTCGATATCACATAGCCATTTGCCCCGACTCCGACGTACCCTTACCTTCCGACACAGAATCTAACGGTGAATATATTCCAACTTATTGCACCATGTCTTCATCGACTATTCAGAGTTCTTCCAACTTGAGCAGTTTCGGCCGACAAGCGCAAGCTATCTATTTGCTTGACCGCTGCTTGAATGAGATAAGTCATTTTAAGCAGGGCGACTCTGAATCACAGCTCTTGAAGCTACAAGAATTGGACAAAGACTTGCAAGAGCGGCTGTCTGTCTTTATGACACAAACGCCACATGAGCCGGGTCTGCGTTGTGGAACTATCGCAACAGTAATAAGGTATGTACAGATTCATCTCCTGCAATCTTCTCTCTGACTTCACAGTAGGTCACTGTATATTTTACACGGCGAGATATTATACATAGCGGGGTTATTTCCAGGTGACGCCAACAGAGAGGGATGGATGAAGAGCTCCGAAGCCGCGTTGGAGACGATTACCACGATCATGGTTGATGTTGCGAAACATCACTTGGACTATATCACTCGTTCTGGTGTTGACAGCTTGGCTTTCTGCTGTGCATGTAACCTTCGGGTAGCGATAAGGTACACTGAAGATCGCTGTAAGCATGGCTATGTATGTAAAAGTCTGCTAGATGGTCTAGGATATCTGAAAGCACTGGAAACGGTGTTCAATAAGAGATGGAACATGAATTAGTGGTCGTGTCAAGATCTCCAACTCATTGCCTTTGCGATGTCTATTCTCGGATGATGACAACATGATATACCTGTCCCTGATATATTACCGAACAGTGATGCGACATGGCCTGTGCCATCATGTAGGTTGTCAGAAACCACAATTGGTGCCCAATCCGCATTAGCGTCTCACTTTGAGGCCCTCGACTGCTGCCTGATTACACAGCCTCTGCAAATGTTAGCCCAATTGTATTTCTTGCTGTGATTCTTTACCAACTATAGTAGACATAACTTTGAGGTTTATATGGCGCGATCCCCACTAAGACACGGCGCTGACGTTGATCTCCGCACCTGCCCAGCGAACAATGTCACAGATTTATCAAATAGATACGGACGAAAGTTCTCGGTCGGGCCACGACCTTTATGAGCCGCTTAGTGACATCAGAAGGCGATATCGAGACCCAAGCATTGTCACGCAGTTAGTCCATATTCAAGCAGCTAACGTTCCACAACAGAAGTCTTTGGAATTTCTCGAGAAGCTCGAGTGCTTACATTTCACCGATCGAGATGATGCCAGCTCGACACAACCGACTTTGAGTCTGGACACGATAAATGCCTTTAAACAAAGAAAGTACGTGGCTCTCTCGTACACATGGCAGCCTTCTCCAGAAGAGATATATATGCCGCACGGAGGGTACTTGGTTCAAGACATCCAGTCATGGCAGTGGGAACCGTCATCAGTGAGAAACACGGTTTTCAGCCGGATCAGACGGTACATGGATCATGTGGAATGCCGGCATCTGTGGATCGATAAGCACTGCATTATCCAAGAAGATGGAGAAGAAAAAGAGATAGGTATGCAAGCAATGGACCGAGTCTATAGCCTCAGCCAACATCCAGTGGCACTGTTATCCTTGACCATCAGTACGTCGAATCAATTGCAATTACTCACCGATATTCTCTCTGGGAAGTTTGTCGCAGAACGAGGAGCCAGTTACGTTTTATCATCTGCGGAACGGGCTTTGGATGCACTTCAACTTCTCCATTATATCACCTCGGATACTTGGTTCTCCAGAGGATGGACTTACCAAGAAAACTATCGTGCTAACATGAAGATGAAACTTCTGATTGCGCATCCTGCAGCACTCAACCGCGAAAAGGCGGCTCGGCACTTTGGATCCCTGGACGGAGAGCTCTTGGTCGGCTCCGCGGAACTTTACGAACAGGCAACAAAGCTTTGCATGGCCTATTCTGACCACAAGCCGCCGCCGCCGTGCCTAAACACTGTTCTATCGAAAGCCAAGCGATATACAATTCTACTCGCCAATGACGAGGATTCAGCCCCGGTGTCAATGTCTCCGAGTATCATTGAAGACATAGCCAGTCGTAACCTTGAGAGGGAGTGGGACAGGGTAGCTATCATCGCCAACTGCTGCCAGTACACCAATCGTTTGAACAGTGCACAGCTCCAGAGTGACAGGCACAGTCTTAGTCTGGCCATCCTTACACTTGTTCTGATGAATGGGGAAATACTGTCGAATCATCCTCGAGACAAGCTCGACGCGACAAAAATGACTATCACGGAGTTTCTGCACGGGCATTTCTTTTATGGGCTGGAGTCTCCGTGGAAAAAGGCCAAACTTACTTTTAATAAGAGTTGCCGCTTTGCCAATGTCATTTTGACGGAAGAGGGTGTTCAGACTGAGGGTTATTTATGGCGGTTGGACGACGAGATCATAACGACGCAGTTTCAGAACTGCCTTCAACCCCGCGGAAAGAAAAGGCATCGGCAATTGACGAAGCGACCACTCGAGTGGCTGGCAGAGGAACTGGCTCCTCACTACCCCGTCCTGTCCCAGAGACTGGACGAAATTATGGACCTTGAAGTGCCATCCTCAGCTGCAGAAGAATGGCTGCTAAGTATGGTAGATAAGGTGGAAGAGGCTATAGTGCAGGGAAAACTACTTTGCACAGCCACTTTGCTCGGTCCTGGACCTCTAGGCGTTGCTGTCTTTGTCCAGCCGGAAGACTATGAGGACGAAAGCACTGGCACTGGCTCTGAAATGAGTCTTGATATTGATGAGGACTGTTACGTTTTCACGTCCTTTCAGCGTGCGCAGACTGATCGTGGGGGGTTTGACCTCAATGATCTGGACAAGCATGTCTCGCTGGAGGTTGATTACGATCCTGGGAAGGGTTACGCACAAGTCCCTCGGTTATACACAAGGCGCTGGATTCACGGATTGTGTTTCTACCATGGCTGTTCTCCACGACCAGTTACATTTCCGTGGCCATTATCGTTGAGGGGCCTATAGTTGTCACAAAGCTGATTTAGAGGACTTGACGTTCAAGCTCTGGTTATTGGACTTTTAAGTTCTCAATAGCGCAATTAGTGCTTGAAGGGTAATTACCATCATCAGCCACTCTCTGTAATTCACTGGATTAGATCGACGCCACCATCGATAGCCTCAACTAGATCTGCACTAACGAGATCGGCCTGAAGCCAAGTCAATAAACAAAAGGGGCATTTTTGTATAAAGCTATGGAGGAGAAAGGATCTTGGCATTTCTCTTGTTTACTCACTTTCTGTCCTTCCTTTTCGGGTTTAACCTAGTCATTCGTTACCATGATTTCGCGCAACCTTCTTACTGGGACTGTTGTCCTCCTGACGGTTAGTCTAGCTAACGCTGGCCCATGTCGCCCGTCTTCAATTATTTCTTCGTCGACTGTCACTGCATCTGTTAGCGATACTGCGACCAGTTCCTTGGAGAGTAAGACCGCGACTTCCACTGCTTCTGTCGATGCGACCCAGACTACTACCACCGCGGTCGAGTCCGACAGCGAGACTGGAACTACCATCGTCATCGAAACAACCTCCACTGTCTCTTCGGTTGAAAGCACCACTACAGCGCTTGTCGACATAACCACTACTACAGCAGCTATCACAACCGCTGAGACCACCACCGACGCTGCAACCACCACTGCCGCAGCTACCACGACCACGGAGGGACCTGAAGCCGTCCAATCCATCTACATGTACTCCCACAGCAGCAGCGACCCCGCCTTCGCAGGCAACGGCGGCACAGGCTTCGCGGCTCTCAGCGACACCCAAATTCCCGACGTAGAATACATCGACTTTACGACTGTCCCCGGGACACTTTTCTTCACCCTGGGCGAACGAAGCGGGAAGGTCAAGATCGGCAACGGCGCTGACGTTGGAAAGCTCGTGGGATACTTCCCATCAAGCGACTACAGCTTGGTGATTGCTGCTGAGACTACACTTGCCGAGGAAAATGGTGTTACGCCTTTAGACTGCGATATTGTCTCTCCAAATGGATACCCGATAATTCAGTGCCAATACGGTGATCTGGGACTTGCGGACTTTTGGACTTGTGCTGGACACTGGACGCTGGTGAAGCCTGGCTACGACTTCACCACTAAGTGTCCTAGTGCTTCTACGGCCTACAAGCTGGACTTCATTGAGGTGGACTACGTCCAGTAAGACATCGAATGTGTACTGGGCATCCAAATCACTGCCAATGTACCATATAATTATATATATCTATTCTCCTTCTTCTTCTAGGTGTCGCGGTGTAAGTAGACACCTTAGGCCTTAGCTATTTAGATTTGTTTACAATTTCAAGTGCATGTTAAGACCAAGCCCCGTGGGATTGCAAAAAAAGACTATACACCCTGGGAGGTTGAGCAGCCACGTCCAAGGAACAATCTTCGTCGACTCCTACGCGATAGAAAGTTGACGTTCTATATCCCGATATCCGTTCCTATGCTCTACCAACATTATAAAGGTAAACTGTGAATATGAGACTACTAAGCCCATCTTCGAGGCTATTGAGATTTTATTTATGCTTTCAGTGCCTACTATATATTCTAGCCCGACATATAGCCACTTAGTACGAAAACATTGAAGGCACTCGGCGAGTAGAAAGCGGGAAAGAAATACCAAGCCCCTTGTGCAGGGGAGGAGAGAGGTGACAGGGTGTCATATCACCGTGCCACCGGAATATTGTAATTGCGTGCTTCCAGCCCCGTCACACCTGTCCTGTCAGCCGTACTACCATTTGTAGACTATGCAACCATGGAAAACACAAGAATAAGTCCTGGTACAAAGCGAACGCGAACCAATGTCAAACAGTCAAAGTTCGGCTGCCTGACCTGCAAGTACGAACACTTTCCCCAGAGAGGAGGATGTAATGCTGACATATCTAGGAAGCGAAGAGTCAAATGCGACGAGACAAAGCCATCATGTCGACGCTGTCTGTTCTCCAAGGTCTCATGCCTTGGCTACCCCATTGGCGCGCCACCGGGTCCATCGCTGAGAGCAGCGGAAGCAGCACTTCTATCTACCCGTAGCCCCCCTCGCAGCCCGACGTCTTCTCTCGACCGTTATGTCTATCTTGCCTGCACAGTTCTCAGTCAAGGACCACGTCGCGCAAAAAGCGAATCTGAGATTCTGTTCTGGAGCTATGCAGTCCCCCAAATGATTCATTCAATCCCAGCAGTTCAAGCTGCCGCTGCTGCATTCGGCGCTTCTTATAATGAACATATGCTTAGATTGCAGGAGGGTGTTGCAACGACACGACATTACCATCAAGCACTGAAGCTAGTCCAAAATGAAGTTTCGAATCTTCGTAACGGCGCTTTGCCCTGTATGGTCGCATGCCTGCTTATGGCATTCACTGAGACTCTGCAGCAGCGAAGTGACAGGGGATACATGCACCTCCAAGGTGCTCTAGCAGTGATGGCTGCACGAGGGAACATTGGCGCAGAGTCACCGATTGTTGCTCTTGGGCTAGCGACTTTGTTCGAGAAGCTCAATCTCCATTCGGTGACATACGCCACTAGTCTTGACGTCCCATTAACAGGCGAGTCAAACAAACCAAGTTCGGTCTTGGTGTCTCCAGATCGAGCATTGTACTCTATACTACACGCCAGCTATCGTTTTATCTCATCAGCATTACCCTACAAATACGCTCACCCTACTCAAATTCCTCCCGATCTACTGATTGAGCAGGGGAGATGTCGAGGAAACCTGCAACAGTGGTTATCATCTAACCAACTGAACCCTCAATACAGCATCTCGGATCCGCAGAACGAACAGCTACTCGTTCTTCGAATGCAATGCTACACCGCACTGATATACGTCTCCAATACTCTTCAACCCTTCGAGACAGCGTATGATAGCTACGCTCTAGAATTTCAAGAGATCATCGCATCAGCCAAAGCAGTCCTTGACATCCGATCGAGCGACAAGTCCTCGGATTCCTTGCCAATGTTTACACCAGAGATGGGCATCATTCAACCTCTCTTCTTCGCGACGCTAAAGTACAGAAACTCATTTTGGCGAAAACAAGCATTGGGTCTCCTTCAAAAAAGCGGGAGAGAAGGTCCATGGTGCGGTGCTATCGAGGCTCAGATACTGGAAGTTGTTATCGCCGCTGAAGAGAACACATTGGACAACTTATCTTCAACCTTCAACGAGCCGCAATCCAGTATGCCCTCTACAGATGTTCTTGAGCAGCAGAGGGTCCATCTATGTCTAGTACAAGATTACTTGGATCGACGCTACGAAAGCATCACTCTCGACAAAGGCGCTGGAAGTCCAGCTCGCTTCGCAAAAGTCCAGTTATGCAAATGTCGAGACTTAAAAGGCATGCTGAGCGATGAGACTAGAGCTCCAAGGAAGGACTTTTGGGCGGATGAGAGGTATTGGGATACATGGCATCAGAATGTTCCTCTGCCAGAGTAGGCCTGTTCGAGAAATACAATGAATTTTGTTCCGTCATGAAATCGTGAGCTAATCTCGGTCTTGGGGGCTGTGCCATTGGTTGTTTCATCCCTGTAAACAAGGCACGCTAGATCCTTCGGAAGTGGGCCAGCTCGGTCTTTTTAGGGGCTGTGCTCACTGAACGGAATTCCAGCAGTGACAAACCTAACTACGCAACATCGTAGAGAAAATAAATAGAGCCTGAGGTGTCTCTAGAAATCATGCTTGATTCACTGTCACAGCTACTCCTTCTTCTAGGACAAATCTTTGCAATGTTGTTCTCTTGGTCTTTGCCTACTCTCTTTACTCTCTTCGCTGGGTTTCAGCAAGTCGTTGACGCCACGCCACGGTATTGCCCACCTTACGGTCCTGTTTTGCCTGCACCGAGACAAGCGAGTCAGCATCCCGCCGTGCAATATGCCGTTGACACCATTACCACTGTTCTGAAGGGACAAACCGCAGGCTTCAATCTCTCTGGTGTCTCGGTTGGCGTAAAGTCCATTTACGAGGATGAACCTTTGCTTGACTTCCACTACACGCCTTCGACCGTAAATCCGAAGGAAGGTGTGAAGAAGATCAATTCCAGTACTGTCTATCGTCTCTGAAGTATTTCCAAGGTGTTCACAGTTCTTGCGGCTTTGCGTCTAGCAGAGGACAAGGTGTTGAGCATGAATGATCCTGTGACTCGCTGGATTCCAGAACTTGCTCACGGCGATGGCTCTCATTCTGGCGATGAGCTTGATGTTATCCACTGGGACGACATCACTGTCGGCGACGCTGCGGCACATCTATCTGGCCTTGGCGGAGATAGTAAGTGAACCCGAAAAACGCGGGAAGGGAGTATTAATGATAGTAGTGACGACTGATATCTCTGCTTTCCCCTTCGACTGGGAAGCTCTTGGCCTCCCGAAGCTGTCAAAGAATAACAAGATCCCATCTTGCAAAGGTCTGCCAGGAGTGCCAGTCTGCACCCGAAAAGGTAAGTTACACTTTGCCACATATCCCGTCATGACTAAATATGATAGACTTCCTCAACATCTTCAAATCCTACCGTCCTCCCGTATACCAGCCTAGCCAATCGCCAGTCTACTCCAATGCAGGAATTAGTCTTGTCGGCCTTGTCGTCGAGGCAGCATCGAAGAAGCCCTTTGACGCTGCTATCAACGATCTGGTTCTTAAACCCCTAGGTCTCAAGCAGACATACTCTGGTATCGTCCCAGAAAACTCGAAAAACATGTTCATTCCTGCTGGAAGCGCTGATTGGGCCGCTGACATCGGAATCTTTGCTCCGTAAGTGCATCCTCGCGAAAGTCACATCCACGCTAACACAGTCAAGGGCCGGCGCGATAGGCTCTAGCACAGCCGATATGCTTTCCTTCATGACCAGTATTCTGAAGGACAAAGCCCTTTCTCCATCAAACACCCGCCGCTGGCTCAAGCCAAACACATTCACATCAACGTGGAGTGCATCTGTTGGATCTCCTTGGGAGATATATCGCGTCGATAACTTGACTTCTGACGGTCGTATTATCGATCTATACACCAAGGGCGGTACTCTAAGCGGCTATCAATCCGGTATGGCCATGATTCCTGACACTGGCCTTGTTGTGTCTGTCCTTGGTGCGGGACCAGAGGTTTCCAGTGTTTGGGCACAACTAGCGACTCTTAACATGGTAGAAGCGCTGATCCCAGCTATGGACATGGCATCTCGTGATGAATCCAAGGCCCGTTTCGTTGGGCAATATGTTGACAAGAAGACGGGGTCTTCGCTTACCCTCTCTTTGGATGAAGGGCCTGGTCTGGTGTTGAGTGGCTGGACTGCCCGAGGCTTCGACAGCCTACCCAACTTGAACCGTTTCCAGCCTGGAAGATACAACGATACAACACATTCTGGAATCAAGAGCATCAGAATGTACCTTACTAGTAGTGAGAATCAGTCCCGTGCCGCATGGAGAGCAGTATTCCCGACACTCAACGACACTGAAGCTGAAATGATTGAAGGCTTGACCAAAGTTAGAAATGTAACTTGCATTACTTGGCACATGCTCGATCGCTTTATTTACAATGGCCTTTCCATGGACCACTTTGAGTTCAAGTATGGGAAGGATGGCAGGGCTCTTAGTATCAAGTCGAAGGCATTTGACATCGAGATGAATAGGGTAGAGAAAAAGGCGTGAGGCAAGAACATAGTCAAAGACGGCGTCGCGTTGTTGGATTTAGTCTGCTTAGTTCATTATACTTACTTATAAATCTTTACATCCCCTTTCACCCTCTCCAAGATGCAAAGACATCGTCGTATTCCCCGGATCTTCCGGTTCCGCCATATAGGGTGACAGCGAGTCCGGTGAGGCGGCTCTGCACATGTAAGCTTCAAGGGAAAGGTATGTCTGACTTACGCCCACTATACGCTGGAATACGCCAAAGTAAGAGTACAGATCAATAGGTATTCCAAATTCTACTAACCTTTGCTATAGATGGGGATGACGTAGCTTGAGGCTTATGATGGTGTTGAATCACTATAAAATAAACCCATTCGCAATCGGTGAGAACATCTTCACTAAACAGCATACTTCCGTCATCTCACCAAGATATTCACACACTCACAACGATGCATAACGTCACTAGACTCCTAGCCGGGCTCTCGGCTCTCTTACCTGCACTCGCAAGCCCTACAGGCCACGCCAAGAACTGTCTTCAGCTCCAAATTCCCGTGACGGCTTCAGCCAACAACACCCGCTACAGCTCCGTCACAGTCGAAAACAACATCGACCTCGTAGACTTTGTCTGGGACACTTCGACCTGGTCACACGCCAACAGGAGTACCCAGGTCCTTCCTGTGCATGGTACTTATTCCATCAGCGCTCAACTGTGCATCCCTGCCGATGGCAAGAAGTCGGATGTCTTGCAGATTGCGACTCATGGGCTCGGCTTTGATAAGAGGTATGCTCGGCATGGTCAACATTTAGCTACTGCTGATTATTTTTTATAGATACTGGGATCCTGAACTCAAGCCCGAGGAGTACTCTTATGTCGATGCTGCTCTTGCGAAAGGTTACTCTATCCTCACGTACGATCGTCTCGGAACCGGCAAGTCCACTAAAGCCGACGGATATAACGAGGTTCAACTTGGATTACAAGTCGCGATCCTGAAAGAGCTCACTATTCTCGCTAGAGATGGGAAGCTACTCGTCTCATCCAAGGTTCTCGGCAAACGTCCTCAGAAGGCTTTCTTCAACTACAGGCCCAAGAAGATTGTTCACATCGGACACTCTTTTGGTTCCGCCACGACAAGCGGTCTTCTCTCTCTCCATGGCAATCTTAGCGACGGGGCTATCCTGACTGGATTCCTTCCCAATAACCAAAGTGGCAAGGTCGGGGCTAACACCTTCGGCTTTGAGTTTGCGCGACAGCATGACCCCAAGCGCTTCAGCGATCGTCCTGCTGGATATGCCGTGCAAGCAAGTCTGAGTAGCATTCAGCAGATCTTCCTTAAGAAGGGATCTTTCGAGGTCGAAGCGCTTGAGTATGCTGAGAAGACCAAGCAGACTGGTACAGTTGGAGAGTTGTCCTCTGGTCTTATTGTGCAGCCTGCTACTGGGTTCACGGGCCCTCTTCAGGTAATTCTATTCCATCCGATTCATTATAGATATCAGGCTGATCTATCTTCTAGTACTTTATCGGCGAGAATGACTACCCTTTCTGCGATGGCGATTGCAACAACACGTATGATATGGAGACACTCAAGGGTCTTAATCCTGCAGCAACTCATATCAGTGTACACTTACAGCCTGGTACAGGCCATGGTCTCACTCTTTCGACTAATGCCACAGCAGGTTATGAAGTCATTCTAGCCTACCTGGGCTCTCAAGGTCTTTACGAGTTTCACGAGTTCAATTTGCAGGAAAGGGTACAAGGCAACAATATTGGCGTTTTTGTCTATAGATTTTCAATCCTTTAACCCTGCTTGATGTAATCGGCAATGTTGGGTCGAGCCTCGAACGCATTTCGGAACTTGACGATGGACTCGGGGAGGGTTTCCTATGTATCTCATGTCAGATTGGTCATCACTCGCTTATCAATTCTGAATCATACCGGAAGTGTTTTTGTTCGAATGTCGTTGTCAAGAGAGACGTAGACAGCAAAGTCGGCGTAGCTGACGGTGTCTCCGAGAAGATATGGCCCCTCGCGCTCGGCGTAGTATTGACCGAGGAGTTCATAGTACGGAGGAGCATCTTTTTCCTTGTATTCAGGGTTGAGCCCCTTGAGGTTGGCTACCCATTGAACCTAATTACCACTCAGGTTAATTATATAGAAGACATAGTCATGACAAGTAAACTTACTCTCCAGTCGACGTAGATATCTGACACGAGATCGACCAAGTACTTATCATCGTTGGTTGTGCCATCGTATGCGCCAAGTTCTCGCGAGAGATATCGGAGGATGGGGACGTGCTACCCATATCAAGTCAGTTTCAATCATGTTATCCCGATCGGTGGATGGTGACTGACCCCCGTAAGGACCTTGCCCTTGTACTCAACCGAAGGAAGTTGTCCGGTGCGAGTAAGGCCCTGCTTCTTCAGCTTCTCCTTCGTCTCAGGCCAAGTATCATCACGAGCATACAAGCGCTCTTCAAACTTGATGCCCGCGTCAATCATGAACAGCCTGACCACAAAGGTTAGTAGCTTCCCGACGTATATCCACAACGATCAAGGGCTCAAAGCCATGAAGTTTGCCAAACTTACTTGACAACCTCACCACGGCCAAGCTTGCCGATGGCGAGGTAGTGGTAAACAACTGAATCCGAGGCTGACATGATGTCGAAATTCTTCTTTTTACAGTGCGTTTCTTGGGGATAGAATGTTTCCAGAAGGAATGATCAATTGAGTGTCCTCCGTCTATTATACTGCGGGGTTTTCACTAGTCACTGCCCAAGCTTTGACAACCGTGCTCCACCACGATGCCATATTTCCGATTCGATTCCGCGGATGTCGGCTGCGGTTTCGGCTAGAGCATTCCGACACCGACATTTGAATTCGTCTCTATTTATCTCTAAAAATACAGATCTTTAACAGTCGCGATCATATGTATGCAAGTGATGATAATAATCTGCCGTAAATCCCTCGTGCGGTCTGTCAAAGATATAACACCAATCTCCCGGGTCGTCAGACGCAGAATAAGCCTGACATAATGGGTTGGCGAGACAAACTGCTTTGCACGCGTCAACGGTGGATACTCTTATCATATCGATGCGACCGTGGATAGCTATGCCTGGAACGCCACATAAAGGTATTGGCGGATTATTTCCAGTGCGACAATCATTCAATTCGGCTTCGAGGAGAGTGATGCGGTAAAGGTAGTCGTCTTTTTCTTGAGCTGCCGCTTCTTCGAACGGGTCGCTATGGTCGAAAGAACCGAGGTCCTCAATATCATCCTCGGTGACTTTGGTCATGTAATAGACACCGTCCCGAGGAATATCTCTCCCATGAACGTTGGATACGACGCATCGTTTTGATGGTGGATGGTAGGAGCATACATCGATATCTAGTGAGTCGCAAATAGCTGCGCATTCGTCGTATGAAGATACTTCATGGTATGTAACTCCCTGTCGATACATATTGCATTTGACCTCGATGGTGTATCCCGAGGCAAGGGTTTCTCGATGTCCTTCGATGCATGACTTTGATATATCTGGCCCGCTCACCAACGGTCGCAAAGCATGCTTGACTGATGATCTGAATGTTTCGAGCGGCAGATATGAGCTAGAAAGTGCTGGAAAGAAGATGAGATGAGAGAAAAAGAGGATTGTGAACCCGCAGTTCAGGAGAGTGACGAGAAGTATGATCCGGATATACGGATGAACTTGGTGAACAGGTGTCGGATTCATGCGTAAGAGTGCCATTATACCAGTATTTCAGTTCACCGAGCCCAGAATGGTCTAAGGGCGCGAGATTCGGATTCAAAATGATAGGTATGTTGTAAAAATCGTAGAGGACGGGATCTCGTTCCATTATGTTCTCACAGACAGCTGACTTAGTGGTCACGCCGATCAAAGGTCCGGTGCAAGAGTCAGGCACTGGAATGCTGTGGCGCAAACATGGCGCTCATTCGCCGAAGCAGCTCTCCAGATCTGCCCAGATGATCTCCATCCGCGAATGAGATGGAGCTGTGTAAGCCTCGTCATCAGGAATGCGGCAAACCGGGTAAGCGGTGCATTTCTGACTCAGATCGTTGCATCTTAATAGGTGAAGCTTCTGGTAAGCGCATCTTCGGGCATGGCCTTGACGCCATACAGGAGCGTCCCGGGCACTTGGTAGCGCGATCGAGGCATTTTTGGGTCATTTTAGTGTAAGTTATTCCCCGATTCAACACGAAGCAATGACATTTTCGAGTACATTCTTCGGTACGGTCCGTTCTTAAGTCCGGGTCCTAGATCAGAAACTGTCTCGATTTCATCGAAAGTCGTGAACACAGAATTCTGTAGGCCGCCCTACCATGGCTGGGTCTAGAACTTGGGCAGTGCTCTCTGAATCGGATATATCTCTCATGGCTACGTGATTCCATACTCTCATCTCATGTTCATCATTCGGCGAAAAGTTTACCGAATATGATCTTCAGTGTTTGGCCTTCTAAAAGCATCACCGGAGCCAGTCTTCCGCTTCGTATCGGAAGTCGCACTATCGGTGCCAGAAGACCAACGAATTTCACCACCAATCATATCCGCAGTCATCTCCGTGAGGACCTCCCGCTCCAATAAGCTTATCAAATGATTCGAAACAACTCAATGCATGCACTCCACAAAATCCCGGATTTTAACAGTCATCTCACCAACACAGCCTCCATATCCGGGCATCATGACTTGAAAGCGGTTAAGTCGTCCGGACCCGAAATAAGCTTAAGTCTAATACGCGCATCCCTAAACACTCGACCGGGATGTCAGCTTTGACTAGCCTATCAGCTCTGGGCTGTCCGTCACCTAAGTGGAGGAAATAGATCATCCTGAAACAAGGAGCTGGACACCTTATTTTATTTGTGTAAAGCGGATGATGCTGTTTGTTCTGATTGATGGAGATGGGGGAGGATGATAGGCGAATTAGAACTTGTGGGTGACTTGCTGAGAACCATGGTGTTGGGATGACATGGATGGATCGCACTCGGTCGGATTGATCGCGAAGCAGAAGAGAGAGCGTGTATAAGAACGATAGCTAGTTCCTCTTTAGTTATTCCTTTCCAACCAGCTCACCTTCATCTCTCTGTAGCGATATTCACTTCTATCTTCACCACTCATCAACCGTTGACCGGCTTCTCTTCAACTCAGCACTTACGACTCTCCCAACCGCCAAAATGCACGCCTCCAGCCTTCTCACCCTCCTCACCACCCTCCCCGCCGCCATGGCCTGCCTCGGCTACACCGGCGGCGTCCCCAAAGCCACTGGCACCAAATCTCTCAGCGCCCCCCAATACCTCAAGAAGGGCCAAGTCTTCGACGCCAAGTGGGTTCGCTACGACCGCGGCGTCAAGTGCTCTGGCCAGAGCGAAGGTGGCGAGAAGGACGCTGTGTTCGTTCTTGAAGACGGTGCTACTCTTCGCAACGTTGTCATCGGTGCGAACCAGAAGGAGGGTGTCCACTGTCTTGGTGCTTGTAACCTTGAGTTTGTCTGGTTTGAGGATGTTTGTGAGGATGCTATCTCTATTAAGGGTAGTGGAACTGCCAACATTATTGGTGGTGGCGCTTACAAGGCTGCCGATAAGATTATCCAGCATAACGGATGCGGCCACGTCAACATTGTCAACTTCTGTAAGTCAAGCCTTTTCCTTTAAAGGTCCCCAGCCTCATACTAATACTTGCAGATGCCAACGACTACGGAAAGGTATACCGCTCTTGCGGTAACTGCAAGGGTAACTCCAAGTGCAAGCGATCCGTTCACATGGAGGGCGTCACTGCTGTCAACGGCGGTGAGCTCATCGGCATCAACACCAACCTCGGTGACAAGGTAAGCTATCTTGTCATATACTCTAGATGTGTCATGCTGATCAAATACTATAGGCCACCTACTCCAACAACTGCTACCCCAAGACCCAGTGCCAGGGCTACAACGGTTGCGACAAGTCCAACGGCGAGTGTGAGCCTACCAAGGCTGGCAAGTGCTAGATGTTTCTATCGGCTTGATATTGCTCTGGTAGCAAATGTGTATCACCTTCTTTAGTTGGCCGGTTGGAACCCAGACATGACACTTTGTCGCCTTTTCCCCTGCTGTGTATATTGTTACTTTAGATAACTGAACATATATTTCTCATCTTCACTACGGTCCACCTTATACGCAAATTTTATCCAAACACAAGCGGCTCTCAGGTCTATATCTGAGTATGCCGCATTTGTCTACTACAGCCTTGTGAAACTTGACGAAAAACAATTTTGATGCAAGCGTCAACTGTCACGCTTAGGTTTCAACTCATAATAGCACTCTCAAGAACACCCATCAGTAGCCCAAGTTCAAAGTGGGCTTTGCTTCCTTACAAATCTACGACGGGTTTGGGTATGTCATGTGATTGAATGTAATGCAATCGAGCTTCAGGACTGTCTTTGACCAAATTGCATTACGAAGTAGCCAACTACCAACTTCACCTCATCTCCATCTCAATCTAGTCGGCTTCCAAATTATAGTACAAGAGTTCCCATAGTGAACACTACTCAACCCATGACCCTAGCTATCAACAGAACTTCAAGAGAGGATCCGAGTGAGCTCTTATGCAGCTGTAATATTGCTACTCGACCACAATGTTAAGTCGCGCTGTGCGAAATTTATCGCTTGCACCAGGTCTGGTCGCTGTTGAGTAGAGGTCCAAGGTAAGACTCAGGAACTAAATCATAACACGTCAGTCTCAAATTCAAGCAGACGATCAGGCATAAGAATAACTTACTCTCGAGTCCATTTTGGAAGCTTCCGCAAAGAGTTCCCCACTTGTCGTCGTTATCGCAGTTCTTCCACTGAGGTTCAGATCGAGACAGCGAAGGTGAGTCCTGGTAGTTCCACTCGCACCAGTTGTGAGTAGCCTATCGATGTCATTAATATTCTGATCCATTACATAGTGCTGTTTTGACTTACAAGACAAGTAACGCCAAGCTCCTTGCCGTTGAAAGTGGGTTCCTTGCCAGCGCAGTCCTCAACCTTAAAGACATCAGCAAGAGTAGCCCAGCCCTCGTCAACGATAGCCTTGGTGAGCTCAATCTGGTTGTTTCGCCAGTCATTGGGGTTGTGGAGAGCATAAGTGTCGGCACCGTCAATCCACCATTGGTTGCAGTTACCGGCAGGGTCGAGAGCATCGCAGGAGATGGCGCCGCCAGTGTCTGTAGCACGAGTCTGAGCGTTGAGGCCAGTGCTCTTGGCCGAGACGATACCGTTGGCCTTGAGCGCGCTAGAAAGAATGAAGAGTTGGAGTTGGCGATAGAGAGTGCTGGCCTGGATGGTAAGAGAGGTAGTAACACGCTGAGAGAATCCACCATCCTGGCAAGCAGCGATGAAGATTGTATGATCGCCCTGCACAAGCTTAACAGTCTCAAGAAGGTTGTTCTGATAAGCCTCAACAAGTTTGGCGAGTCCAGAGCCGATATCACCGAGCTGAAGGAATCGGTCGTTCGCAGTCTGAGTCTTTGTCAAAGTCTCGCCGAGCTTGCCGGAGAGATCAAACGCAGCACCAAGACCAGCACGGATGAAACCAACACCGACACCAGCGTCACCGGGGACAAGACCAGTGAATATGGAGACAATGCCGAGGGTGGAGCCGAGGATGTTCATGAGGCCGCTGGTGGCGGTGTTTGCTTCGACGGGAGGAGCAACCTTTGCGACGATGGCGTCGATGGTTTGGCCGGCGAGGGAGGCGCCGTTACTGAGAGCGCGGGAGTATTGGTTGAAGAATTGATAGACGGTGTAGATGTTCCATAGGGCCTATTCTTGTGAGCTTTGTAAAAAGTGAGGAAAGTGGATGGCGTACGTAGAATTGCTGGTTGGAGTCATATTTGGAAACATCCTTGGTGTTGAAGGGAGGGCAGGTGTCGCTGGTGATCAAGTTGCAGGTAAGACCAGTGAAACCCTATTCCATCAGCTTTCTGTGTCCATCATAGTGTTATATGAGCTTACGTTGAACTGAAGGTAGCACTGCGCGAAACCGAGCTCATCGCAGTTGGCCTTGGTTCCATTCTCAGTGACCCAGTCATTGATGTACTTCTCCATGTCCACTACCCTCATCAGCGACATTCTCGCCCACAGTAATATTATTTACTCACATGCTTTCCAGCATTCTGGCTTAAGACCACTTGAAGACGACGGAGAGCAGTCAACTCCAGGGTCAGCCGGAGCCGGTTCCGGAGCCGTCCCATTATCTTGACGCTCAACCAACGGAATCGCAGAAACGACCGTGGAAAAAGACAGAGACAGCAACGCTGTTGCAAAAAGAGACATGATGAAAGAATGACTTCTCAAAAAGGATAAGAAAAGACTGTACGTGACCAGCAGCGAATAAAATGAATGTTAGTTGCAAGATGGTCGATGGTTCAGACGAAACCCAATCGGCCTACATCGCAAGACTATATACAGCAAAATCGTGGGGGCCGATATAATACTCCAGAAATACTATAGTCGGCAGTTGAACTCTAATGAATTAACAAAACGTAACCGGAACACAAAACTCGCTCCAATAGAAGCGGGTAGTTCGTCTTGTCATCTCATAGGCAGTAACCGCCTTGGCAGGGCTTCAGGTTGAGGGAGCTGAACTTTAACAACTGGGGAACTGGTCTTATCGGATACTAAAAGGGAATATGCATGACGTTCAACCAGATCTTGAAACTATGGTCCCCTGCAGAGTTTCGAAATAGGTGCCTCGTGTTGTGAGTACCCCCTGTAAAATCTCCAGATACGGCTATGATCGATTGCGGGATGGAGTTTCACCCATGCAACTCTATTGTCGGTCCGAGCATAACGAACAATTAGAGATGAATAAAGTTCATTGGCATTCTTTTTCTGGAAGGTCGTTGTGCTCTCGGCGATAGAGGATCTTTGTAATCGCCGGATTGAACATGACTCGTTGGTGGAAATATGAAACCGGCTACGGAGTCACCGTCAGGCAACACCCTTGCTCCAACGTCCCCACGTGCCACTGCAGATGGTATCATATTGGATGTGATACGCACTCAAAATGGGGTTTTTGGCAGCATCGCAATTTGAGTCCATTGACGATCTTGGCGTGTTTTATGGTAAAGGTTTGTTGATCTGCCGCGGTGATAACGTCAGGCTGAACATCGCTATGTTAAATGACTCCGCTTGGCAGGACTAGACGTAACGATGACAACTTGCTTTTTGTATTATCCCACCTTGTCGTTGAACAGAGCCGCTGTGTGATCTATCAATAACTCCCGAATTCTACCGCGCAATCATTGCCTGCATCGAGCCTCTCTCCATCGAGGCCCTATGAGAAATGCGGGACCCATGCCAGCCAATCCAAACTAGCATATGCTCTCTCCGGCATCGACGACAGACAATAAAATGTTAACCCTAAAACCACTAATCTTGATACAACGTAAGTAAATCCAGCTATAAACAAGATCGAAGTACCTATGATTCTATGTAGAAGCTCGAGGGTGCCTTCCTGAGGTTGGAAGGTAATCAAGACGGATAGTAGCAAGGGTGTTAACGAAGTCGCGAGTGTGCCAACATTAAACCATCTCCAGAGAGATCTAACCACAGTTGATGGGAATTCCCAATTCCAGGCGGATAAATGAATAGCAATAAACGCAGTCGATGTGATGTATAGCAAGAGGGCCGGGAAATATTCCCCAGAAGTCGCAGATGCGGTGTCGAACAAGATGGCTATCAACGGATCGGCCATATCATCGATGATTTCAATAGACGCATCTCTTACTCTTACTCGTAAGAGTTCATTGTTAGACACCGTCAAATCATCCATTGACAGAGTGCTGAGTTTAGCTGGGATCTTGATATCGGGCCCTACTGCTGTTACAATTCGTCTCGATTCGACGTCAAAAGGCTTATTCCACCAGAAGATGTGCATGATAAAGGCACAAAAGATGAATGCCAAGGTTGCCAACTCCAGCAGAGATATGGTGTATCCTTGTGCTACTCGACAAATGCTTTGCACGATGAGCCATGTGCACTGGATGATGGCAAACGCCTTGGTAATAACATCAGCTTTGCTGAGATCCTTGATCTCAGACTCGGAAGTTCTAAACATATCAGGCTGCATATCTGCTGTCAGAGAGTCAGGTCGTTTGTTCAAAAAAGTTTATATCAACAGAATAACACGAAATATGTGGGAAAGAAAATAGAAACCACCTTGACCTACACAGAGATCCAGCCATGTAGGCTGTAAGAGATCCATCCACAGTGGGACTAGATTCCTGGCTCGCTTCGAGGGCATGGTAGCCTGTATGATCTCCATCATGGCTTACTTCATTGCCTGGCTGGACACTCGTAGCAGAATCCTCGTCCATTGTTGACGACTGGTGAGCCGGAGGTCCGTAAATCACAACACCACCCATCTGGACATAAAAGGCGTGAGCCATGGCGTATCTCTGTGCACTAACCGACGTTGGAAATTATTCTCTCAGTTCGATCTCAACAATACTGACACTTCAGGGGAAAGAGCTTTCGTAAACTCTTTTAATTCCCGGCGGGCTTCCAAGTACTGCCTTGCAGCCAGTGCAACTCCAAACTCGGGCACAAGAGCAATGACTGTCATCCAGATAATCTTGCGTCTCCATTTGCGTCTGAGGGGCGCTTTAGGCCAGAAAGAGATATCAGGCAGGCAGCTGCAGATTTGCAACGTATGCCATTCGCCCTGAATCTCTTCGTGGGTTGGGATGTTGAGATGGACGCATTTCCATGAGCAGACGATGAAAATCGAGAGACAGCTCCAGATGATACCCCAGGTACTTCGCCGAGGTGCGGGGGATACCCATCCAACCATGGTGGTATTGCTAGATGTGCTGTTGGTCTCTGCCTGAGCGACACCTAAGAAAAGGTTGCTGATGATGAGGCTTTGCGCAGTGAATAGAGCCATGGCGGGCTTTTCAACAAGATGTCAAACAAAGGATTTGAATCAAGGAAAGCATGAGAGAATTCATCGCTTAAAAGGCCAGCGTCTTTTCTCTTCCCTCGACCTGTTTTTGTTGATCATCCGCCAGCCTGCTTTTCAGCTTGGTGTGGCTTAACTGATTTCTGGCCTCGGGTTGGTCCAAATTCATAGACGTCACCACTGAGCCTCAGCGCCAAGACAGACTATCGATTTGTGCAACCCATAAAATGGACATCAGCCTATCAAGTGAGAGCTTTCAAGCCACGGATGGGCATGCGTTGTTTCAACGTTGACCATCATCTAATTATAGATGCTAGGAGAGTGAAATGTTACTGATGTTTTTACCGCATAGTACGTGTTCATCTGGTCTAAGCCACCGGGCATCTCATTTAATTGCATCATTTAAACATGCCTTGCCTAATATACCTAAGCGCGCTGCTTCTTGATATATGTACAGCCTCCAATTGCCAGCAATCATGGACCGACCTCAAAACTACAAACGCGCTTTGACCGCACCATCAATCTTGCGAGTCTTTCTAGTCCATGGCACAAAGCCTCTCTTCTCGTCAAAGGGAATATTTTGCAGAATTGGTCCATCAGCAACTAGAGGAATAGTTCTGTAATCAGCAACATTTTGCGCTTTCAATGCGGGCTGGTTAGCGCCAATGCAGAGTTCCAAATTGAGCGCAGAGATGTCATTCCACAGCTTTGCAGCAGCTTCTCGCTCATACTGATATGCGAGGAAAGCCTGGCGGAGCTTGCGGTCTGATGGGTTGGCGTCGGAGTGAAGGAGCCGGCTGAGGCCGTTTACTAAGGCGATGGCGTCTTCGATGCCACAGCATGCTCCTGCACCTCTGATGGGATTCATCTGTCCAATGTTAGCTTGAAACCAGTCAAGTTGGTATGCGACTTACCTTGTGAGCAGCATCACCGACAAGAACCATACGTCCCCAATGCCACCAAGGAAGTACTCCCTCGTCAAAGTTTGCGCTACCTCCAGCAATCTTGTTCCTCCACAAATCACCAAACGTAATTCCATCGCCAACTGGAACATCCATCCAAGGCTTTGCCGCCTCTTCCGCATCATTCTGCCCAAAGAATGTTTTCGTTCTCGAAGTCGGAATGCGGTGATAAACAATAATCTGTGCTTCTCTCACACCAGTAAAGACTTGAACGTGAGATCCATCTTGATAAACGTTGATATTCCTTCCACGTTCAAGTTCCTTGGGGCACGGAGCCTTGGCAAATACGCCTGCGTGGGGTGCTTGAAATGGGTTGGGGTTCTCGTCGAAAAGGCCCTTTGGTGCTTTTGCTTTCATTTGGTCGCGGACACTACTCCAGACACCATCACAGCCAATGACAATTGATCCATCTTCTGTGGTACCGTCGGCGAACTCGACTGTTACGCCGTTGTCGCGGTGTATAACGTTAGTGAGGCGCTTGTTTGTCTTGACGCGTTTATCCTTGTTTTCAAGCTTGCTCATCAATGCCGAGGCAAAATCCCCTCTGTTAAAAATCGCCATGGGATATCCGAATCTTCCGGCAGTCAGTAGAAAATCCAGTAGCGCATAAGCTTATACTTACAGTGCGCCGAGCTCTTCAAAACCCCTAGAGCGATGAATAACGCTGCCGTCAATTGATCTATGAACCGCTTCAACCATAGGCTGCGCGACAGCTAAAACGGCTTCGAGAAGACCTAATTGGTGAAAGTTTCGCATAATATGAGGCCACAGAAACAAGCCGTAAGCAGGATCAGGAGGGACTTGAGAGCGCTGCTCAACGAGGACGTAGTCGATACCAGAAACCTGCAGCGCGTGAGCCAGGACCATGCCCACTGGCCCAGCGCCAACAACAATGACTTTGAAAGACTCCATGTTCGATTCCCAAGTATCAAATGAAAGATAAACAGATGAAGAAAATGAGATTGGGAATAAATCTGGGGAAAATGTCAGATTGTTATAATATCAAGTCGCTAAGTCACGCTCAACAAAAAACGTTCCAATCAAAACGGCGTTTTGGCCTCCTGAGTGATCGGACTTTAGCGGTGTCGAACGGACTTTTCATTAGCGCTGACGAGAGCGAGTGCGAGTTCAGATATCTCCGACCCTGGTAAGTTACTTGGTGCGTGTTTCGTCGAGTTGTGCATATTTCGTCGCACCTTTCCACCCGATTCAGAATTAGCACGTGACACTTGCTAAAGTGATCCCAACTTGAGATTTGTTATCTTATCTCTCAAGTTGCTTACCCTCAAGCATGAGGCAGTTGATAATCAAGAAACGGAGTTATAAATATCTAAAGTTAAACCGAAGCTACTTTAACAATGATTATTTATATATTTAACATATTACAGCGGCGCTTCTGAAATACCACCACAGGCAAAGTCTTTTGAGTTTTCAGCCATTTTTCCATTTGTCGCTTTTTATGCACTTCGCCCCCACCATTTGGATAAGGCTTTCTTACAAGGCTGTTTCAACCACCCACGGTTTCAGTTATAAATTCCAGTGCTTCTCTTACATCTGATTCTGTTACTTCATTAATGAAATTCCAGCCCTAGTATCTCTTTAAAATTTATTCAATATTGCTCTTATTAGCCTTAACATTGGTCATTATGGCTTTATTACCAACCTCTTCCTTATATGCTGACCTCAATATTTGCGGGCGTCAGATTCGTCTACTTAACGTTTGTTCTACAGAGTCAGACACAGAATACTCTCTCGAAGTAGCAGATTTAGATCAAAAACTGAATTTCCATGCGCTTTCTTATGAATGGGGCAACCCCAACGTTACGGAGGCCATCACTGTGAATGGCCACTCCATACAAGTCACGCAAAACCTAGCAAACGCCCTAAGATACGCCCCCAAGCATATAGAGTCTACTGATGGAAGACTGAGAATTTGGGCAGATGCGATATGCATCAACCAGAAGAGTGAAGAAGAGAAGAACCACCAAGTTCCGTTGATGGGCGACATATATTCTATGGCCGATGTCGTGCTCTGCTGGCTAGGGTTGCCCTGTGAAACAGTCATACGAGGAATGGAAGCTGTGCAGACCATAGCCTGGAACCGCAGCATTCATGGGGCTGACCGGAAGGACCGTCTATTGGATGCCACCCTTTCCCGAGTGGCAGATTCTCTCAGTACAGAACTTGATATGCTTGGCTCTGTCGTCGACGAAGCAACAAATGAGTTGGAAATTGCGAATACAAGCGACGCTAGCATTCTGTTTGATATACTAGCCAGATCCTGGAATGCATGGCCGACAAAATGCATACATGATGCAAGCAATGACATTGCTAGCGTGCTGAGAACTCCGGGACGCATAAGGCCTAATCATTTGTCATGGTCATCAAAATTGAGGCTCTTATCCCTGAAGATCGAAGCGTTCCACGAATACCTTTGCAAAATGTATCTTCGCATAATTGACGAAACAGAGGAACACCTGCCTTTCATTACTGGAGACCTTAGCGCCCGTCTGACGGATACTCTACTGAGCATAATCGCGAAGATGGATGAGTCAGAGAGTGCGGTTCCACGATTTCAAGACCTTACAGAGAGTCTAGAAAAGCAAATTTTATCGGTTCGAAATATCGCGAACTTTCAATGGCTGCAAGATCATACATTCCTCTATCAGGAAGTTCCAGGTACCGTTTGGACTGAGACTGGCACCTACTTCATGGTGCAGATGTTGACCAAATCATACTGGTTGCGAGTATGGACTTTCCAGGAAATGGTTCTTGCTAGTCGACCTATATTTGCCTGCGGTGACCGCTCCATGTCTTGGTCGTCCCTCAATTCAGTCCTTTGCTGGGCCTATAGGCTGCTCAACGCCATTCCGGAGCAACGGCCACATTTTGTGCTACAAGAGCAATGGAGCTTTCTGAAACGCCTCTACAAGCACTATCTTGGTCACTTGAGGCATTTGGCTTCGAGCAGAGCAGGAGTGAGGGGCTTAAAAATGTTGGATGATACAATGGGCATCTCCGTAAGGGGAAGCATGAATATAAAAGCTACTCACAACTGGGGGCACTCAAGTGCGCTGAGGGCTACAGATCCCAAAGACCATTTTTATGCCTTCCTAGGTATCTGCCCTCTTGGCCTTTTACCGGACTATCGACAATCCAAGTCAGTTGGTCAGGTATGCGTCGACTTCCTGACAGAGTATCTGAAAGCTCATCGGCAAGGATCTGGCCACGTCGAATTGCAAAGAGGGGAGCTCATGACGCTGACCGATGCGGGTATCGGTCATGGATGGTTTATGTACCCTGATACTCCATCCTGGGCCCCCAACTATCCAGGGATGACCCATTTCGAGGACTTTGACAAGGTTGGGCATCCAATAGAAACATTCCCCCAAAACGTGCTAGACTTGGATGAGATATTTGGTGGAGCCCAAAGACCTGAGATAATCGGAAGCAAATTATTGGTTTCGGCTATCCTCCTTGACTAGATAGTAGCGGGTGGCCCGCTGCGAAGCCACTTTGCCGAACTTTACCGCAATAGTACTTCCAAAGAAGCGATACATGCCGTGTCGTGGACGATGGAATATATAATGGGCCGAGAGAAGTACCCAACGGGGTGCCATCCTCTCGAAGGGTTGTACACTGCACTGCGGTATGGGACCATCGGGAGGCATAAAGACAGTGGAGAATCCGATATAAGCACAGATATGATGTTTCAAGATCACAACAGCTTTGCGAGAATGCTGATGCATCACCTGATTACAGAAAGCAGTGCCGAAACCCCGGAAGGAAATCAACTGAAAGGCAACAGATTAAAATACCTATATGCGCTTTTGAAAGATCTCGACGTAAGTCCGGTAACCTGTTTACATTTATCAATATTAATAAAAACCACAAGGTATCTGGCTGGGATGAGACTCTCACCGAAATTGTAAACGATGTGTTTTTCGCGCAACAGCGGATGTTGGAAACGCAGAGTGGATATGTTGGCGTGTTTCCGCTCTATACCGCAACCGGAGACTTGGTGTGCTTGCTAAATGGAGCTGATCAACCGGCAGTTCTTAGACGAGTTGACAACCACTATGTCCTCGTCGGGATGTGTTATATCAGCGGGTTAACAAGCGCGAGGAACTTATCCGCATATGTACGGGAGAAAGGCAAAGCTGTGGAAACAATAGAGATCCGGTAGTTTACTGCCTGGTTGTAATATCCTAACGGTGTTGCTTAAAACTTCATTTTTTTAAGCCTAGACTGTATTTGTTTATTTCTTATAACAGTTGCAATAAGAATGGATTATTTAATACTTCTAGCATAAGAAGAACTCTAGCTGGGAGACCTCTCCATTTGCCATAAAGGAGTTCTCGAGGGTCCTCATTCACTGTCAATAGCCAAAGTCTCTTGCAAGGGCTCGAAGATTCCCATTAAATTATCCTTGAAAAAGTCCTGGAGCCTTAATATTCAGGGGAGTCAAAAGTTCATAGAGGGCATTCTAACAGCCATCCCGCAAGCCGTTGTCAAGAATGGGGCGAGTAAGTGAAACAACCAAACTTGACTACCACGGAATACAGGACACCTTTACGTATGACGGCATCACTATCGCGTACGCCCAGACGCTTCTGAGAAGGGATACACCGCTTAGCATTGTCGTCAACAGGAAAGCGACTTGTGTCGTCTCCACGGCTTCAGGAGACGATGGTCTAGGGACAGTGTGCCTTACCTTCACTAAGGGGTCAGTCACTGCCTTCGATCTTGCACCTTGTGGAGGGTACTTCTCCAACGGAAAAGCTAGATATACTGTCAAGATGACAAAATGACACTGAAGCCTATTGGGTCTTCAAACAACCAAGAATGGTGTACCCAGTTGGGGCTACTATTCGATATGATGCGAACTGATATGTATATACTTAGTTTATAGGTCATCCATTTTCATACTATATAAAGCAAAGACCTTCTGCTACCGTCACATGAATATCTTCATATTAGGGAACGACACTCAGGCCACGCGTTATCTACCACAAACTGCTGCTTTTACAGCATACCTCAGCCCCCACCATGAATCATATTACCACCCCCTACACTCAGCTAGTCGCAGGAGAGGATTCAAATTCATTCCAGGCTTCTGATACTTTGCTTTGGCATCAGTGGGGTTGGTGCCCAAGCCGAACTCGGCATCACTTCGAGCATTTTGTTTCTGCTGGCCAAAAGCTCGGCAAACTCCTGTCTCTTAGTAGGTACATTTACCTGAATAGATTGATTGCGAGCCTCATTGTCCTCGATGATCAGGTTGTGAGCAAACTCCATCCAATCATCGCTTATGAATCCGTTGATTTGCAGTGCTTGATCAAAGGTCTGGTTATTAGCAACGCGAATTGTACCTTGTGTAGTATCAGCTTCCCAAACGATGCTCTCACGGGCCATGGCGCACCAAGTTCTTGGTTGGATTGACTGTCGTCCAAGCTATGAAATACGAGGCATTCATACTCCTCTTGCGTAAGGCGGATCATGCCATCACCTACAAAAATTGGTTAGCTATCCCTTATGGCATAATGAACATAATGCGTACCGTCTGCGCTCCTGTCTCGGAGGAATTCCGCTATCTTCAGCCCCTGTCCCTTACCGAGTCTCTGCTCAACAATGTGATTCACCCCATTAAGAATCGAACTATCCAACATGTGAGTACAACCCGGGTTTGCCCTCTTGTCCTGATCATTTTGGGCAACAAGTCCAACATGAGCCACTTGGATATGAAGAATCAAGGTTGTCTTGAGAGATGCTAGCTCATTGACCACTCTATTAGTACGTTCCAGATCCTCAGGGCCAGTCATGAAGCTGTGAGCGACGCGACGAAGTGAAGAACCGGTGCTGCCCTTCTTTTTGACCTGCTGAATATGATCGTCTAGCTTTTCAGCATGTTTCAGCATGTTTGCTAAGGCTTTAAGGACTCCTCTGGTTCTGATTTCTTCAATGGTCTGGACAAGCTCTATGACTTGAGCGATACTAGAGAGGTCATTGAGAATGAACTCTAGATCCTCTCTGCCATTCTTATGAATCTCGATGGCTGTAGAGACTCGTCGAATAAGTTTGAGGGATTGATCAATTGAGGCTGTGGCGGCCGCGATTGCTCCGACAGGGTCGATCTGTAAATACGACTGCGTTAGTCACAATAGCAGACAAATGGTATTTGGAATGGAAATTACCATAGTGGAAGTAATTATAAAGTGGATTTACTATAGTGGCAAGGCAGACCAGAGACAAAAGAACACAAAGCAATGGATCTGGGTTGACAGCCACTTCAAATTACAAATTATGTACACCGATGCGGCTGAAAAGACTACAGAGGGAATTTCCGCCCTCCCTCAAGGTATGGAAGCTGACTAGCATTGGTTGCGGCCACGTTGGCTCGTCTTCGTCAGCCGCATATGAGCAGATACACCATGTAATCAGCTGTTCAATTTTATGCCATCTGATTGGAAAGAAGGACACCCATTCAGCGGTAGGCTGTGACGGTTTTGGAAGAAGAGGGGTTATTTGGTCGTGGTGTAAGCAGAGCCATGGCGTGTTTTCCAAGGCTACGTGTAAATGCAATGCAATGCAGTCCCGTCACACCGGCCAGCCAACCAGATTGGCTACTATTTGATGACATGCATGATAATATTGGTTTGCGAACTCTTATGCATACCATTGAAAATATCAGTGGGGGCTTGGCCTTTCCGTACTTGGTCCCATCCAGTAGACTGAGCCTCGGGTTATTGGGGTCCCGGCCTTATCTTTTCCCCTACCTCTACAACTGATCATCTGATGGAATCATCGCCTGTATCCCTGACTTCCTTTCCGTCTCACGCTAATTTTCATACAACGACGGTTTCCCGGAAGCTTGAAATGGACTCTCAAACAATCTCGCAAGGTGCTTCTGGAAACCAAGCAAACCACAATTCGATCCAGGTAAACGGCGCTGTCGGCGACCGTCTACAAATTCAAAGGGCTAGGATAAAAACCCTCAATATCAGTCCTCTTCAAGTAATAACTCCAGCATCATCTGCCATCAAAGACGATTTCTACTTCGGAACAATTCCGGCCCTTGAAGAGGATCAGGATGAGGGCTTCGAATCTGAAACCATGCAAGACCTGACACCGGGAATTTCAGAAGCTGACTTTCATCAAATCAGTAAGACCAATACCATTTTGATGGAAAATTACGAAGTGTTGCTAAAGCGAACACCCAACATGAAGGCAACTTGTGTGAAACAACTCCGCGACAAGGCCGGGGATCAGCAGATCAGAATCAAGTTTCACGTAACTCAGGTACAACAATGGTTTACAGCCACGGGCAATAGTGGGCAAATCCAAGTGTCTATGAGTGATAGCAGCGTGGAAGATCTGAAGCAGAGACTAGCAAGTATATGTAGCAAACTACAGGATGCTATCAATTCGCTTCCACGAGGTCCGACTCGAAGCCGGGTAAGTATCTAATCAGCTAGCACGTACTTCGCTAATTGAGGGATGATAGGGTCGGTCAAGTGAGGGCAAGATTCGAAATTCAAAGATGTTCAGGGACCTCGACAGGCTCATCGAAAATATTGGATTTGATGTTTCGGCTATAGAAAGTTTGATCTACCGGCTGTCGAATTTCCAACCAGCATCCCAATCGACCAAAAGCTTCACCAGGCTCTACGTATCAAGCTCGGCTACGAAAACACTCTACCGTCACTTGTGCGAAGCCTGCCCAGTGAACGGCCAAGAGCAAGCACACGGACATACAGCTCTCGTTGGACTTGTGCCGGTTCAAGAGTATGAACCACTGTGCATCAATCCAAATGACGTTGCCGTGACTGGTCATCACGTTGCTATAGAGTCCAACTTTAACAAGGGAGACTATATCTGGTTTGAAGCTCACTCCAGGTTGGTACTCCCCAAGGACGATGGTGATGCTGTCTACTCAGAGCCGTCCTCACCTCTGGTGACAGTAATAAATGGGCTTCGTCAACGTTGGCGCCGCGACTCTGGATACTCATCTGTCACTGCAGCTTCGTCAGATGAGCGATCGCAAACATCACAAAACATCACTGAGTTTTGCCGGATTCAGGTATGCCCTGGAAGTCTTGCGCAAGGAAGCGATCGTTTGGCTATGTGTATCGCTGTTGATCAGGACAGCGGCCACCAAATATTCTACTTGGATGAGAATAAGCGGCCAAAGACAAGTTGTAAGCCTCTTACCCTCTCCAAAATTATACGGGAGGGAGAGCATGGAAGGCTGCTGTCGAACAAGAGAAAGAAACATCGGCGTTACGTCACTCTCTTCCATAGAAGTCGATCCCTTCGAAACAGCCGTTTCAAGCTGGCTTTGAAGCTGGCTGAGGCGACTATCCGATATGGCTGGCAAGAATGGCTCGGCGATGGATGGGGTACGCAGGACATCAAATTCTATCCCATCGAATCTGAAAAGATGCCATTTCTGAGAGCCACCATGTTTGACCACGGATCTGCAAGGCCAAAAAGGTTCATGTACCACCTTGGACATGTCCTTCTGAAGCTTGGGCTTTGGAAGGAGCTCAAAGGGCCGATAATACAGCAACAGCTGGATAAGGAGCTGAGTCGTCTGGGAACCGAGACGAGTGTTCAATACCAGGAAGCAGTTCGCTACTGCATTGCTTATGGTGAAAGCAGTAGTGATGAAGAAAGCGATTATGAAACGTTCCAGCGAAACTTTTATCAGTCTGTCATTAGTCCTCTTCGGGAAATTGTTAAGCGTGGTGAAATGGATGACATGGAATGTCAGGAGAGTATTAACTAGAAATCCTAAAACAGGGTCTGTATACATACCTGAGAACCCAGTATCTTGTACGCGAAGGAATGTTTTATTTCATGATGGTTTATATATATAGATTATCGAGTGTTCAGCTATTTGTAAATATGACTCTGGTCCTTATTCCAAGGCGCAAAGAGTGAGAAAGCAATTGAAGTCTGTCGATCTCATATTTGAGAGCCTTAATTAAGCTTGGATTTCCAACCGTCAAGTAAGACTCGTCTGACTCTGAGATACCACTACAGTCCGTCATTGCCTCATTCTCGACATTGTTTTCCGATGCTTTTGTCTCTATCTCTTCCAGGAGGCTCTCTAGAATTGCCCCTTCAGTCCCAAGATCGTCTGGCTCCGATGTGATTCGCCATTCCTCTGCTGGTTTATTAGCAAACACTGCGGTCAAGGATTGGAAGGAGGAGATGACTGACTTGACCCTTCGATCAGTATGCTGGCCACGCTCGTCAAGCACTTTAGTACGCTTTGTGCAACTTCATGGTCGATAGTAGGTAACATATCCAGCTCCTCGTTGGAAAACGATGTTTTCCAGACTTGAAGCCTCTTGAGTTCCTCACCTAACAAAAGACTGTTTAAGGTGAACTTCGTTAGATCTGCACCTTCATTTGACGCGTGATCTGTCTGGTTCATTGAATCTCCCTGATTCTCTGAGCCACCGACAGATTCTTCTTCAACATCCGAGGATCTATCATGTTTGGAAAGACTGGCGGTAGACCCCCCATCGCTCGTGTTATCATTGCTGAGAGTAGTAGCAGGACTGGATGGTATATCGTCCGGCTGGCTTTGGCTTTTGAGCACCTCCTGGTCCAGCATCATTAAGCCCCAATAACGAATTATAGATTGCATGAGTCTCGACACCAGATGCCCCTTTCTACCACTGGTCTGATGTGATGATTGGCGTGACCCCAGCAGCGCTGAACCTGGCACTTCAGACTGCTGCTCCCGAGCCGATACTCGGTTCGTGCAAGCCTTTGACACTGAGCGAGTATGATATGTACTAGTGGAGCATGACTTGCATTGACACTGATAGCTTGATGGTATTTGCGACATAGTGCGATTTCAAGACGTGGAGAAGCTGTGAGAAAACGCTGAACAGAGCGCGAAAGGGCAGAAATGGGTCGCAAAAGGCAACGCAAACATAACGATAAGGGAAATTGCCTTGGGAAATCCCCAGGAAGAATTCCGACGATCAGGTACCCAAAACAGGTAGTCCACCGTCTACTTAGGCGTTATGGTGGTATGACACTTGGTGGAAGCCACTACGACGCACAGCAACCCAACAGCAGAAGCATGTACCCCATAAGGGAAGGTGTAAGGTAAGCCAGGCATGAAGCTATTCGATATTAGGAAAAGACAAGCGAGTGCTGGCTGCTGTTGGCTGCATGTCTCGTCACATAAGGGGCCTCGACACGTCTCTTGACCACACTCAAGGCTTGGCAGCAAGTTTACGGCGTCTCCATTGCTCCGATGACCTGCTAGCTGTTCTTGAGTGATACGGTATCATTATTGTGGTCAGATACTCGCATAAGGTGTGACCACCTCTATTTGTAGACTCAATCATGAGTGAAGAAGTAGTGACGAAAACGCACCGTCTTGCATAATGGCGCCAGTACTGTGACCCCATATGCTGTTATAAACGCTGAAAACCTGTTCTTGAGGGTTAGGATGTCTGTGGCGCCTGCGTGAAATCAGTTTAGTTAACTATGGCATGTATGATGGCGTTGGCAAGAACCAGGCTCGCGAGGAACAAGGAGCATAAGCTGAGTTTTGTGGTGGTGATGCGTTTAGAGCGTCAATAAATGAGCTCCGAGAATAAATGGAAATAAATTTTGCTATGGGGATAACGCCAGCCGCTTGCCTGCTGGCTTGTTTGGCATGGGATTAGTGTTGGTGGTTACACTGACCTGCACGTCCTTGACAGTGACCTGTGGTTTGGCTGTTAGGATGTCTTCTGTAAACTTTTGAGTCGCCAGGATACCAAAACTCCACGGAGGGCTCGAAAGACTGAAACTACACCTTGGCATTGTACTCATCCCTCCAAATGGGAACCCCGGGGTCGAAATATACGACAGCTCTCCACTTGAAATTGACTCAAAAGAACACGGGGTCGCTATAACAGTCGGCTGATGGCTCCTCCATCCCCCAAGGCGGGCCGTCAGGAGGGTTGTGTGCTCCACAGAAGCCTTCCTAGACACAGTAGTAGACCTCGTAGGTTACGCCCAGCATGGCCTTCGGATCCACCAGGAGAGCCTACTTCGCGCTCCGAAACTCAAAGCTTCGGATTTGGCAGGGGCCGTTTGCTATGAGACACGACGCATCGAAAAAGGCGGAGCTAGCAGCAGCCTCACGGATGGTAACAAGGCCAGCGCTGTAAAAGTCCCACAATGGGCAATACTCTCAGCGATGGTTTCGTGCAGTGGGATGTCGATGAGTATGACACTGGTGCTCTAGTCCTCGGTGCAGTTAAGGGTGAATCTTAAGTTTCCGATAGTCTTGGGGGAACCCTCCGTCGGCTGACGACAGTGAAAGCGATCTCGAGATTTGACACCAAGCCGGAGCTCAACACGGCCGAAAGCGCCCTCATGGGCCAACGCAAGCTGGACGATACCTACAATTGATAGCTATTCAGGGTATTGTTGTATACAGAACGTGTTCGAGCTTCACTCCCCACAAAAGAAATGGCCGTTGACTTGTCACCATGCTGTATGACTTTGGAAAATAGTCGAGACTGTCGTCAGAAACAATATAGAAGGCAGTAATTGTTGGCCTTAACCTGGTATTTGTTGTGACGTAAATTATCCAGGCTCATCAAAGTCTATCGGGCACAATATGTCAAAATCTGTCGAGCTCAAACAAGACATATTAAACCTTTCAGGTAAATCGAACTGGTGCCCCCTATCACGGAGGGCGAATAAAGGCGCTGCATCCGCGTTTATAGTCAAGTCAAGGCTGGAACTATTATCGATTTGTTAACTGTCCATATTTAATGGTCCCGTTCGCTTCTCCTATTGATTCCCTGATTATGCTTATCAGTCCAGTCTGTAGGACTTAAGGTAGCAGGCCCTGCCATCCCAGTTGGGTTTGGCAATTGGGAAATTGGGGGCCAATATGTTTTTACTGGCTGGGCAAAACGCCATCACTCACTATCAGCATGCGCAATGACGTATAACGCAAATATGCAAAGCGTAAGCCAGCAATATAAATAACCAACAGTGCCTAGATCTGATTCTGGTTTCTTTAATCATTTTGCGGCATCATACACAATAAACTTATTGCCAAATCTGTTCAGTTTCCAGTCATTCAAAAGTTAGCGACTGTGCGACAATACGTTCAAGTCAGTATAGCAACTCTTTCTATTTGATCTTCCCATGACAACAAGATCTGACTGTCTTTTAGCACATCTATTATATAAGTTGTAATAATGTCTAATTTTCGACCGCACCCCTTGCCCTTCACCAGTAAAGACCCCAGGATGAACGACGCGACAGGAGAGGGGGAGGCTGCGATTAGTGATCCGTGTCTTTTCCCCTGTTATGTCGCCTCAGAACCAGCGTATGCCCTTGCAAGGAAGATCAAAGAGAAGAAGCATAAAAGAGATGAAGCTAAAGCAACTAAGAAGAAATTGGATGAGGAAGAAAGCACCAAGGCGCAGGAATAGCTTATAGCAGGGATAATATTCTTTCATGGAGCTCGCTTAATAAGGAATATTAATACAGTGTCTCACCAAGAGAAGGGAGAGGGGTAGAATGCCTACTACATCACCTCAAGTTCATTGTCAATTTCTAGCACAGGCTGAACAGGGAATTACTTGACCATATAAGCCATGACGTGTGAGACCTCTGCATTTGGCTTAGACAGATCTGCAGCCCCACTCCTCTACTTTGCCAGCACTCAATTATCTTTGCTAGTTCAAGCTCTCAGCCACAAGTCTCAACTGCAACAAACATACCTCGCATCAGTGCAAATGGACAACAAAGCGAAAAGAAACAATGACAAAAATTGAAATCCAGTCGAACTGCGTTTTCAATGCGTAATCAGGGAATCGAACCCTGGGCTCCCCGACGTTACTCGAATGGCAACGGAGAATTTTACCACTAAACCAATTACGCTTCTCATCGATGTATTACGACGGCACTATCGCGACTCAAGGATTCGAGAATAGGCCGTCTGCAGAAGACTAGGGACTTTTTGAGATATTGGCACCTCTTACTTGTGTAATTAATTACTGGGATAGAATCTACATTACCTAGTCAACATGTTACAAGACAAATCTATTAAGCTAACTAGTTCGTATATCTATAGTCGTTACCATAACCCATCCTTCCTTCCTTCCATTCATATGTACTTTATTAAGTCAAGCCGAGGAAGAGCGGTAGAGCAAACGCGCAGGAAACCTGCACAGCCAAAGGCACAATAGCATATGTACCGGCAGAGAACTTTCCAGGAGCAATAGTCCAACCCCAAGGCGCACCAAAGGCCATGTACATCATACCAGCTGCAAGGACAATACAGATAAGGAATGTCCACTTGAATCTGTGCATCATTTTGTTCAGACCGATGTAGATACCAGTAGGCCCCAGCTCCTTTGAAGTCGACGCCCACTCAATGTTGACTGAGAAGGCGTGGCAGAGAAGAGCCTTGGCGCAGTTGATACTGATGCCACCGAAGAAGAGAAGAAGAAAGGGAAGCCACTTGCAGGCTTCGAGGATTGCGACCCAGAAGGACTTTTCCTTGAGACGGTGGCGAGTCATGCTTGTGGCTATGGAGGCGACGCCGTTGAAGACGACGAGGAGGGAGACCCAGATACCCCATGATGGAGTGTAGAATTGGTCGAGGTCTTGGAAGAAGAGACCGACGAGGACGTAGTTGACAAGAGTGAGGAGCATACCAGCTGCGATGGCGTAGTCTATAACGGTTAGTCTGGCACTGAAATGGAGTTTATATGTGTACTTACAGGTGAAGATGTAGGCCAGAATGGAAACCTTGCTGGTAACTGGCATGTTACTCCAGAGGAAGCGAAGGAAGAGCCGAGTAACAGGACCCTTGTAAGGCCACTTATAGCTATGAAATAGTCAGTAGAAATTCAGAACCAATGAGAGTTGTCAGACTTACAAAGGATGAAATACAAGCTCGTTGCATCCATAAGCATACTTCTCCCATCTGTTCAGCTCATCATAAACCGTCAATGACACACCCTCCTGAAAGCCACCGTTATGATACGTCGCCAACCGACATACCATACCGGCCATCTGCACTCTCAAACTGATATCGAAATCCTCAGAGACATGCGAGTCAGACCACCACTTGGTGACCTTGTCCGATGGATCGACAAACGCCACGCTCTGAATAGCCTTCCATCTCAAGAACGCATTATGACCAACAAACGGCGCGACATCGCCAGTGCCGACACCATACTTAATGGCCGTGTAGACAATGTCGGTGAAGTATGTGATACCGTTCTCAAAGATGTTGTGCGCGACTTGCATAACGCCTGAGCCATGCTGGAGAATAGCGACCTCAGGAGATTCATACATCTCGAGAGCACCGTAGAGGAGACAGTCGATAGGAACACGGGTATCACAGTCAATCAGGAGAATGATCTCACCCATGCGGATATTCCCCTCCGCCCACGTCTTACCCTCATCAGCATCAACCATATTCTGCAGCGCCTGGTCATACAGCCGATCATCATCCTCCGCACTCAAATCCTCATACGCACACCCTCTACTCTCACACTCCAACTTCGTAAGTCTCAACATCTCATCCTCGACTCTGTTCGAGAAAGCAAGGCAGTAGTTCATGTTACTAGCCTTTTTGAACTTGCCTTTACGCACGAAACCGAGTTCATTCGCGCGGCCTTGGGGACTGACTTCTGACTCGTCTTGGTTGTCGACTTCAGGGTCGACGGGGGGTGAGCGCTTGAACCAGGAGAGGAAGGACTTGGACTTGGGGGATTTCTTGTTGGGCAGGCGGGCGCAGTAGCCGATGCCGTTTTCGCGGTAGTATTGCTTGCGGGCGGCGGCGAGCTCGGGTTGGATGCATTGCATGCCGTCGTCGTTGATGTAGACTGAGGCGGTGCCGCCTTGGTTCTCGTAGTGTTGGATTGCGGCCATTACGGAGACCATTGTTGGGACGATGACACTAGGGAGTCTCAGAATGATGTGATCAGTTTAGGGGATATTGACCTTACCCTCGGAGACCTTCCTTATAGACAGGCATCTGAACGGTGATGTGAGGAAGCTGGTAATCTCTGTAACGCTTGGGGTTGGGCTTGATAGCTGTTACACAACGTCAGGCTTGGTGGATTTGCGCGTGAGTGAAGGACTTACCAGAGTGGAATTTTGAGTTTCTCAAACATATTCCAGCAGGCAGAAGTAGTTGGAAGACACTACTGACGACCACGATGAAGAAGAACTAGCCCGGTCAGCAACGCATTCATTTCTAATCGAAGCTGCTATTTTTACCAATGACAGAACGCACAGAGGCGGAATGACAGCAACCAGAGCAAAGCGCGTAAAATCGCCATCCCAAGACCATTGACGGATCAACTACTCAATGTCAGTCCTCACTCACGATTCATCTCATTTTACAACTCACTCTTGAAACACCCACGCTCTGCGTGAGAATCACCAGCATGATTACAATACCAATTCGGAACGAGTGAACAAGAAGAGTCGGACGCTTGAGCTCCTGGCCCTCGACGTCTTCATCTCCTTCACCGCCCTCCTCAACCTTGATGGCGGCTTGATAAACCTCATTTCTCTCATCAATGGCACCGCGGACGGGAGTTGGCATGCCGTTGACGGATTGCTCTTCTGTTTGCGCGAGAAGACCGCGAGGCATGTTGGGGCCAACGATCTACAACAAATATTAGATAGGATATCTCTGATGGGAATGGTAGACTTACGAAACCCAGCATCTGCTTCTCAACATTGTGCGCCACTGTGAGAACAGTCCTCGCCTCATGAGCCCAGATAAGAACACATCGCTCTTGGACGACAATGCACGAACTTGTCAAGTGCACAAGTGTCTCATGAACATCAGCGAGACTGGGAATGATGGGGATGCGAGCGCCGGTGTCTTCATTCACCAGACTAGCCTGCCCAGGCTTGATGCTGTCAAGCACTGAGTTTGTGACCTCAGAGGCCATCGACACAATAGCACTCTCATTGAGGCGATTGACAGCAGCGGCCAAGTCTGGGCTTGGGTCATCTGGGTTGTAGATGTATGTGCCGTCTGGCTTCTTGAGGGCAATGCATGTTGATGACCAGCCGCTTGTGATGGCAGTAGCAGCAGGTTCATCAAACCATCCTAGAAGAGTTGCGCGGCGGGCGATATACCTCGCGACCTAATTGTGTTAGTATTTGTGACGACGGTAATGCATTGCAGGCTGCGATATGTTGGCTGACCGTGCCACGACATGAATGAATCGGGATAAGTAGGATCGGTATGTAAGGGATGAAAGTTGATGCCGACGATATGAAACAAATCCACTCAGATGGACAGCAAAACTTACAACAGGCAGATCCGCAGCCGCGGCGTCGGGAATCTGCATTGCAGCAGGCGTACCCGAATATGAGCTGTGAGCGGATCTCGACGGGGGACTCTTCCTCGTAGGATACTCCGACGTCTTGACCGCGCCATGATCACCAGCCTCAAGCCTCTTGAGGGTAGCAGCGTCAGTCGTAGGGCTCGGCGGTTGGAGAACACCAGACTCTATGAAGCGAGAGGCAGACTTTTCCGAAGCCATCGGTGACTTTTCGGAAGTCATGGTTCACGTGGGAGTCTCTCTCTCTCACGGAACAGAGCAAAAACGAGAGTGAAGGGGAAAAGCGAAAGTGAAGATCTTCTCTGCTTCTACAGGGGAAGAGGGTGGGGAGGGGAGTGGTAGAAGAAGAGGGATGTTTGTTGCCCAAGGTGAGAGGAGGCAGAGGCAGAGAGAATTAGCCGTGGGAAAACTAAGTTATGAATACTTCCTACACACGGCTTATCCGGCGATCTAGATGAAACCCTTACTGCGAGTCTCGAGTCTCGAATCTCGTGTAAGCGTCAGACAATATCTCTGACCGGGTCAAGAACTGCAACTGCAACAGCAAACACAATATTGGTTTTTTTGTTTTTCAGCTGGTCCATTGTCCTCGTATCTTTCGAAGCACGTTTGTTGGGACCATGCATTCTTGATTGCCAGCACGTAACACAAACCGCACATGCACCTTGCTCCGTTGCTGCAGAATCTAAGCCCAGCCCCCCTCCCCTCCCCGGGTCCGAGAAGACTCCGTTTGAATCACCTTTAGCGAGCTGATGCCAAGTCATCAACGACCGAGGGAAGAGGATACAGTACCCGCCACCTTGATAAGAAAGGGGAGAAACAAAACTCTATGTTACAGAGTGAAGCTGACGACGGGGTACGTGATTATGACAAGGCCTTCAGAGGCCATTCGGTGGACGGGGGAACGGGAGAGTGGATAATATCCAGATGCTTTTACGAGCAAGGTCGCAGAAGCGTCATGTATCAGTGCGGCGTCTAATTAAACTAGCCTGCGATTTTTTCTCCGGCGCCACCCAAGACAGAGCAAGTCAAAAATTAAGTCTAATATTAGAATATAAGGTTAGGCATCCTGATATCGCCAAGACGAGGATCCAATGGGAAGAAGCGAT